TGTGTGTGTGTGTGTGTGTGTGTGTGTGTGTGTGTGTGTGTGTGTGTGTGTGTAGGCATGAATACAGTGCTCTGGTGCAGACACACGTCCTTACACGACACTCTGGGCTGTATGTGTACAAGCGCACACGCAATGCTCTGCTGTATAGACAGACATGTACACACACACACACACACACACACACGCACAAAGCTCTCGGAAGTGTGTACACATCCACATTGTTCTGCGGCGTATGCTCCGGGGTGGGGGTGCACACATGCACACACAAGGCTCTCGGAGGTGTGCACATGCACACAACGCTGGCGGGGGCAGGGCGTACGCATGCACGCACACGCTCTGCATTCCTTCTGGCACGCCTGGGACTTCCAATAAGGGCAGAATGTTGCCAACCAGGAAGCACAAGTCTCTTAGGCCAAAGGACCTCGCTTCCTCGGCAAACCTGCCTCCCCGTTAAAACCCAAACTCTAGGAGAGCAGACCTTTCGCCCGCCCGGATCCACACGTCCTACTCCGCTCCCAGCGCTCGGCGCCGGGGTGTTTCCCAACATCCTCCGCCCTGTCACCGCTCGGTCCCCCTCGCAGTCCTCGAGGAACGACTTCCCGCCAGCTTTTTGCGGGGTGGGGAGGGCGGGCACCCTGTCGACGGGCTGCTTGCAAGGTCTGCGCAGGCGCGTCGCAGGCCACGCCCTCCAGCGACGTCACGCGGCGGTTACCGCGCTCCTACGCTTGGCGCTCGCGATTTAAAAACTTGTCCGGAGACGTGGAGAGCAAGATGAGAACCCCGCAGCCGGGTGAGCTCGAGCGGGCCAGCGCGCGGCCGGCAGGGTCGGGACGGCAGGGGGCTCGGCCGGGGGTCGGGGGCCGAGGCGGGGGAGGGGAGAGGAGGCGAGGAGGAAAGCTGGGCGCTGGGCCAATCAGGGCGCCGCTGCTGGGCCCCGCCGGGCTCGAATGCTCCCCGCGCCCCGGCGCTAACGGAGGATAAGGTGGGGGCGGGGGGGTTTCAGGACTTGGAAGTGGTGACCAGCTCTGATTGAGAAGTTTTGTGCACTCCCTTTGGGATAGACCTTTGGTCAGATGCAGACATTCGTAGAAGAAGAAGAAGGAGAAGCCTGGGCACTTGAGGTGGAGACTGGAGGACCGGAATTTAAAGGTTAAGTCAGCGATAGCGAGTTCGAGGCTAGCCTGGGTTATGTGAGACCCACTCGGAAAGCGAGCGGGGGAGAACGAAATAGATAAATATCCTTTCCTCTTGGGGCTTGTATTCAAGTTGAGACAGTACAAGAAATATTTGACAGATGAGGCCCAGTGCTGGGACTCCTCCCCATTGTGGACTCGAGGTTTTAAGTAGACACTGGGAAGAACGTTACAGGTAGAGTAGCATTTACAAAAGCAAAAAGTCAGGAAAGAGCTAGGAACCAACTGAAACAGCGATTCTCAACCAGTGGGTCGCGACCCCGAGGGGTGTGTGTGTGTGTGTGTGTGTGTGTGTGTGTGTGTGTTCAAATGACCGTCGGAAAACAGATATTTTGTTATTACCATTCATAACAGTATCAAATTTACAGTTATGAAGTAGCAATGAAAATAATTTTATGGTTGGGGGTCACCACAACATGAGGAACTGTATTAAAGGGTCACAGCATTAGGGCGGTTGAGGACCCCTGCTCTAGAGCATCATAACTAAGCTTAGTGAGATTGGACAGTAGGCAGGACCTGTTAGACCTTGGTAATAATAGTTTCACTTTGGACATTTTGCCTGTGGCTCCCTGGAGAGGTACTCAGGAGAAGAAGCCAGTATCTACTGGGTGAGTTTGACAGAGGTCCATAGGCTGAGAGGTAAATTTGTATTTCTCCATCACGTAGACCGTAAAGCCATGGGTGCAGGTGAGCACACTAGACAGACCCTGTAGAGAGGGCATTCAGGACCAGCACAGATAGCTGGGTGAGAGGAGGGCACTGGAAAACTTGAGATCTCGTTACTGGTATCAAGGGAGCTCAGTGTAGTTCAAGAAGAAAAAGGGTAGTAGTTATTTTGAAGTCAAAAGAGACCAAGGCCGGAAGTGTCCACAGCGTTTGACCACATGCAAGCTCTCCTTAATCACGGCAAGACTCTTCATGAACTGGTAGGGCTGAGGAGCAGAGCAGAGGGTTTGAATGAGTGGGAGGACGGAGACAGGCAGAAGGAAGTGCGCTTTTTTCGGTAGCTACCTGTTGAGTTGGAATAGCGGCACACTGTCCCTGAGAGAGGACTCAGAGGACTTAGAGTTCTGCCCTGAGGGCTTCCATTTCTTACACACGTCACACAGTCACAAATGTCTTGCCCATACAAGGTCTCTTCTTTCATTTTGACCTTCTTTGCTTTGTTTTGGGGTAAGATAAGAGTTGTGTTAATTATATTCTTCAACCTGTAGGAGGCATTGTAAAGTTTTTGTACTGTCTTTTATCCCTGTTCTCCATGGACGGCCACTTACTGTTGATTGTCTCTTTACTTCCTTTTGTGGTCTAGGACACATACCATGCTTGTGCATGCTAGGCACGCATTCTATATTGCTCTGTATTCCTAGTCTCCTTTAAGTGATAAAGCCAGGTTTAGAGCGATGCTTTCTGTTTCTTAAATCGGGGGGGTAGGAACGAGGGTGAGTTAGGTTTCTTCTATCTTCTTCCAGGAATCTTGTGTTTGCTCAACACTGCCATAGCCACACCTTGACTGTGTTGTGAACAATAACGGCACCTTTCTGACATCCATGTGCTTAGTGTCACCCCTGCATATCCAGCTTGTTTTCTCTTAGAGAGCTCAGGCTTTTACTTCTGCCAGCCTGTATGCTGCGCTTTTCCCCACCTCTCACCACTGTGTACCCTTGTTCCTCCTTTATGGTACACTCCCGGTCATTCAGTATGATCCCGTTTCCCTGCATCCTCTTTCTTACAGGTTCTTGGCAATACCCACACCCCTGGTTAAGTTAAATCCTGCCTCTTCTGCACGCCTGGCAGTGGCCAGAGAAAAACACTTAGGGCTGCTGAATGGTTGGTTCGGGCGGGTGGGTGGGAGGGGTGTCCTTCAAAGCAGCCCATCAGTTATGCCACATACCCTGCTTCATTCATTGTCCTGGTTCTAGAGGGCCACTTCTTCCTCCTCATAGCTCTCCAGTCCCTTCTCCCTGCCTGGTCCCCTGCTGCTGAGTTTACCTGCGTTCCCTTCATAAAGACAGTAAGCACAACACAGAACATGCGGCTTCGCTGGGACAATCCTTGTCTTTTTTTTCCTCGCTCCTCATGCTTCCCCAGCCCTTTTTCTGGTGGTTTTTTCCTGGTCTGCGGTTTTTGAAGGATTCTGGGACCCATCTCAGACAGCTCCTCTACACTCACTTCTTCAGTGAGCTCACCCAGCGTTAATGGGTGTCGATGACTCCCACACTTACCTGAAATCGCCGTCTGAATTCCACTATATCCAGCTGTGCAGTGCAGTTGGTTGGCCAGGAAACGTTAGGGGCCTAAGGCCGTGGCTTTGCCTCCTGCCCCACAGTTTGCCTCTCCTGTGGATTCCCCAGGTCCAGCCCACATTTAAACAATCAGAACGTCATGCTGACTTTCTCTGTAGACCTATCCAGTATTTAGACACCTAACCTCCAGCATTGCCGCCTGTCTGGTCAGCTCATCTCCTGTCTTACCTATTGGTATTTCCCTTCCAATCGGTTTTCTTGCTTGGTTCTTGCTATGGCAGACAGAGGAGTTCTCTGTTCCCTGATGCTCAGGTTAGCTCACTTTGTTCTTCTCATCAATACCCAGTCATGTCCTTTCTCACTGCATTTAAGAGGCAAAGTCAGCCGGGTGGCAGTGGCACATGCCTGTAATCGCAACACTCAGGAGTCACAGGCAGGCAGATCTCTGAGCTTGAGGCCAGAGTGAGTTCCAGGACAGCCAAGGCTGCACAGAGAAACCCTGTCTCAAAAACAAACAACAACAACAAAAAGGTAAAGTCAGGGTTGGGGATGTAGCTCAGTTGGCAGAATGCTTCCAGCCTTGAGTGAACCCTTGGTTCATAGCCCAGCACCACATAAAACCAGGCATGGTGGCATGTGCCTGTAATGCCAGAATGCAAGAAGTGAATGCAGGAAGACTAGAAGTTCAAGGTTGTGCTCTCAGCTGTTGTTTGAGGCCAGCCTGGGCTACAGGACACCCTGGGTAAATATGTTTTGAGGGGCGTGAAGTCATTACAGTGGTTGTGAGTCGGGTCTAGGCTCCTGCTAGTCTGTCTTCCATTGCTCTGACTAATGTTCTTTCCCCTTTGGCCCTGGAGTGCCTGAGGCTCTGTAAGCCTCTGGAAGAGGCCTCCTGTGTGCCAGTGTGTTCCTGCCTTTGGCTTATGCCGCCTGCTTCCACCTAGTTTTCCCAGACTGTCTTCACAGCTTTGATTCTTTCCAGTGTCACCTTTTTTGAACAGCCTGCCCTGAGCACTGTATTGAAAGCAACCTAGTGACAGCTCCCATCTTCCTGTCCTGCTTCACCTCCTCCCACCTCCAAAACATGGCTGACCTCACGCACACCATCCGTTTTCCAACTTTTAACTGAAATACCAAGACAGGGACTACTCTTTACCCATCCCCCAGTCCAACAATTGCTAACGTTTTACCTCTACTTTAATGCAAGTTACACTCCTCAGATCACTCCACACCTAAGCTGTTCTCACACACCTCTTAAAAGCAGTGACCGTCTACATTATGATCTCATTGTGTGAAGATAATAAAAATCAATTTCCCAGACTAGATATAGACTTTATTCTAGTTTTCACGAATTACCTCCAAATGTTGCTCTTAGTTATCTTCTTGATCAGGGATCGGCTGAAAAATTCTAAGTGCTACTTTTGTGGGTTTTTTGTTTGTTTGTTTGTTTGTTTTGAGATGGGATTTCTCTGTGTAGCCTTGGCTGTCCTGGACTAGCTTTATAGACCAGGCTGGCAGAGGTCCACCCTGCCTCTGCCTCCCTGAGTGCTGAGATCACCACTCCCTGCTCTGCTTTTGGTTTATATGGCTAGTTGGTTTCTTTTCATCCAGAGGAGCTCCCCTGTCTTTTTTGATAATTGGCCTGTTACTTTTTGCTTGTTTCAAGACAGGGTATCACTTTGTTGCCCCTGTCTGCCTGGAACTTGTCACACAGGCCAGACTGGCTTCAAGCTCGCAGTGTCCCACCTGTCTCCAGCATGACAGACATGCACCACTCAGCCCAGCTCTTCCTTTTTGTGCTCCCTGGCACTATTTCAGTTTGAGTCTCAGCACTGCTTGTCTGGATCAATACTCCTAAAGACAGCCGAGCTTCCTTTTCTCTCAGTAGCCAGTATTTGGGCACAAGCAGATTAGGCTGTGACAGAATGGGGTGCTCCACTAGACTATAGAAGTCACCTCTACCACATCGTATGAAGGTTTGTTCCTGTATGCAGTGAGCTTAAATGTTAGCAGATTCTGGTATTGCCATTGCTATTGAGGAATCTCCTGTCTCAATGTGTAAAAATTACTCCCTGGTTAATAAAGAAGCTGAAGAGCCTGTGACTGGGCAGAGGAGACAGTGGGCCAGACTTCTATTCCTGGTCTTGGGAGTTGGGGGCTGTCGCAGGAAGAGAGAGAGGAGGGGAAGGAGAAGATTGCCGGGCCATGTGGATGTAGCCTTGAGTCTGGGCAAGAAGAAGGTTGCCATGCCATGAGGAGGAGGTCACCATGGAAGAATTGATAGGGACAAGGATAGAGCAGAGGCTGGCAGGGTGAGACTAGAGGACAGGTGACAGCATGTGGCTGGGAGGTAGGCCAGGCTAGCCTAGATGGGGTAGAGTGGCTCATTATCTGCCCAGGTATGGTGCTTGAAACTTATTATAAATGTAACAGATCTTGGTGTCACATTTGGGAGCTAGAGCAGGCATAGAAATAACCATTAATCCAATACAAGACTATAAATCAGAAGCCTTATATTTCATTCTGAGGCTTGCCAGCCCTTGCCGGATTGTTAGCCATGCCTTAATGAGGAAACTGTTGTTTCTACCACAGTATTTTTTATCTTTAATAATAATAAGTTTTCATTTTGTTTTTGAGACATGTAGTATTATGTAGCCCAGAATTTCACAATTCTCCTGCCTCAGCCTCCTAGATACTGGGATCACAGTGAGCTAGTTTTCTTATAAACTACCCATTCTGGAATTAGCTAAGTGCTTATTTATGTTCTTTAACCTATTCTTCTGTTCTTATATTTCTTACAAGGTGGCAGTTAGACCTAAAGTGTTAGTTATACTTAGGTTAAATATTTCTGGCAAAATCATTTCCTAGGTGATTCAAAGAATTTTCTGGGGCTGGAGATCTGGCTCAGAGGTTAGGAGCACTGTCTGCTCTTGCAGAGGTTCTGAGTTCAATTCCCAGCAACCACATGGTGGCTCACAGCCATCATCTGAGTTCTGGTACCCTCTTCTGTCATGTAGGCAGGACACTGTATACATACTAAAAAAATAATTCTGTTTTTGGGAGCTGGAGAGATGCCTCAGTGGTTAAGAGCACTAGCTGCTCTTCCACAGGACCCCAGTTCAATTCTCAGCACCCACGTGGCAGCTCACAAATCTGACTCCAGTTCCAGGGGATGCGGCCCCTTCACACAGACAGACATGGAGGACAAGCATCAGTGCACATAAAATAAAAATAACTTATAAAAATTTCATGTAGTATCACATCAGAGGTGAGGAAAGTGCAGTTGCCCTGTTTGGGCGAGGCTACTTTTGTTTGCTTGGTTAATGTAGTTTCTGTTCAAGGCTTTGGCAGTTTCCACGTGATCTGTAGGAAATTCTCACCTGTGCTCTGTCTGTGAGTGTGCTATATATTGCCAGTGCTGCTTCTCCATCCTCCTGCCAAGACATGGCGGAGGCGGCATTAGAGCCCACCTGTGTACTGTAGACCACCTTCATGGTTGCTTAGCACCAGCGTCTCTGGCCTGGTGTTACGGATGGCAGATGTCTGTTCTGCCAGTTTGTGATCTCATCTGTCTCTCTGAACTGGCCATGGGCTATCCTTGAGCATGCTAGGCAAATGCTGTGCCATCCATGCCCAGTCCTGCCTTGCCGTGGTATATCCTGTGTTGTGCTTGCCTGTACAGTTGCTTTGAGGTGGATATTTGTTCTATTGTCTTTCCCATTACTCCCCACCCCCGCCCCACCAAGAAACCCAAACTGTAGAGCATCAAGCATTGTAGGACTTAGCAGAGAACATTCAGCGACCCCACGACAGGCCCAGGTCCCCTTTCTATACAGGAAATTACTCTGATGACAGTTTCTGAGCAAGTATTTTGTCCTGTCACTGCCAGGAACAATGAACCACACTTCTCTGAAGACCTTTGGACGCCAACACAGTGTTTCCTCACCTTTGGAACGTGTGCCCTCTGTGTCCCGGCCTGGGAAGGCCCCTCTCGGTACTCCCAAAACCCCAGTCCTTGAAGACTTTCCTCAGAATGACGATGAAAAGGAGCGTATGCAGCGGAGGCGCTCCAGGGTTTTTGACCTGCAGTTCAGTGCGGACTCCACTCATCTGCTGTCCTCCCCTAACAGGTAAACGAGCACATTTCTGCACTGTTTGGGGTGGGGTGGCCTGGGTTATATGGGTCCTGGTACCTCCATAGTATTCACTGATTCTGGGTATAGGCTTGTTTTTGTTTTTAATTTATTTTTGTGTGTATATACGCATGTGCATGTGGAAGTCAGAGGACAACTTGCAGGAGTTAGTTCTCTCCTGCTCTGTGTCCCTGGGACCAATCTCAGGTCATCAGCTTTGGCAACAAGTACCTCTACCTCCTGGGTGTGTGTTTCCAAGTAATTGAATTGTGGATCCTTGCTAGAGTTTTTGTTTTTCATTTAGGAATATTGATGTTTCAACTACCATATCTAAGTTTACAAACACACAGATTACAGAACATTACTCTACCTGTATCAAGCTTTCTACTGAAAATGTGAGTATTTGTTGGTTTATATTGATTTAGGCAGGATTGTGCTAAGGAGCTCAGGCTGGCCTTGAACCTTAAGTCCTCCTGCCTTACTTCCTGAGATTCCAGGCGTACTCCAGCATGTGCAACTGTGATTTTGTGTCTTGTCACAGAGCGACAAGGCATTCTTGATTTAGGTGGGAGATGGAGCGGTCTGTTTATTCTCTAGTGTGGCTTCCTAGTGCTGGTCTTTCTCAGTGTGGGTTTACTGTTTGCAGAGCTTTGCTGTTGCTCTTACGAACGGCCTGCTACTTGCAGTACATCTAACATGGCGACATGGCTTACGGACCAATGGTGTGGGTTCGGAAGCTAACAGCGAGTTCTGGAGCAGCCCTGCACTAGAGCCCGCTCTCTCCTGCATAGAGACTGTGAGCCTGTGACAAACCGCTGGCCCCCCGGCTCCAGGCCCCTCCTCTAAATGGAGGGCGAGGTGGCGGGTAGCACCCGACTCCCAGTTCTAAACAAGCCTGAGTCCACTGTGCAGTTCTTAGGGCAAGGCTTTAGAGCTCTCCTGGATTCCTGCTTTTTAGTCCTTGAGGACGAGGGATCTGTGTACATTGGGCTCTGTTGCAAGTGCTCATGGGAACTGCGATCAGCGGGGTTATTTGTATGTAAACTTTAGTGACATTATTTACACGTGCTATGAGCCAAGCCTATGAGTAACAAACCTTTTGTAATTTTTTTCCCCTAGAAAATCACTACTAAGAATGCTTTTGGCTTACATTTGATTGATTTCATGTCAGAGATTCTGAAGCAGAAGGACACAGAACCAACCAACTTTAAAGTAAGAAGCATGCGCGCTTTCCTTGCAGCTGACTTAATGTCTGGTATAACGAAGCTAGCTGGATTTTACCTGTCGAAAGTGCTGTGCTGTGCACCTTCATGAATGTAGCTGTGCTTTTGAACTAGGTGGCTGCTGGCACCTTAGATGCAAGCACCAAGATCTACGCTGTGCGTGTGGACGCTGTCCATGCTGATGTCTACAGAGTCCTTGGGGGGCTGGGCAAAGATACACCACCCCAAGAAGAAGAGAGCCACGGTGCAGGTGTGCAGGGTGGGGGCTGGGCGTGAGGGTCTACTTCCAGTGTGCACCGAACAGTGTTTGAGTGACACATCAGGATGAAAACACAAGTAGGTCAGGAAAAATCTAGGTTACTTGATTTTTGTAGAAATTCATGATGGACGGTTAATTATTTTACATATCCATTCTTCTCTTGGGATGGGTGGTTTACTGGAAATTGAGCTGAGCCTCATCCAACTGACAGCCATCACATCTGTATTTTGTGCTAGGGTTTCTCAGGGTGGTTTAACTGCTTCTTAAAGGCCTTTCTTTGATTCTCCTTACGAGGAGGTGGGTTTTAGTGACATTAGTTCCCTTTTTTAAAGGACTGTAGTAAAGCTTTTGGGAATTACTTAGGCAAGATTGAGTAAACACTAACCAGGGAGTCTGCTTGGTTCTATTAGAAGTGAGATGTGTTGTCTAGTAATGTGGTTACCCTGTCGGCAGCAGATTCCATCAGCCCACCAGCTTGAGTGATTTCCTGTTCAAATTATAACTAGAGGGTCTGAGAGAACTGGTGTTACTCCCATAGATGCCAGTGCGTCTGAAACAGGAACAACCAGAAAGGCTGCAAAGCCAAAGAAGAAGACGGCCTGTAAAACCATCGAGCAGAATCTGAGCAACATCAACGTCTCTGAAGCAGACAGGAAGTGTGCGGTGAGGCAGTGTGAGCTTAGTGTTGTCTTTGGGCAATCAGCAGGGTCAGTGTTATGGCCTGGCTGAGCTTTGAAGAAAGGTTGGATTTGGATCATTAACTGCAGACTCATGACCTTGTAGGGAGCCGCATCTGTGTTATCAGATCCAAGCCCTTTTCTACTTGGGATCCAGGTCCCAAAGCTCAGTAAGATCTGAGCCCAGTACTCACTGTTCCGGGAGGATCCCAACTGACTTGCTCCTTTTTTGCCTCACATGCTTTTGTGTTGCCCTGTTCCTGGGTGTGTGATATCTTCCGTTGGGTTGGTATCACATGGCTGTGCCACTCCTCCCTGGCCCAGCTTTAGGGCCTCCTTACAACCTTTGCTGGCCATTGCTCAGCCACTAGTCCTTCCAATTCTGCCTGCCCTTCACCTAGTCATCCTGGCTGAGTTCTAACCCTTAGACATACTGTTCAGAGGAGCAGCAGAGCGCCAGATGTGGTTTCATACGTTCAGGAGGCTGGGGCAGAAGGCTTCTGAGTAAGATGCCAGCCTGTAGCTGGAGAAGGCCCCACCTTAAACAGAAGTCCCCAAACAAATAGGAAGGACAGAACCTTGTAACTGGTTCCATCCCAGTGGCTTGCTGAGGCAACAGAACATGGTTCATCCATCTGATCGCATACTGCCTTTTCAGTCAGGATTGTACCTGATGACTCAGAAAGCCCTCCCCATTTGACCATGTGCAAACATTCAGTCTTGTAGGTAGTTTTCCCCTGCTACACACTGTCATTGTTTGGTTCCGTGTTCTTGCATGCAGGTGGACCCTATGTTTCAGAAGACTGCGGCCTCATTTGATGAGTGCAGCACAGCTGGGGTGTTTCTCTCCACTCTGCACTGCCAGGATTACAGAAGCGAGTTGCTTTTTCCTTCCGACATGCAGACTCTCTCCTCTGGAGAAGCTCTCGAATTGCCAGATTTAGGTTCGGTAGACATGACAGATTTAAAAGGTGAGGAGAGCCAGCTTTTATCAGGGAATCCTAGCACTGGAGACTCACAGTCCTGGGGCAGCGTTGGCGGCTTCTGATTACTCAGGTGATTCTTCTGGACAGCCAAATTGGGTGACCTTAGGCAGTGTAGCAATCCACCTCCCCCCTGCCCCCACCTCCCGAAGTAAGGAGTCTCAACAATAAGCCATCACTGTGTCTATCCGCATTGGACCTCGCGTGCTCACTGTTGACACCCAACTCTGGTACCCACAGGCTCACCTGTGGTCAGGGCTTGAGCTGGGATGTGGGAAAGCGACATCTGTCCAGCCAGACGCCCTGTTCTTAATTGCCCCCAGGTCACAGGGTCCTGCAGAAAGGGGGTATTGTGAATCATTCTCAGACCCTGTGGCCTATCCTGTTAGTAGTCTCCTCGTGCTTGGCAAGATTTCAACATCTTCCCCTCCCCCATCCTCTCTTTCCTACTGACTGACCTGGAGGTCTTCCGAGAATGGAAGGCCGCGTGCTGCGGTGAAGCAACTGCGGGCTTGTGGCCACTTCTGTGCGCTCAGTGAAACTGACCTTCTCCCTCTGCGCTGGCCATGCAGTTACCATGGCATCCATTCTTGTCATTTTTTAAAAAGGGGTCCTGCTGTTTACCCATGTAGGCCCCGTACCTCCCTCTTCCTCCGCCTTAGTGCCGAATTACAGGCATGCACCACCACTTTCAGTTTCATTCTTTCTGTTCTTGCAGAAGTTTTGCTCAGCTTAACTGTTTGTGCTAACAGTTTGTTTTCTGTTTATGCCTTCAGCTAGGGCTCTGAGCCTCTGAGGTGTGTCACCTGTAGCTACTTTAGTTTCAGACTGAGAAGAAGTGCCATTTTGTGATTGCTGAGGGACTGCGTGTGCTTTTTTTAATAAAAAGGCTTGTGCATTTTCAGATGTAGTATAGGGCACAAAGGTCACTCCAGAACCAAAAGTCTATGCCTCTCCTCTCTTCCTTGCATTTAACTCTGGGAATGGCATTTAGCCTGACTGCACTGTGGGTGCACTTGTGTTTGCTTGCACCCCCAAATAGTCCAGCAACAGGAGGTGAGCAGCCAGCCAGCACTGACAGTCCAGCCTCTGCAAGACAGGAAGGTGGCTGCCTCCCCCTCCATCATTCCAAAGTGGTGAACTTGGCCCACCTGTAACCTCTCCCATGATCTTGCTGTCCCCGCAGCTTCCTTGCAGCAGTGTGTGGAAGATCGACAGCTCTGCCCTTCCCTGGCCGGGTTCCAGTTTACTAAGTGGGACAGTGAAACGCATAATGAGGTGTGGTCAAGCTCTGGACGTATAAGGCTTGGGGCATTTTCCAGTGACTGGTGGTTTCAGTTCCATAGTCCAAGATTACTCTTGCCCTGTGGGAACCAAAACTGTGGCATTGATTCTATTTATTCAAGAGTACAGAAAATGTTTCCCTTGGCACTTCATAGGAATTCTCAGCCTGGCTGGGAGGATGGCTCTCTGAACCCCATCAGGGCCATTGTACATTTGTGGGTTCTGCGGTCAGTTCTAAGTCTCCTCATGTGCTTCCCTAGGGTCAGATTTGCCCTTGAATGTGCTTATCACAGTAGCCTCTGGTCTCCAGCTGCTGCCAGGCTAGAGGCATTTCCTTCTTTTGGGGGCTAAGTCCCTTGGCACACTGTTTCCTGAGAAACTGTCATGTTTAAAGCCTTCCTTTGTGTATTTTTAGCAGGCCCCTGCCCTTTAGAATACTTACTACAACTTCCAACATAAATGGTCTCCATGAAAAACTTCTCCAAACATGCAGTTGGTGAGGGCAGATTCCTGTTTAGTGTTTGCACCACACAATGAAAACTCCTCATGAGAATGCTAGGTCTAGCAGCAGGCCTATGGGGCAGGGTACAGGGAAAGGAGAAGCTAGAAGTGAGGGTGGCTGTTCTCCAGATGAGTTGGGGTGGTTCTAAGAACGGGGCTAGCTGGAGAGCCCTGTCTCCTCCTTGTAGTCTGTGTCGGCCCTGGTGGACAAGTTTAAGAAGAATGATCAAGTATTTGACATGAACGCTGAGGTTGAAGATGATGATGGGGCCATCCCTGATGGGGCCCCCGTGGAAGACTTTGATGACAATGATGAGCCCGACCCTTCTGCAGCTGGAGATCATGAAGAGTTCCAGAGCTGGAAGGAGTTCTGCCAGGTCCAGAGCAGCCAGTAAGCCCCCTGGGGTCCCAGAAACTTTCCTAACAGGCCTCCAGCTCTAGTTAGCTGGGCTGGTATGCCATGTTGCACACGTGGGCTGAGCCATATGCTGACTCACGGGGTCACACCTGGCTTTGCGTGTTGGTTACCCACTTCATTATAGAGCTGACATCAGGCAGAGCTCATCCCACTCTACCTAAAAGAGTGAAGTGTTTTGTGGCTGGCAGTTTCCCTCTGCTGGCTGGCATGAAACCACTAGCTCAATGGCATTAGGACAGCTAGACTGAAGGAGGGGCCCAGTAATGTCAAGGGAAGATATAACAGAGGTAGCCCCTAAGAAGGTGAAGATTGGGAGGAACAGTCTTAAAATACAAGCACAATATGGATTTGGTTAGTTGTATACAGTAGTCCAGAGTTGGGCCAGGGTTATCTTTCTCCCAGAATGTGTTGAGGGACTTTTTGGGGTGACCAGGGTTCTGGAGCTCTGCATAGTATCAGGCCAGGCTGTCGGGAAGGGAGCCAGGCTCTTCGCACCTTTGCCTGTAAGTGCTTACAAAAAGCCACAGCAGAATAAAGGTAGGGACCAGAAGGAGAGGCTCTGGAGCAGTCTCGTAGAGCTACAAATAAGTTAGTCCGTGGCGTAGCCTAGGTCCTGGATGGCATAGGGTCCAACAGACTGTGAATGTGGGGAGGGGGATGTATTTTATTTAAAAAAAAAAAAAAAAATTGAACCAGGTAGTAGTGGTGCACGCCTTTAATCCCAGCACTTGGGAGGCAGAGGCAGGTGGATCTCTGTGAGTTTGAGGCCAGCCTGGTCTACAGAGCAAGTTCCAGGACAGCCAGAGAAACCCTGTCTCAACAAATAAACAAAACCAAATGGGAAAAAAAAAAAAATGAAATATAATGTTTTGGGCTTTTGGTTTGGTTGCTTATGTTTTTGTTTGTTTACTTATTTTTGTTGTTTTTGAGATTATGCAGAGAAAGCGGTTCTTTGTCTGTTTGTTTTGTGTTTTGCTCAACCTGTAGAGTATAAGGATTCATTCTTGGCTTAATACCAGTACAAAGCCACTCTCAGACAAGACTAGATCTCCTCACTCATCACCTTTATCCTTGCAGGGCACTAGAGTTGTGCTGACATGCTTTCTAGTGCCTTGTCTGAGAGGGCTCCCTCACATACAAAGGCTGCTGAGCTGAACAGGCCTCCGTGTGTCATACACAGCAGATGAAGCGGGGTGACCTAACATTACAAAAGGAGTTCCCAAAGTGTTTGGGGAGCTGAACATGTAAAATGGGATGTCTTTTTCACTCCTAGGAGAAACCAAGGCAGTGTCTGGATCCTCATCAGTGAGAGAATGGGAACTAGGGTTGTCATATTGTATAGCCAAATCCATATGTGTGGAAAGACCCAAGTCTGGGATTCAGGGAATTGTAACCAGTTCTCAGCTTTGGCATCCTTTGCCTTTTTTTTTTTTTTGAGGCTAAATAGCATTTTGTAGCCAGACTGACCTCAGTCTCAAGATCCTCTTAACTCCTCTTCCCTCTGCAGGGATATAGGCATGTGCCACCATACCAGCCTAGCACCGGTGTCCTGCTGGCCTAGGTAGTGAGTTTCAGGCTAGCCAGAGCCACATGGGGACCCTGTCAAAAACTAACAAATCCTTGGCTTTTCTTCCTGTTCTCTTGTCTCTCAGATGGGTAGATTAGTATTTACGAGGCACTGTGGAGCAGCCACACATTTGTATAGTTATGAACACTGTGAGAAAATTAGACAAAACATGCAACAAGTAAAACCCTGGTGGTTTCTTGATGAAGGGTTTGCTCGGACTTATTCTTAGACCGCTCCTGGGACTAGAGAGTCCACATGGCTGCTCACAGTCCCCTGTAATTCCAGTTCCAGGGAATCCATGCCCTCTTCTGGCACTGGGCATGAACGTGGTACACAGACCTTCATACAGGCAAATCACCCATACATATAAAATATTTAAAAAATTAAAAAAGAAAGAAAGAAATGCTTCTTTGTGGTAGAGGAGGTGGCCAGCATCTCTGTTAACACCAGCTTCCTTACATATTAAATGCATGCTGTTTATTCTATGCATTATATACGAACAAATGATTTTATTTGTTACAGGGAAGAAATTATTTCCCTTGGCGACAGAGACATCCAAACTATGTGCTCTTTTTTATCCACGAAACCTGGGGAATACTCCTATTTCAGTCCCCGGACCATGAAGATGTGGGCTGGTCCAGATCACTGGCGCTTTCGGCCTCGACCCAAGCGTAAGTCCTTGTGGGTGGTACTGGAAGACAGTGCTGAGCAGAGTTGAGATGCTGCTGATCTCCATTCTGTCATCTCCTGAGGGGAAACTGAAGCCGGGGAGCTGAGCCAGCCTCTGGCTGGACAGTCAGTGCTCAACCACTAGATGGTTAGTTAACACTGAATGGCAAGAGTAAGACTTTTGAGTCTGGAGAACAAGGCTCATGACATCACTCCACTTCCTAGTGCCAGCACGCTAGTAACACAAGGGAAGTACCCTCCAGCTTCCAGGCCCTGTAAGGAAGCATAGAGCATATTTGATGCGAATAGCTAGCCACAGCACAAACATTGGGCTTAGATAGGCATGAGGTGTGTGATTACACCCCTGTAGAGATGCTTAGCCACGGTAAAGGCTGCCTTATGCTTGACAAGGCCACTGGAAGGTGTGAGGGGAGAAGAATGTTGACACAGAGGCGAAGTGTTATAAACTGTGTTTATTTCTGCAGAAGATTCTGCCTCCCACATGGAGAACAAAAAGAAGAGTGGGAAGAAAGACTTTGAAATTAATTTTGATGATGATATTGATTTTGATGTGTATTTTAAGAAAACAAAGGTTTGTGCAAGACATTCATGCCTTCTTAGATTACTCTGCACTCCTTGCCCTTTCAGACAGGCTTTTCAGAAATCACGGTACAGCCTGATGTGATGGCGCATGTCTTTAATCTCAGCACTCAAGAGACAGAGGCAGGCTAAGTTCCTCACCAGCCAGGCAACATAGAGAGAACCCACAAACAAACAAGCAGAAAGTTATTATGTGTGTGTGTGTGTGTATGTACATATATGTTTCATTTTTTGTTTTTTAGAGATAGGTTCTTATGCAGCACAACTGTCCTCAAACTTGCTGTATGGCTGAGGCTGGCTTTAAGTGTCTGTTTTTTCTGCCTGTACTCCCCCAAATATGCCATCCTGCCCAGCGGTAACTTTAGTTGGTAAAGGCCCTTATTCCCTGAGGGACTGTTGAGAAACAGTCTCAAAGTCAGTGGCAGGAACAGGAAAGTTTAGAGAAAAAGTTTAGACAGGGACTGACACCATGTAGCCTAGTCTCCTGCCCTCTCCAGCCCAGCCTGACCTTGAACTCAAGACAGTATGCCTGCCTCAGCCTCTGAGTACTGCAATTACATGCTTCTACTCTCATGCCCAGCAGTCACTTAATTATACAGACCAGAGAATTGGAAGTACTAATGTCCAAACCCTTCCTAAATGTCTTTCATTGTTATTAAGAACACTTTATTTTTTATTTTTTTAATGAATAGACTGCTACTATTCTGTCCAAGTCTACTTTGGAGAACCAGAATTGGAAAGCCACCACTCTTCCCATAGACTTCCAGTATGAAATTGATAATCTGGTCCAGCTTCATCTCAAACCAGGCCTAAGGGTAAGACGGAAGATGGAACCTTTCCTTTAAGCTGTCGTTGCTCCTGTGTGGATGGGGTGGCTGTCAGCGCTGTTGGGCAGTCAGGCGGAGGAAAGGGGAGAGTAGAGGAGTCACAGAGAGCAGAGGGGTGAGGCAGAGCCAAAGGGCACAGAGTGGAGCCTCTCACTGGAGTGCTCTGCCTGGGGTTACCCCAGCTTCCGTTTTCCCTCTCCTGCAGAGTCAGCTGCACAAGTAGTTTAGTTTGTAGTTTCTGCCTTATTTTGTCTGTTCCTCTAGGAGAGCTTAGGTTATTTTTGTCTTCTGTACTAGGGATTTCCCTCTACAAGGAGCGTGTTCTAGCTTTTGTTTGTTTTCTTTTGAGACAGTGTTTCACTTTGTAGCTCAGGCCAGCCTTGAACTCACTACTTATTCCTAACTTGCCTCAAACTTGGGCTCTTGAAGAACTGGGATTCCAGCTGTGGGCCATTGTGTTCAGTCACCATGTGGTTTCAGTGATACACACCTTTTCTCCTGAATTCACCAGTGTGCTGCATTCTACTTACACAGACTGGTGTTTCCTTTCTGAGCAAGTTTATTTAACAGACATGCTCTGGTAGCACAGGAGAGAGAGCTGCAGCGATGGCCCCAGCAGGGCCTTGTTACGCTCAAGGCACAGGCAGCCTGGTGCACAGACAGAGCAGGGCCGAGGCACAGCTGCCCAGCAAAGCCTCCAGGAGGGCCACCTCTTGTATGGGCTTTATTCTGAACTTTCAGTCAAGGTGATAATTTGCATATTCCAAGGTGAAGGTGAGAGAATAAAGCCATTGTACTGTATGGCCTGGCTTTCGTTGTTGGATTTTCCCAACAAGGCTGGCCTCTGCTTCCTGAGTGCTGGGGTTAAAGGCCTATGCCACGACTGTCCAGCTAGTGGGGCAGTAGCTGACTTTTTAGAAACTGCTTTTGTATGTTTCTTGCGTTTTTTGTTTTGTTTTTTCTTTTTTCAGAGTCTTGCCCTGTAGCTCAGGCTAGCCTGACACCCGCTGTGTAGCACAGCCTTCTGTCTCTGCCTCCCAAGTGCTAGGATGAGCCACCATGTCTGCCTCGTGATTTCTATGGTCATTTTTGTATTCAGAATCGCTGATCCCAGGCAGGCAGCTAGACAGGCGGAGCTGGAGCTCCCTTGGTCTTCGGTGGCGCCACACTGTGGAAAGGACACTGGAAGCTTGGCAGTGGGCAAGTTAGCACATACACAGAGAGGGGTTTTCCAGTGGAGAGGAGCTTCAGGTGTCATGAGAAGCAGTGGAGTGAAATGGGGCATTTTTTTTTCTTTTTGATTTTTCTAGGCAGTTGTAGCCCTGGTTGTCCTAAAACTAGTGTTGTAGGCCAGGCTGGCAACTCAGAGATCTTCCTGCCTCTGCTTCCCAAGCGCTGGGAAGGTATGCACTGCCACTGGCCAGCTAGTGGGGCATTTCTTAACTCACTACGTATTTGGTATTATTTTTGAATTTGTATTATAAAAACATTGTGTTAAGGGGTTGATTTTGAAGTATAGAATTACATTAGAATAGTCACAGTAGTGTTGAGAGCTAACTCCCTCTGCAGCCACAGTCCCCTCATCGCAAAGACATATCTCCCAGGTATAGATGGTGGTCTGAGGGCTGCAAATGTTTGAGGGCTGTGGTCACTGCGCACTCCCAACAGGAGGCGCAGTTCTGTGAGGCTGGGGGTGCTGGATGAGAGCTCAGGTATACTTAAGGAAAGAGTGGGGTGCCTCTTTCTTTTCTGTGTAGTGAGCAGGGCTTGCCCCAGCAAGGGACGGCTGCATTTATTTTTTATTTGGATGTTTGTGAGTGTGCTCATGCATGTGTACTTCCTGGTGTCTTCCTTGTTTGTTCTGTGTTAGGAACATGCATATGTGTGCCACAGGTGTGTGGAGTCAGCAGACAACTTTAGGAGTCAGTTTTCTTCTACCATATTGGATCTGGGGATTGGATTTAGGTTGTTAGGCTCGGTGGCAAGCAGCTTTACCCACAGAGCCATCCAGCTGGCTCTACCTTATCGTCTATGAGACAATCTCACTGCACCCTGTAATCACCAATTGGCCAGACTGGCTGGTCAGCAGAGTTCTAGAGATCCATCTCTTGGCTTTCCTGAGCCAGGGTTAGATGTGGCAGTAACACCTGCTCTTTGACATGGGTATTGGAGACCCAGACTTAGGCTTCATGCTTGCAAGGCCAGCGCTGTACTGGGCCCTCTCTCAGCCCCAGTAGGCTGCCTCTAAGATAAGGAAATGAGTGCTTAGCAGGGTTGTTCAAGTTGAATTTCTTTCAGAAAGCTGTAGGCAGATGGCCAACTTTTGTTTTTAAATAAAACTACAGAAGATGCAGCTGCAGATCAGAGGAGGAGGTGTTTTGGTTTGAGGGGTCAGTGAAGTCCTATACGTTGTGTTCTGTGCAGTGGAGACCAGGTTAGCCTGTGTATTCTGTTAGGACCCTCACTGTTGGGTCATGTCATTCTAGAACAAGACTGAGCATAGGAAACAAGCGTGATATCCCCAAATTCATCAAGTAGCTTTTTTTTTTTTTAGAAATTTCTTTTTATATTTTACTCCCTTTATTCTAGTTATTTAAGATGGGCCAGAACCAGAAGGCAAAGACGGAGCACTATGAGGAAATTGAAGACTATGATTACAACAACCCCAACGACACCTCCAACTTTTGCCCTGGACTTCAGGTAAGGGGAGAAAAGCTCTTGCCTTTTCCAGATGGAGGATGGTCTCTTCCCTGGTTTCCGTCGCTCTTCTGTCTCAGGACAGACCAGTGAACAGTGCTGAGGAATGCGCTCAGTGTGGCTCGTGGTCTATACTCAGGTACTCTGTGCTCAGTGTGTACTCATACTCTGTACTCAGGTACTCAGTGTGACGTAGGTTGTGGAGGGATGCAGGCTGCTGTGCTCTTCTTGGCTGAGGGATGCAGGCTGTGCTCCAGCGTTTTGGGAATGCTTTCTTTAAGATGAAATATTCAGCTGGCTACTAAGCAAAGAGGACAGTGGTCTCTGGTCACTGCACTCCTTTAAACTTGGCTGCAGAGGTCTCGGGCTCATAGCAGATCCCTCTGTCTGTAGGAGGGTTAATGTGAAGCAGGAGGAAGGGAAGCGAGCCGGCCACCTCAGTGGGACTCCCATGGACTCGCGGGTGGCCTCTGCTTGCTTTGTGTCCATGGAATCTTTCTGGTGCTCTCTAAGCTCCATTGACAGCATCTGCCAAACTTGATGAGTTGTTTCCTTCCTCAGGCTGCTGACAGTGATTATGAAGAGTTAGATAATTTATCAGCAGGACCAGTTGGGACCCTTGATTTCGAATCTGACCCTTGCTCTATGCCGAAGACAGCACAGGAGAACGGTCACATTTCTGAAAGCCAAGGAATAGATATCACAACTTATGGAGAGTCGAACTTGGTGGCTGAGCCTCAGAAGGTAAGGCAGAGGCAGCAAGGAATTACTGGGTTTCCTGGATTATCTGTTTAATGCCTCTCACAGGAGAGTCCCATCAGCTTGCCCTCCACCTGTTTGCCTTTCCCATCTTAACCTGTTGCTCTGAGGTTGGTTTTTGCTTGCTTGTGTAGTCCTGGTTATTCTAAACTCACTCTGTAGACCAGGCTGGCCTTGAACTCAGAGATCAGCCTGCCTCTGCCTCCCAAGTGCTGGGCATGTGCCACCATGCCCGGCTTGTTGCTTTGAGTTTTATGACAGGGTTGAGCTATCTAATCTGCTTACTGTCCAGTTACATAGCACTGACTGGTTAGGTTATATGGAACAGACATCTTTCCAAAGACCTTATTTTATTTTATTAATTTGTATTTTCTTTTGAAGTGTTGAGAATCAAATCCAGGCCACAAGTAGGAGTGGACTGATCACATCAATACATGAATGAAGACTGCAGAGAGCATAGCTGTTTTCCTCTGGAAGACCTTGCCCAGATTCCAGTCATTCATTTGTGAAACCTCTCTATGTCCTGTACCAAGTGCTACCTAACATTTGATCTACTCATTGCTTTTACACTAGAGCTCTTAGTGTTAATGTAAATCACCTCTGATTAAAGAAGTTAGGGTCAGTCTGGGAATGTAGCCTTGTTGGTAGACTGTTTGCCTAGCATAGGCGGAGCCCTGGGTTCAGTCCCTTCACTAGCTCCTTAAATTCTGGCTCATGAAAATTGGGCGTGGAGGTACACTAATCCCACACTACAGCTTGGAGGCAAGAGGTTCAGAAGTTTAAGATCTACACAGTAATTCCAGGCCAGATGTGACTATATGAGACCCTGTCTTAAAAACCAAACAAACTAACAAAATTCAAAAGGTAAAAACAAAAAGAAATGAGTGGATTTTTTTTTTTTTTTTGAGGGACTCTTAGTGTGCCCAAAGGGAGCTCTATATAATTTCATAGTTGAAACTGAATTATTATTATTATTTTTTTTTACTTTGTAGCTCTGGCTGCCCTGGAGCTCACTGTATAGATCAGGCTGGCGTCAAATTCACAGTCATTCAATTGCCTCTGCCTCCAAGGGCCGGGGTCAAAGATGTGTGCCGCTGTGCCCAGCCTGGATTCCTTCTTGATTTCCAACTTTTCATTCCAGACTTTGGTTTTTACATTATATTGATAGTAAATGTTTTTCTTCTGCCTAATTTTGCTTTGTTATACCTATTTCAGGTGAATAAAATAGAAATCCATTATGCCAAGACTGCCAAAAAGATGGACATGAAGAAGCTGAAGCAGAACATGTGGAGTCTGTTGACAGAGTTTTCTACAAAGGAGGCTGTCACAGAGGTAACTCACTTTAGGTTCCCCCTGTGCAGGAGGGGAGAGCTGATGTCCATAGCCCATGATCCCAAGCAGGGAGATGCAGTCAAAGTTTAAGACAGATACCATGCCTCTAAAAAAGGAACTGTCCCAGCAGAGGAGCGGGCAGGTCACATGAGAGCTGATGCCCATAGCAAGCTAACTATTTGTTTCCCCTTACTGGTAAATGAAAATGTACAGCTGGATGCTTCGTGCTGCCTTAGCAACAGAACGCTTTTCTTTATTGACGAGCATGTGGACTACTCACCCAGTGACAACTTAAGTTAAAATATGACCTTTTGCGGACTAAACTATGACTACCTTACAAGTGTCAGAGAGTGCTTAAGCTTTGAGCTGATGTCCTGATTTGAGATGTTCATTCTCAACAAGAACACTGGAAAAATGATCATGCTGCTGGGTTCCTCCTGACTGTTTAGGCCCATCAGGCCCTACACACTCTATACACTCTTTCTTACACGTCCTGCTGGCTGAGCAGTGAGATCCATGGTTATTGAGGACCCTGAGCTGCACAGTCTTGGCTACACCAGAGTAAGCCTGGGTTGCCATATTAGTCAGTGCGTGGCTGTAACAACAGTGGAGACACTCAGCTCAACAAAAAGGCACTTAGCGTGGCTCGGTCGTGTAGTACTTTCCAGAAGCACACAGTAGGGTCTGATCTCCTGTACCATGGCTAGAGTATGAAAGAAGGAACAAGGGAATATAGTCTACTGTTCATAGTCACCCCTGAGTGGCCTGATCATTTCTCTTTAAAATTCCAGAACCTCAGCCAGGTAGGGTGGCTCATGCCAGTGTCTGGCGAGCCTCTGTGAGTCTGAGGCCAGCCTGGGCTACATAGTGACTCCAGGACAGCCAGGACTACACAGAGACCTGGTCTCAAAGAAACAAAAACAAAACAAATCCAGTACCTCTTAAAGAGTTCCCAATATGGGGATCTGGAGAGATGGCTCAGAGGTTAAGAGCACTTCCAGAGGTCAAGAGTTCAACTCCCAGCAACCACATGGTGGCTTACAACCATCTATAAGGAGATCTGGTGTCCTCTGCTGGAGTGCAGGTGTACATGCAGACAGAACATTGTATACATAATAAATAAGTCTTAAAAAAAAAAAAAAAAAAAAAAACAGTGCTAGTATGGGGGCCAAACTAAGACACCTTAAGGTCTTCCAGGGATGACCAAGAGTTTATCTTTGCTTCACTCAGTACACTTTTCTTTATGTGATATACAATTTTGTAAGTTTCTGTTGTTTCAAACATGAACTTAAGTGTTCAGTCCATAAATGCACTTTTTTTTATTAGGCAAACCACAGTGAAAATGGAAAAGAAGGGGCTCCTGAGGAAGTGGCTGACGAGAAGAAACTCAGTGGGCTCACAAAGGACCTGCAGAAGAGGTGCGTGCTGACATAAGGCTGGGGTCCACTGTCCCTGAGTCCTGGCCAGCTTCCTTGGGGGACTTTTAGCATGACAGGCCCCACCACCCATGGCTTGCTTTATGTAAACATCTGAAGGAGCTGCTGTTTGCCCTGTGCATGGACAAGCTGTAAAGCTTCCCTGTTTGAGTGACTGGCACAGTCTAGGAAACATTTTATTTCCAAATACAAACTGGAAAAACCTGCTTGCAAGTGCATCTTCTATAAAGCCTTGGGAATCCTTTGTTCCTGAGCAGCTGTGTGTGTTTGTGTGTGCACGCGTGTGTGATTTGTACTAGTTAGAGGAGCCCTATTCTGTGGGTTGCGTGACCTACTCAGTGCTTGTCCCTTTCTTTTCAGGCTGCCCCCGGTTATGGCTCAGAACCTCTCCATACCCCTGGCTTTTGCATGTCTACTGCATTTAGCCAATGAAAAGGTAGGTCATCCAAATAAGTATGGAGGTGTTTGGATCTGCATTTTCCTGCCAGCTCACTAGAGCTTTTATAGCAGATCTTCCGCGGGTCACCACATTAGTGGCTAAGAGCACAAACTGCTGTTCAGAGGGCCTGGTTCAGTTCCCAGCACCCAATCAGGCAACACACAACTCTTATAACTCCAACTCAGGGAGATCTGGTCCTCACTTCTGGCCTCTGACACATACTCACAGAGACTTACACACACACATGAATAAAAGAAAATAAAAAGCTTTGTTTTGTTTTGTTTTCAAGACAGGGTTTCTCTGTGTAACCCTGGCTGTCCTGGAACTCACTCTGTAGACCAGGCTGCCCTTGATCTCACAAAGATCCACTGCCTCTGCCTCCTGAGTGCTGGGATTAAAAGTGTGTACCACAGGAGGCAGGTGGAGCTCTGTGAGTTCAAGGCCATCCATCCTGGTCTACAGAGTGAGTTCCAGGACAGCCAGGGTTACACAGAGAAACCCTATCTCAAAAGGAAAAAAATAAGACTATGGAGCAAGGGTGGCAGGCACATGGCACCTATCTGTGGTTATGGCAGTGAAGTATTCCTCTGTGGTTCCTAATACAAGCTGGGCCATCTAACATCAGGTGCCAACCAACCTGAAGAGAGACTAAGAAAAGCTGAATAGCTAACTGTGGGAAACTGTTACCACCTTGACAAGAAAGTCTGGGCAGTGGCTGAGTCCCATTGGGAGTAGGAGTGTGGTTCACTGATGTCTCTGCTCTGGCAGCTCTACTCCCTTTTCCTTGTGATGGTGCAGGTTTTAGAGGCTTCACTCCCTCTTGCTGTGATCAAGTCTCCCCTGTAGAGGCCTTGATATCTGAAGAATGCAAAATGGCCACAGCTCATGCCCTGTCAGGCCAAGCACTGGATTGGACTTGGACCATTTTGACATTTCCTAAGATCAGCAGTCTGGGATGACTCAGCAACCCCAAAGAAAAACATGCCCAAATACTTCATCCCCAGCCTTGACCTCTGTGCTTTCTCTCTTGGTCATTCCCATGCAGACCCTATTCTTCCATCACTGTAGTTAGTGAACCCCCTCAGAGACTGTGTGGTGGGCTTAGGAGCCCTCTCCCTCTGCCTCCACAGTCAGCAGCATACAACTGCGTAGCCAAACTGGGACCACCACCTGACACCCTCCCACCCCAGATTAGACTTAGGGCCTTACATACTGTATGTTAGGAAAGTGTTCTACCACTGGGTCCCCATCCTCTCTGCAGCTTCTAGAACATGAGCTCCAGCGCGCCAGGAAGGTGTGATAGGTGCCGAGTACCCAGACATCTCACTCAGCCCTGCACCTGAGGCAGGGGCGGGAGTGGGTAGCTGTCAGGGATGAACAGTTGGGGTGGGGTTATAGATCTGTGGAGGAGCCAATGTGGACAGGTTAGTCATGTGTACCCAGCTCCTGGTGGCCTCCCTTTCTGCATCTCTTAGCTCCCTTGGGACAGATCTGGTTCTTCAGCTTCTGTGGGAGTCATGTTAACTGAAACAGAGACAGAGAAAGCTCCTTGCCTTTTTCCTGCATTTAGCAAGGACTGAGAAGCAGCTTTGTACAAACTGTATTTGCTATGAAATGATTTTCCTTGTAATGATGAAACAGACTTCATTCTCTGTAGTAGGCACCTTGTCTCAACTAAAATTTGTCTCAGGATTCTCTTCCCAGTCTATCAAAGCATCTTTCTTTCTCTCTCTCTGTTTTTGTTTTTTGAGACAAGGTTTCTCTGTGTAGCCTTGGCTATCCTGGACTCACTTTGTAAACCAGGCAGGTCTTGAACTGACAGAGATCCACCTGCCTCTCCTTCCCAGAGTGCTGGGATTACAGGTGTGTGCCACCTGGACTGGCTGAAGCCTGTGTTTGTTATCTTCCCTCAGAATCTGAAGCTACAAGGCACAGAGGATCTTTCTGATGTTCTTGTGACGCAAGGAGACTGAGTCCACTTTGAGACACCTGCAGCAGGAGGCCCATTGCTCTCTGGTGGCAGTGGAGAGGTGCTGGCGCTGAGTGTGCCTATAGCCCACTACCACGGGACTGTTGCTCTCCCCCTCTTGCCACTTCTGTCTGGATGACACACCGAAGCTCCGTGCTGATGGAAGTTTTCACGTGGGTAACCATCCGCCTTGAGGAGCTTATTTATCTGGAGTGTAAAGACAATTTCTTCTTTATATCCTAGAAGAATCAGTGTGCTTTCTACTTTGTATTGTCATGGAGAATAGTTTCTCAGTATTCTCTTACTGTCTTTAAAGAGTTTCCTGATCCATGTACATAAAATTAATCATTTGTAAACTTCTAAATGTATATAATACTCAGTAATAAAACATCCTGGCACAGTTGTCTGAGCGCCCAGTAGACGCCCAGTATCAGCACCAGACCTGGTTATCCCCTCAGCTCTCCAGGACATGTCCATCAAGGCCAGGGATGCACACAAGCAAGAGGAGACAGATGCCTGTTTAGAGATCACGTCTGTGTATAAACATATAAACACCTATGGATTCTGAGGGAGGGGTGGCAGTGGCAAAGATGATATAAGTGTTCTCGCCCTTCTGTGCATGGCTTCGTTTAGACTTGGCACCACCATGAGGCGCACACCAAGCAGGGGCTGATTGTTTCAGGGACGGGCCATGAGCCTTTACCCTGAATCACCTCGCTACTGCGCTGGTGTAGTCACAGGCTGAACACTGACTCCCTCCTCATCTCACACACCTCGACTCTCCATGCCAGTCAGCAGCAAGCTCAGACTTGTGTCACCTGCCCTGGATGACTGCAGTGGCCTCCTCCCTGTCTGCTACATCCACACTGTGGGGCTGGACCTCTCCCCCAGCCCCACGGAGTTCATGCTCCCAGATAGAAAATGTGTTCTCATACCTCGGGGACAGGCAGAAGGGTTGCTTAGTGTGCCCAGGATCCCTGTCACTCATTATCCAAGTCAGATTGGTAATCGTTCCTTATAACGTGCTCTAAGCTCAAACAAAAAGCAGTCCTTCCCGTGTAACTTCCTGGAGGACATAACAGACTTCCATTCATCCAGATCAGGTGCCAATGCCAGAGTAAAGGAAGGATTCCATCAGTCTAGCTTGAAGCAGTGGGTATGGAGTTATGGGAGCGAGAGTGACAAAGGCAGCTGCACCGTCAAGAAGAAGCCTGCCCGCGCGTAGATGACAGCTTACAGGCTGCATTCCTGGTGATCCTGCTCCTTTGCAACTGCCTAGCTTCAGGCTCTAGCAATTGCTCTGCTTCTGTGTGGCAGGGCCTTGTGAGTCAGGCCTCCTGAGGCTTGTGAGCCTCCCTCCTTACTACAAGGGAATGTTCCAACATGGAGGAAAGAGCCACATACCCCATGCTCCCAAATGTGCTTTCTAAATTATGTTCAACATAGCACCAGCTCCTCTCTGCTCCATCAGATGGTTTCAGAGATTATGAACAAACCTCAGTGGGAACAGTCAGGTCCTGGGCTGTGGGTTGGGAGTGTCTGCCATACCAGGAGGGGACTGGCCAAGCCTTTTCCTCCCCAGACCATCACTTTCCTATAGCAGGATGCCTTATGTTTTTCCCATTTACAGTTCCTTTTCACCCAAGACATTTTTACACATTTTACAGTGGGATATATGGGATACAATACACAAACACTTGCTGATAAATTTAAAACAGTACAATGAGACCGTAATTCTTAAATCCAAGTGCTCAGGCATCTCTGTCCATGACCCAGAGGACAGTTTTAGATTCAGCATTAAGATGCCTTCTTTCTCCATGTAGCCCTCTCCTATCACATGATGAATGCAATGCCTACACTGGGAGGATCCAAGGCACTGCTGTAACCCTCACCCTGGGAGCTGCCTTCTTGTAATGGTACCTGCATTCACTCAGGACCTAAACTGTGTCCCAGCATCCCAACTCCCCTTGTCATTGCCGACACTTTTGAGCTCCCCATTCCCACAGTCTCCACCAAGTCTAAACACCTGTCACCTGCCCTGGATGACAGCAGAGGCCTCCCTCCTGTCTTCTATGTCCATACTCTAGCCACAGCCAGCATCTTAAAACACAACTCGAGACATGTCTGCCTGAAGTATGTCCTCAGTTTGAAGGAGAAAGCCTACACTATCTGGGTTGAGGTCCTTTGGAGCTGGGCCCCACATGTCCAACCCCAGCTTCCTGTGGTTGTGGGACAGGTAGCAGCCACGGACGGGGGCAAGCTCCCATCTCTGGGTTATAACTCGGGGCCTCTGCATTGCTTGTGAGGATGTCCTCCCAACACCAATTCTGCAGTCACTGTGTTAGTTCTGTTGCTGTGAAGACACCGTGACCAAGGCAAGTTGGTTTTTTGTTTGTTTTTTGAGACAGGGTCTCTACCCTGGCTGTCCTGGAATTCTCTGTGTAGACCAGAACTCATAGAAACCCGCTTGCCTCTGCCAACCTGCTGCTGGATCTAATGGTATGTGCCATTATGCCTGGTTTAACCTGAGAGTTTACATCTTACATCTTCATCTGGAAGCAACTGAGTTGGGATCTAGGGTGGGCTTTTGAAACCTTAAAGAACACACTCAGTGACAATGTGGGGACATGACAGGCAGCCCTAACCTGATGGCACAGTGTTATTAAGCAATAACAGAAATGAACTGCTCTATCCCAGTCAATCACTAGCACGCACATGCTTAGACCAGAGTAATAATTTACACGGGTCCTTGTGAAGGCTAAAGAAATTAAATAAGGAGCCAGGCATCCCTTAAGGGCCACTGACCTTTTGCTCTGGGATGGATGCCTGGGAGATTCTAGTGGCCATTATTTTAAATATAATAATGGGCTGTGAGGAATTAACAGCTTTCTTTGCTTCTGTAAAACTTGCTTATCACCTTGGGAAAAGAAAGCAGTCTTTTTATTACTACATATCAGAAAACAAAAACAACTGCGGGAATTTAAACAATTGTCCCGTCCAGCTGTGGATTCCATGGATAGTTCTACACCTTTCTGATGTCCACTTTTTTCTTTTTTTTAAGATTTGTTTATTATGTATATAGTATTCTGCCTGCCCATGTGCCTGCACACCAGAAGAGGGCACGAGATCTCATTACAGATGGTTATGAGCCACCATGTGGTTGCTGGGAATTGAACTCAGAACTTCTAGAAGATGACTCTTAACCTCTGAGCCATCTCTCCGGCCCCCTCTGATGTCCACTTTTAAAACTCCACCTTATTCCCCTTCAGGCCTTCATGCTGTTTGGCTCTAAGGCCGCTGTCCTGCTAGTAGTCAGAAGAAATTCATTAATCTAAATTTGAATTGAGTCTAAGTTTTGGTCTTCCCCAAACTTTGGATTTGAATGCCACAGCAAGACACAACAAGGCTACACTTCCTAATCTTTCCCAAAACAGATTAACCAACTGTAGAGCAATCATTCAGATAGATGAGTCTGTGAGGGTCATTCTCATTCAAACAACCGCATTCTTCCATTCCTTGGCCCCTGGGGCCTGTAGCTGTATCATTATGCAAAATGTATTAAGTCCAACTTCAAAACTCCCCATAGTCTATCTCAGTCTAAACACTTATTTAAAAGTCTGAAAGTCTCTTCTGAGACTCAAGGCACTCTCTTAATTGTAACCCCCTGTAAATTACACAATTCCAACATACAATGGCACAGAATATACATTACCATTCCAAATGGAAGGAAAGAGGGCATAGTGAGGAATAACTGGATAAAGCAAGACTGAAATCCAGCAGGGCAAACTCCAAATTCTACATCTCCACATCTAATGTCAAAATGCTCTTCAGATCTTCCATCCCTTCCAGCTCTGCTGCCTGCAACACACTTCTCTCTTGAGCTGGTTCTACTGTGGCTGCCACTCTCCTTGACAGGTATTATGAAAGCCAAACTTTTGTTTCAAGTTCGAATTACTGTACCAAGAGATCCATAAAACAAAAATGGCTTTAACCTGTGGGTCCTTTACCCAAGGACAGATACTTCCTGAGATTTGGGGGCTGTTGTTCATATAAGAAAACAAGCCACACATTTTCACTTCCCTAAACAAGTTTGGTTTACCCAACTGCACTGGGTACACTCGACCACATGCAGGCAGGAGGTGCTTAATCATGCATAGGCAGGGGATATGTCCAATGTATACTTGGTCCTCTAATGGACAAAACAGGAAGTATATAGCCTTATAGGTTTGCCTTTATAAGCACCTGGTCAAGTATAGTTTGTGTTCATTTTCAGGGGTCCCCAGAATGGACATGGCTAGAGTCTAACATCTTGGCCAACATTTAATTAAAGTTTGCTTCCAATCTGGCTCAAAGTTGTGGTACTGGCCTTATTCTCAACCAGTGGGATTAACAGTATCCCACGGCCCTGGTATCTCAAACATCTTGGGGTCTCCTTCACAGCTTCATGAAATGGCCTCTTCAGGCCTCCATGCAGATTCACCAGCTTTCCTTTACCATAGAGGAGGAACTCACAATCCTTTTGCTCACTTCTGCATCCTTCTTTACAAAAGCAGAACCATGTTTCTGAAGCTACCAGTTCTGTTTCCTGCTTGGGATGGAGCCTGCTGCCTTCCTTATATTCGCATACGCTTTGACTCCTTGATGCTTTCCTTTGCTCCAGGTCCTTCAAGCCTTTCTTTTTCCTGGTTGGAAGCTTACCTGGGTGGAGTCTTACACAGAGGACACCATTCTCTTTATTCCATTTCACATCCGGCCTTTCTTTAAACTTCTCATCTCTCTGAGCACAAGACTAAACACCATCACCATACTTCTTGGTGTCCATTCTCTCCTCAAACTGTGCATTGTTTTGTATACATACATGACATAAAAGTAGGAGGACTAATTTGGGGACAGACTACTAAGAGAGGGTAGAGGAGAGGTTCTCAACCTTCCTAATGCTGTAACCCTTTAATATAGTTCTTCATGTTGTGGTGACCCCCATAAACTTATTTCATTGCTACTTTATAACTGTCATTTTGCTAGTTATGAATCATAATGTAAATGTCTGATATGCGACCCCAAAGGGGTTGCTACCCACAGGTTGAGAATCACTGGGGTAGTGGACTGTGACAGATTAATAGGAAGGTAAAAAGGTGAGCAGAATCCATGATCCACAGGTATGAAAATTACTTCAAGTTCACTTTGAAAGCAATAAGAAATAGTCAGCTTTGGAAAATGCAAGAAATCCAACGAGTGCAGGTCCCTGACACTCCGTTCAACTTAAGGCCACAGAGGCTGATGGATCAACAGCCAATACTGCAGGTACATCCTTGAGGGCTACTACCAGAACACCTCTCTTGGCAAACTGTCACCGCTTTCTGGTAGCCTTCTGAGTGCTTAGCCTGGGCTGAAGAACTCACCAAGCTATTACTATGTTAAATGATAAATTTCAGGACCATGGTGCTGCCTGATAATTGTCCCCTCTGTGGTTTAGAATTCTTCCCAGCACACCAAGGCATGTCTCTCTCCCCAGGATGCCCTCCTGTAGGCCCAGATGCTACAGCACCACTATTGCCAGGGCTTGCTCTAGGCTACTCTCTTGTCCATCTCTTTACCCCAGACTTACTTCCTATAATCAAGTGGCTTTAGCCAGCAGTGGATGGGTGCAGTCATTTTATTCACATTCTTGTTGTCATTTATTATTGTTGGCACGCTTCCTTTGACTAACTTGCAAGTTACACACTGGTCAGTAAGATAGGATCACCAGCAACTAGCAGTGACCCTGTGACTGTGAGGGACAGTCACATTCCCTAAAGGACAGAATGCAGTTCTTAGTAAGTGGTTTGGAACACGGGTAGACCTTCAAATCTACTTTTTCTACCCCTGCCTAGATAACTTCAAGCCAGCTTTTCCACAAGAATGAAAACAGCATTCCATATCCTTCTCACAGGGCTGCTACTAGGAAGACAAGTATGTATAAACCATGACCTCAGAAGGTTCTTCTCTTATTCCCACAGGATGGCTCCAGCACCAAATACTATCCCCAACACAGCTCAGAATACTATTCTCATTCTGTTTATCCACCATATTTAATTGTCAGAGCTAAAGGCGAGCTGTTGAGAAGACCCCGGCCCTGTTTCAGAGGTGAAGCCTCCTCCTCACTCTGGGCGGCAGAGCTTCCGGATGTCGTCGGCCAGTCCCAGGCAATGCAGGATGCGCTTCTTCTCGGCATCCAGGTCCTCTGCAGAGACCTGGCCCAAGAGCTTCTGAACAAATATATCTTGGTCTTTCAGAAAGATGTTCTTATTGACTCCTGCATTTGGCACATTCTCCAGGGACCCAGATTTGAATTGGAAGTTTAAATATCGGTTTCTTTTGAAGCCGGGCCCTCTCTCTTCAATCCATGACAAGAGACTGCAAAGACGAAAAAAAAATCCTAATGTTAAAAATCACGCTGGACAGAGCTGAGCTCCGCAGCTCCCACATAAAGGCTGCACCGGCATGGTGGGCTGCTTGTGATGTCAGGGATCAGGAGGCAGAGGCGGGACCCCTGGAGAGCTGGCTGCCCAGACTCGTGGAAGACGCAAGGCCTAGATTCAGTGAAAGACCCCGCCTCAGTAAACAAAGTGGAGACTGGTCACGGAGGAAGACAGCACTTAACAGCAACCTCCAGCCTTCACATGCACGTGCACAAACACACACACAGGAACTCATGTCACACACGAGCCAAGAGGAAAAAAGAACCAGGAAGGCAGATGGGCGCTCACACCTGTCGTCATGCGACAGGTCCCATTTTCCCCGAGACGCTGGCTCCCTGTGGTGGCACAGCGACACCCTGATGTTTCCAACGTTAGTATAACCAGGTGTTTATTTTGCCTATTAGTCACCATTAGGCGACTTCTGTGTAAACACTGCTTTGCACCCTGAATCGTCTGGGTTGCTCTACTTAAGGGAATCCAGCTAGGGAAGGCAGGCAATCACAAGCCATGAGAAATGGCAAACTGTTGTGTGAGTTCTCAGGTTATTTCACTGGGTTCTCAAAGAACACAGGAGAGCAAATGCCTTCCTGTTGTGAGCAAAGCATCTCTGTATCCATTTCACTTCCTAGACGTGACTCATAAAGACTCAACTTTCTCCGAAACATTCCTTCACGTATGTTGCTCCTTCTTATTTATTTATTTAGCAGAGCTATGATACCTGGACATGGAAAACAGAAATCTCTGTCTAAGTTGATTGTGATCGCAAGCAAATATGTCTTTGAATATTAAAAAGTAACAAAAAGCTGATCAAATTTTATCCAAAAATTAGTCCCCATGCATAGCTTCCAAAATTCACAGAACAAGCTAGGTAAAGTATGGAATTCTCGGCTTTGAGGTGGGCTATACAGCCTATTAGTAAATTAAAGGCCAGCCTGGGATACATATTCACCATTTTTACTTTAGTTCTGGGTAAAATAAATTTGAGCTATTCCAAACAGTTTTATCTACTTAAGACAACTTCATACAACCTTCCAAAATAACAGAGTGTTAAGGTTTGAGGCAGTGCAGAATACCAACGTGTTTCTTGTGCCTCAATTTCCCAAAACTAAAAATATGCAATGGTGGTAATGGCACGTGCTTATGTGTATGCTAATACAAAAGAGGCTGAGATAAAAGCACTGTCTGAGCCAAGGAGTGTGGGATTGGTCTGGAGAACATGGCATCTTATCTCTAAGATGAATAGAAAAATACGTAAACAATAAGCTTAAATTAATTACCTGTATAACTGAATTACTAGCAACTTGCTTTATTTTTGTAAGTCATTTATTGATTTTATTATTTTTAAAAAAGATTTGTTTTTATTTTATGTGCATTGATGTTTTGTCTACATGTATGTCTATATGAAGGTGTCAGATCCCTTGGTACTGGAGTTACAGATGGCCATGTGGATGCTGGGAATTGAACCCGGGTCCTCTGGAAGAACAGCCAGTGCTTTTAACCATTGAGCCATCTCTCCAGCCCTGCCATTATTTATTTAATGACAACTAAACTTATATTGTTCCTTCAGACCTCAGAGGGTGCAAAGAATGGAAAGCCAACACAGACAACAGCTCTCTGTCTGGATGGCAGGCAGTGGTCCTTCAGGACCTCTTAGGAGCTCTCCTTATGAACACCTGAGGACACTGAGAAATCTCTCTTCCTACTTCTCACCACTCACCCCTTGTCCTGGGTCTCGAGCTGCACAGTCATTTTCAGATACTGATCTTCTTTTCGGTCTTCCAAGGTGGCAGAAATAAGAGAAAGCTCCCCAAAGAGGCTGACCAGCCAGGTCAGGCGAGAAATGCCACTGAACGCAGGGAAGCCAAATTTCTCTTCTTCCAGTGGGCTAGCTGCAAGAAATCACAAATGCTAAGAGAGCTGGGAAAAGGAATTGTCTTACAAGATCGTACCCAAAGAAGCTGGGAAAGGAGCATTAACTGAACGATCAGGAGAAGGACGTCTGCCTCATGGTGCGTGTGTGTACAGTAAACAGTAAAAGGATGAAAAGCAGCGGGCACAGTCGAGCATGCTTGTAATCGCAGTACTCAAGGAGGCAGAGGCAGGCAGATCTCTGTGAGTTTGAGGCCAGCCTGTCTACAGAGTGAGTCCAGTATAAGGCTACACAGAGAAACCCTGTCTCAGAAAAACAAAGAACAAAAAAACCAAACAAAAACCAAACAAACCAAACCAAATCAAGATGAAAAGCAAGGTGCTAAATGGAAAATATTTCTTTTATTTTTTAAATATAGTATTTTAATTAAATTTTTGAAAAAAAAATTATTTAATGTTGTTAGTAAAGTAAGCCAAACTAACAACAGCCAGAGAGAATTAAAAAGTTTGCTGTTTTGTCTTTGTTTTAGAAAGAGAGAGAAAGAAATAGAGGGAGAGAGAGTGAAAGAGAGAGTATGAGAATGAGTTGGGTGTGTATGGTGGAAGAGCTGGGAGAAAACATCCAAAAAAAAAAAAAAAAGCTGGGTACTATGGCACACACCTGCAAACCACCACACAGGGAGGCAGAGGCAGGCGGATCTCTGTGAGTTTGAAGCCAGCCTGGCCTACAAAGCAGTCCAGGACAGCCAAGGCTACACAGAGAAAACAAAACAAACAATCAAAATAAAACAAAACAACCAGCCAAGAAAGACATGATCAAAATATATTGCACAAAGGATTTTTCTAAGAAAAAAATGTTTTAAAAGTTTCAGATTTCTGTTTCTAAGATACTGAATCCAATTATGTGTTACTATGAAAATAAGTATTTATACATACACATACTTATATTTTCTTTTTTCTTTTTTATTTTTGGTTTTTGAGACAGAGTTTCTCTGTTTAGCCCTGGCTATCCTGGACTCACTTTATAGACCAGGCTGTCCCCAAACTCACAGAGATCCACCTGCCTCTGCCTCCCTGAGTGCTGAGATTACAGGCGTGCACCACCACGCCTGGCTACATACTTCAATTTCAATAAATGGTTTAAAGAGATCTGGTAAGTGGAAGCTTTTGAGACTCAGATTCCTAGAAGTATTGCCTATGCCTGGCAAGAGGAGGATGTCGCCATGACAACCTGAAGTGTAAAGAAAATATTAATGCAGTATTAATGAAGTATTTAGGATTTATTGTGGCAGAGATACAGTCAGGTGCCTCTTCTTGCTGACAGTAATGCCACCCCTCCTTCCAGATTTTCTGTTTTCTCTTTAACTCCCTGGTTTTTTGGCTCAATAGATTGTCCTCCTGTCTAGAAAGAACTGGCATGAGCCAGTACCCATGTTTAGTATCTATTTCCAGGCATGGTGAATCCCAGTTTTTCAGGGGGGTTCTGACAACACTTGACTCTGACAGGGCAGGAGCTTTTGAGCAGCTCTCAAAGCCTTTTCCTCTCTGCTTCTATGTGGACCGTAAGTGTTTAGGCATGTATACTGCTCAGTCACAGAACAGCCCTTCCATATTCCTCTTGGGTTTAGAAACGTAACACCCCATTCCTTCCATGGATGAAGCCCCCTGGGTAGCCCTGCCTGAATGCATTTCCATTCCTGTGTCACAGACCAATCCATATTTGAACTTCTTACAGTCACTCGAGTATGCTTTTATGTTTTATGACAAAATGTATCCATCTTAAAAAATATGTGGTATTGTGTTGCTCGGTTTTAACTTATGCAAGTAACATCGATTTTTCTCTTATGTTCTAGGACTTTATTTGCACCGACATATATAACTTTCTTTTAATCTTTCTGATTAATAGTGTTGTATTGGGACTAATCCCATGTCAAGAAAATTGGTCTTTTATTAAATGTTTTCTCAGAAAGCACACTCCAAATGAGTCCCAGACACTTCACAGAGTACCTGCATGAGAAACTGTCTCTGCCCCGCCAATCTTAAACATAACCTAAGTTTGAAGGACTTCCATCTGTGACATTATAACCAAATATGTCTTCTGGCATTGACATTCACACTTAAAATACTCAGAATGTCCTAAATCAACAGCAGGTTAGGAATAAAACCAACAGGAAACCACAGGAAACTAGTTGTCCCAGAGGTGCCCTCTGCCTTGGCCTTCACTTGCTGCAGTCTGCTTGGCAGCTTACTCAGCAGCCACGGAAAGCCTGAGGCACACACTGAAATACCAGCCTCGCTCTGTCCCACACATGTGACCTTTCTCCCCTCAAGTCCTTTCCCAAAGCACAAGGATAATGAACAGCGGCTTCAAAGGCAAAGACCTTAAGTCGCATTTTAAGACAGCACATACCACGTTCTCAGCAGTTTCTTGCTCAGGCTAATGGTTATACCACTTCTTGTCATAACTCTCACGCAGTTTTCAAGACAGAAGACAATCTTACCACTCAGTAATGCCCTTCCACTGAGGAAGGGAGGTACAGACACTCAAGGGGGACCAAAAAGAAATCAGTCCAAGGTGACCCTAAGATCTGCACAATTACCTACAGTTAATACTTAAAGAATGACTGACATAAAAATCCAAATTAAACATGATGAATGACTGGTGTAGCCAATGTCCTTGTAATTTGATGGAGGAAGAGAATAAACTTTCTGTCTGTTCTACAAAAGATGTATGAAAACATTCCCTTCTCCAAACATCTATTTCCCAATCCTTTCTGAAAAGTTGTTACCTACAATATTCTAGAGAAAATTAATCTCCAACTAGTTGTTTTGTTTCATTTTTGCAGTGCTGAACTTGGAGCCCAGGGCCGGCCTCTGTCCTAGGCCAGCACTCCAACCATGAACTCCCTTTCCAGCTCAGTTAAAATATCACTAAGAAAGATTCTGTCTGAAAGGTTTGGACAGAAGCACCCATGAGATTTCTGACTCACCTTTCAATTCAAGGTTACATTGATCAAATACATCTCATTAAGGAAAGATGAAAACAGAGTAATGGTTAATCTTCCCTGTCAGCTTGGTTGAGTTTGGGACTACCTAGAGTCACACTTTGGGACGTGTGTTTAAGGAGTTATGGGAGTTACCTGAGGAAGAAGAACCACCATGAACGTGGTTCGGCCTACCATGGGCTCAAGTCCTGGACTGAATGTGAGCAGAAAAGAAAAAGTGAGCACACATTGAAAATGCCTACCACAGTGTTCTGCTGTCAACAGCGGACTGTGCTATCCCCCTCAAAAGCGAGCAACATGAACACTTACAGACATTTCCTGTATTAGGTGTTTTATCATAACTAGAAAAGTTGTTAGTATACATGTTTTTATTGTTCTTGTATGAAGTTCTCTAAAGATAATTTAAATAAAAATATTTATTAAGATGGTTAATGAAGTACGCCTTAAATCTAACCTCTTTTTTTTAAAAAAAAAAAAGTCCCTTCATTTTTCTGTATATGGGTGTTTTGCCTGCATGTATATCTGTGTACCACATACTTCCAGTGCTTGAAGAGGGAGTCAGATCACATGTGAGTGGACTTCCTGACAGCTGTAATCCACCACATGGATGCTGGGAATCAAACCTGAGCCATTGAGAGCTCTTAACCTCTGAGCCGTCTCTTCAGACCCTTTAATATAATCTCTTTGGATATAAATCACATGTACAGTTCCTTCAGGGGCACTTTGATATATGTTCCTTTCCTAATAGACACACAGCTGTTTTCAACTTCTTTACTTCTTTTTCAGCTTTAATAGCTGACTGACTTTTCCTCTTTTTTTTTTTTTTTTTTTTTTGAGAAGGGTTTCTCTGTGTAGCCTTGGCTGTTCTGAACTCACTTTGTAAGACCAGGCTGGCCTTGAACTCACAGAGATCCACCTGCCTCTGCCTCCCGGAGCGCTCGGATTACAGGTGTGCGCCATGGTGCCCAGCTGACTTTTCCTCATTTTGAGGACCTGAAGCTGTCCACGCTCACCTGAGCAGAGCCGCTGAGAGTGCTCAGATGACAACTCTAGTCTGGGTGGCTTCTGCTGCCAGTGATGTCGGGACAGAAGATGGTCACTCTTGGGGGCCCCAGTGACCAGCCTTACACTGACCTGTGAAGTGAAGAGACCCTTTCAGGAGTTCTTTCCCTGCAACTTCTTTTTTCAGGAACGCAAATTCTTGCATCAAGAGTTCCACATGCTCCTCATGTAGGACTTTCCCTGTTGTGACAAAACAGAAAAACATGTGGCCATTATCCACTGTGTGCAACTAGCTGTGTGCCCGAGATTATGCCAGTCTTCCTCCAGAACAAGATCCAGCACGCCCACGAACAACGTGCAGAGCGCGTTAGGATGATACCACTCTACCCTAGCACCCAGGCTGACATTAATGTGCACAGGCTTCTAACACATCTAAGTCCTTGTGAACACTTATCTACAGGTTAATGGTGCATATCTGTGGGAGGCACGGAGGTTCTTGTGCGCACAGATAAGCACAAGGGGGACCAGAAATGTTAAACACACAGGGTTGTCCCTTCAAAGGGAGAGATAGAAAACCTGTCGGTCTGCTCAGAAGGCTGGGAGCAGACATGGTCAACAGCCTGGTGACCTTTGCGCCCAGACCCTTTCATGAGCTTGTCAATCTATAGAACCTACCTTTATGGAAAGTGCCACATGTCCTTGACAAAGTGTTTTGATACAGTCTCATCTTAAACTTTATTGAACACATGGGATCGAGTTAATTATCACCAGGAAAATTTTCACCAAATTGTGCTGTGCTTAAATATGCTGAAATAAACTGCTCAGGGTCAGATGCCTGAAGTTTGAACAGTGACTACTCAGTTGTGCTGAATTGAACGACTGTCTTGCCTTTTCCAAATCATTACTCTGCTGGCCATGGTGGTCAGCAGAGACCCCTGCATATATCCTAAGGAATGTGGTATCTTTTGTACTTTTTTATTTGCATTTCTTTAAAAACTGGTGACGTTATACTTGTTTACTACTTTTTTTTTTTAAAGATTTATTTATTTTAGGTATATGAATGTTCTATCTGCATTCACACCTACCAGAAGAGGGAATCAGTTCACATTATGGATGGTTGTGAGCCACCATGTGGTTGCTGGGAATTGAACTCATGACCTTTGGAAGAGCAGACAGTGCTCTTAACCACTGAGCCATCTCTCCAGCCCTGTTTACTACTTTTTCAGTCAGGTTATTTGGTTTGTTTCTATGCTGTGGAATCCTGTAGATATTCTGAATGTTAAACTTTTCTCAGTGATGTCATTTGCATATAGCTTCCAGAGCAAAGGCTGCCCTTTTTCAATCTTTCCTTTGAAGCATCAAGTCTTTTACATTTTGACAGTTTTATCCTTTCACTTTCCTTCTGCTTTTAAAATTACATGAAGAAATTGCTGCCACATAAAATGTTATGGAGGATAATTTCTTCAATAAACGATACTTGGGAAAGTAGATATTCACATGCAAAACACTACACTTACACACTTATCAAATCAACTCACAATGTATTAAATGCTTAACTATAAGCTCAAAAGCTTGGAAACAATACATGAAAACATACGGTAAGTTCTTGAGAATACTGGTTCTGTTGCTGTGATAAAATATCATCACCAGAAACAACTTAGCAAGAGTTTAAGATCCCATCATAGCAGGAGGCATGGCAGCAGGCGTGGTAGGAGGCAGGAGGCAGGAGGCAGGAGGCAGGAGGCAGGAGGCAGGAGGCAGGAGGCAGCAGGCAGCAGGCAGCAGGCATGGCAGCAAGCGTGGCAGCAAGCGTGGTAGGAGGCAGCAGGCAGCTGGCAGAAGGCATGGCAGCAGGTATGGCAGCAGGCAGCAGTGAAGCAGGAAATTCAGTGAGCACATCTTTAACCAAAAGTAGAGAGAGGGGAGAGGAAGACTAGAAGAGGACGCAGCTATTATCATCAAACTTCCAGACTTATCTCTTAAACCTCTCCCAACAGTACCACTACCAGGGATCCAATGTTCAAGTTGGAGCCCATTTCTTTTAAATTTTTTTTTTCACAAATTACAATTTATTCACTTTGTATTCCAGCTGTAGCTCCCTCCCTCATCTCCTTCCATGCCCCTTCCCAAGTCTACTGATAGGCGAGGTCCTCCTCCCCTTCCCTCTGACCCTAGCCTATCAGGTCTCATCCAGACTGGCTGCATCATCTTCCTCTGTGGCCTGGTAAGGCTGCCCCCCACTCAGGGGGAGGTGATCAAAGAGCCAGCCACTGAGCTCATGTCAGAGACACTCCCTGGTCCCCTTACTAGGGAACCCACTTGGAGACTGAGCTGACATGGGCTCTATCTATCTGTGCAGGCTATCTCTATGCATGGTTCTTGGTTGGAGAAGGAGCCCATTTCTTATTCAAATCACCATAACTAGACTAGGCAAAGATTCCTTAGGTATGACACAAAAATGCAGACTACTAAAGCCAAGTGACTTAAGTGACAGGATGGCAAACATGTATACATAACAACAGAATAAAACACCACATACAAAATTAATTAAAATACTTGGAAACTTAATTAAAATACTTGCAAAATATATTCAGTAATAGGTAATATCCAGATTTTATATATATATATGTATAAAATTCAATAGAAAATGGAAATAATAAATTTTTTAAAAATTTAAATAGGTAATATCCACAGAAATTCTCTAAAGAAGATATGCAAATGGCCAGCAGCTACAGGAAAAAAAAATGCTCACCTTTTATCATTAGGAGAATTAAAATATAACCCAAAATAAAATGTCACCTCATTCCATTTAGAATGACTATTTATTAAAAAAAAGTAAAAAAAAATTGCTGGCAAGCATGTGAAAGAAGCTAAGGGAGAGGGTTCCTACACCATTGCTAGCATGGCTTAGAACTTACTGGCATGGAAGTTCCTCACAGGGTTCAACATAGAGCTAACATGACCCACCAATCCCATTCCTACATATGTAAACCACGGAAAGTGGAACACCAAAGGGACATCTGCACCCCCTTGTTCATCTCACACTACTTCAAAGGGCTGGTGGACAGATTCAGAACAGATAAACTGCAGCTCTTCCATAGCGAAGCTGAGGTCCTGCAGTTCCCACCAATGTGAGCCAGCCTACAGGGTATTATGTTAAGTGAAAGTGAAGTGAGCCGGCTGCAGAACGAAAAATAACAATGCCGTTCACCGTGCGGAATATAAGAAGCCAACCTTACAGAAGCAGAGAGTAGGATAATGCTTACCAGAAGGTGGGGGAGGAAGACGGGAGGGGCCAGTCAATGAATACAGATTTAATAGAAGAAGGACATCTGGTGCAGCAGTCCAGTCTGATGAGTCCCTTGAACTGAGCCATTCTTAGCCTCCAGATTTAGCCTCGCTCTCACACACTGTCCACTAGTCCAGCCCGGTTAGTTGACCAGATCCTATCCTATCCATCTACACCCAACCTCCTAGCCTAGTCTAGGTCGTACATCCTATGCTTTGGTCTGGTCTGGAGAGTTCCCTAGATCCTAGCCTGCCTGCTCTCTCTCTAATCCCCAGACCTAGGCCAGTTCACACAGGTGTGCACCAGCTCAGCCTGGTGAGTCCTTGGCACCTCACCTGCCTGCACCATACCCAACCCTTGGGCCTAGCCTTGGTGGCATAGACTGTCTGCCAGCCTAGCTAGCCTGTTTAGTGGCCATACTCCTGGCCCATTCATGCTATGCTCACTCCAAGGCATAGCTTGGGTAGCACATCTTGCACACCAGCCCAAAAAGATTCAGCCAAGCATATACCATTCGACTGCTTTCTTGCTTACCACTGAATTGGAATCATCCTGTTCCTCTCATCCAGAACTAACACCGAATCTGAAGGATTAACCGACTCGTCATACCTGATATAAAATAAACTAAACTTGGGCAACAAAACAAACATACTTCCATTCAACAGAAGCAACCTAGAATCTCACACTAGACACACAATCAAGGGAAGTCCACGCCTCCAGGTCTTACTGGAAAAAACACAACAGGAAAGGCTAAGACAGTATGTCCTCCCCTTAAAAGCCAGCAGTGCTATAGAAGTGTTCTCCAACGAGAATTACTTAAATGAATCCCAGTACACTGTGCTAAAATGTTTTAACCTTTATTTTTATTTTATGTGTATGGGTGTATTAAGTGCATGTAGTTGTGTCTGCGCACTACATGTGTGGAGGCTGGAAGAGTACATCAGAAACCCTGGGACTGGAGTTACAGACGGTCATGAGCTGCCACACAGATGCTGGGAATCAAACCGAGGTCCTCTGGAAGAACGGCCAATTCTCTTGGCTGCTGAGCCACCTCTCCAGCCCCAGGCCACAAATTAAAAAAGAATAATCAGCAATTGATGGAGTTTAAAGAAGACGATAGCAGGGGTTGGAGAGATGGCTCAGCAGTTAAGAGCACTGGCTGCTCTTCCAGAGGATCCAGGTTCAATTCCCACCCACAGGGCAGCTTGAAACTGTTTTGACGTAACTCCAGTTCCAGGGGATCTGATGCCCTCACACAGACATACATGCAGGCAAACAGCTCAATGAACTTAAAGAGAATAGCAATAAACAACCAAGTAATGGCCAAGAAAACACAAGCATAATGCTGAACAAAATGACAAGAACAATTAGGGACTTGAAAACTAAATTCAGTAAAGAGACCGAAATACTGAAGAGAACTCAAACTGAAATGAAGATAGAATTGAAAAATGTAAAAAGCCAATTCGAAAACTCAGGGGAAAGCCTTATAGTAGAATGGGTAAAATAGAAGACTGAGTATCAGGACTTTGGGCTTCTCCGAATTGCTCTTAGTCCCACTGCATGGAGAACAAGAAACTCTCAGGCATCAAGTGGATACCTTGACTTGGACATACAACTTCCAGTGGTATGAGGTATAAGCTAAGTAAATCTCTTTTCTTCATAAATTACCGACCTCGGCAGACAAAGATCTCTAACTCCAAAACCTTCAATGAGAACTAAGCATGCAGTATGTTTAAAAGAATTTCCTGGCATACGGTGACCCTTTAACAAATATTCCCTTAGCGGAACAAAGAAACTATCTAGTATATGTATAAGACAACCAATTACTCTGATTTGGGCATTTTTCCAATAGTTAAGTATCCAAGGTACAACCAAGTTATGAACTTCATGACATTATGACATGTGGAAACCAATCCACTGTTTCATTAGGACAAAGCCGAGTCTACCAAGTCCTCCACACCCTTCTCATCCACACAGTTCCCTATGCGTCCACAGCCCAGGGAGGAGGGAGATGCAAACTCAGCACCAAAGCAGATGCAGCCAGGGCAACTTCCTCGAAAGGCAGAAAGATGGCGCCCTAGACACTTAGGAGGCAGAAACGTGGTGTAAGGGCTGTGTGCAGGAGTCGGAGAATACATTACCTTTCTGTGCAGCCAGCTCCCACAGGTCCTGGGCTGCTGCAGACGACAATGCCATGGGGTACTCCACCAGGACATGCTTGCCAGCCTGAAGAAACTGCCTTTGAAAACAGAAACACAGGGAAAGGACATTTCAAGTAAATGCTCAAATGCTACGTATGACTGAGAACACAGTGCTGCAAATGAACAAGAGCCTGTGTGTGAATGCAACAAATAGCCAAGAGTCAGTGCCCTGCAAAATAAAGAATAATCTAAGCATAGCCAGGCGGCAGTGGTGCATACTTGTAATCCCAGCACTCTGGGAAGCAGAGGCAGGTGGATCTCTGTGAGTGCAAGGATATACAGAAAAACCCTGTCTCAAAACAAAACAAAACAATACAAAACATCTGTTCCAGGCATGGTGGTACATGCCTAAAAAATCAGCACTTAGGGAGGCAGAGGCAGGTGGATCACTCAGAGTTCGAGGCCAGCCTGTTTTACAAAGCTAGTCCAGGACAACCAAGGCTACACAGAGAAACCCTGCCTCAAAAAAAAAAAAAAAAAAAAAAAAAGAATGATTTATACCAAACTTTTTCAGTTATAAAATCATTTGACTATTCATCAATATTCAAGCTCTAGTTTGCTTTCTATCATGGTAATAAACACTATAACTAAAAGCAACTTGGGGAGGAAGGATTTATTTCATCCTCCTGTCCTACCCCCATTTTTTGGATACAGGGCTCTCACTATGTAGCTCTGGCTATCCTGGACTTCACTATGTAGACCAGGCTGGCCTAGAACTCACAGGTCGGCTTGCCCTAAGCCTTCTCAGTGCTGGGATTAAAGGCTTGCATAACCACATGTGGTTCCTGACAGTAACTTTTTTTTAAAATTTATTCAATTTTTATTTTATGTGCATCAGTGTGAAAGTGTCAGATCCCTTGGAACTGGCATTACAAACAGTTGTATGCTACCATGTGGATGCTGGGAATTGAACCTGGGTCCTTTGAAAGAGCAGGCGGTGCTCTTAACCACTGACCCATCTCTCCAGCCCCCTGACAGTAACTTGTAAAGGTCACAGGATGACCAGAATTTTCTGTGTTGATCATTAAGTCCCAGTTGCACAGTTTTAGCTTGCCAAGCCCTCTCTCCACATGTAAGGCCAAGCCTACCTGCATCAAGAAACCTACCTTATATAGTCTTCATGGCTGGAACTCTCACTGCAAATATAGGCGACATCAATCTCGTGACTGCAGAGAGCATCTTCCAAAGGGATCTGCCGTACTTCATCAAGACTCCCAAGTTCTCGTCTGTTTAAGAATAACATTCTCAAAACTATACAAATCCAAGGCTTATGTTAAATGAACAGCACTTGTCACCCCTCCTCCCAATGATGCCTACGGATGGAATTTTGGAAAGTAAGAAATTAATGGTCTCCTTTCTATTTCCTGGGTATTTTCCATTGTAGAATAAGGAAAGCAAGCAGCATTTCTTGGGTTGAAGTCAGGGGACCTAGCATGGAATGCCAGCATGGTCACCACTTGTAGAAACCCGAAGTCTTCCAAGTCACTTCTCTAAAATAAAAAGAACCAGATCCTTGTATTTCACATAAAAAGGATCTTTGTGGTCACTTCCTACTAAGTCCCTGGTGAAATGCTGTGAGCACTACCAAGCCCAATCTTACCCATGCATCACCCTGTATGAACTACCATAAACTCCAGGCTCTCTCACATACTTCAAGGCTGGGTGACCAGAAAAGCAAGCATCCCTGCCTCTTACAACCACCCCAGAGAGGCTGTGACTGGCACAGCTGACCAGTGTGACGAGGATGGAAACCTCGAAGACTATCACTGTGACAGAGAACACAGTAAAAGAGCCAAGGCCAGGCCATTTTGTACCATACTCCAGGGCAAAAGTTGTAGGAAGTGGGTGGTCCTAGAACAGTGCCATCGCAAAGCAACATGGCGCACCCAGCAGAAGCTCCAGCCAACAGCCGCTTCAGCCAAGAGGGGATTTGTGAGCTACCCAATCCACACTGCTGGATTAGACCACCACTTATTGTTTGCATGTACTTTAAAAATTACCACAACAAAAAGTGCAATAAAAGCAGAAATGGATTTGGAGTGGAGGTACAGGGAGACGGGAAGTGGAAGCAAAATTAAAACAAATTGTGCTTAAAAATGCCATAGTGAGACCTAGTAACTTGTACATTAACTTTAAAAAATTAATAAAAGAGAAAAGTTCAGGTCAATCACCAGCTTGAAAAGAACACATAGTGTTAGACTCAAAACATTTTTCTCTAAATGTAAATACTCTTGGGTTTTCCAGTTGTTATGACATCAACAAGATTACTCAATCTTTCTATGCCTCTACTTTCTTACTTTGACCTGAAGTTGGTAATAGTACCGAGAATGGTTTAAAAAACATAATGTACAAAGCCACTGGGATGACTGTTTTGAGTGACAGAATGGCTAAGTGAGCTACATCTAGATTTCCTTCAGGCCAAAGCCACCATGTGCTCACTGTGCCTTCTGTAATAAACGAACACCATGCTCACTTCACGCTCCTTGTGGGGTCTGCAGTGGGCATTACTTACTGGACATGCAGCTGTAGGCCCCTGGCTCTTTAGATCCCAGACTGCTCCAAACTACAGTTTCCAGGGGCTACTCTGCATGGTTCTCTGGAGACACTGCCTTTCCCCTGTAGTGTTGCCACTCATTGTGATTTCCATGAACACACACCAAGTGGGCCTTACCTGGACACAAATCCAACCAGGTTCAGGAATGCTGAAGAGTGTGGATCCCGCAAGTCCCTTATCCTCACGGAGCCAGCTCTGCCAACGCCAACCACCACCACACCAAATTTCCTCTGAAATACCAAAGACCGATGTGGGGTTTAAAAACAGTCCAGGCATCTAATGGAGTACATCAAAACTGATGACCAGCTCAGATTCTGGAAAGAAGGAAAGCCTGCCAAACCCCGGACAAGAGTCAGGGTAGGACTACTCTAGAAACCAGATCTCAGACACCAGAGAACAGGACCTAAAACATATTTGGAAAGGGCTCTGCCCATGTCTCTGTGTTGAAGACCTTCCAGGTATCTATCAGAAGGCCCTGCCCCTTTGGCTCTATCTACTGAAGTGGAAATTCTGGTTCCTTTGAAGACTCAGTTTTGTCACGTGATGCCTTGCTGGAGGCTGGCTTTCGAGAGGGCACGTGATGTTTTGCTGTGAGCTCTCTCATTCGAGGGGTGTGACTCTGGCCAGCTGAGAAATCTGTAGGTAAACTTAGAGGCCCACACACAGCCAGGCTTTGCTTTTTGGATGGATGTTGCTGCACTGATCTTTGTGCCTCCACACTCGACTTTGCAGAGAGAAACGTTCCAGAAACATCTCAGGGCAATCCAACTGAGTCTTGTGGCTTTCCATGACTTGTGCTAATTCATGTTGCTGCTTGGTGTTGGCCTTTGGACTGGACTTCTGGTATCCTGAAGACTGTCTTTGGTAATCTGCTAAAGACCCTAATTGACAGGAAATAGATAAAAGAGGTCTACAGCCCTTTCCCTTACTAATCTCCTATCTAATGTTGGGGGGGAGGGTTGGAAGGGAGGTAAAGGTGTTTAAGAACCGCAAGGAAAGCAGATTTCGTGAAAAAATCTAAGCCAACAATCTACTACCACTTCCCCACAGACTAGGGCATTTTTCTGCTATAAATGATGGTACCTCCACCCTACCTCAGTCTAGCCTTTACAGACAAGGACTTTAGCCAGCTGTGAGTCATTCAGAGGCAACAGCTGCTGTGCAAGAGGCTGACAGACCAGTGCACACAGGAAGACATCTCTTTATTCAGACTCAAGACCCATGTTGTTTTAAGTCTTTACCATGGCTGAGTTGCAGCTACCTTCACATTCACTCTACTCTGGTAGTTTAAATGGTAATCTGCTAGAGGCCAGATGTTAATAAACCATAGTGGGAAAAGAAAACGTCCATTTTAAAAGCTAAATAGCAGCAACACATTATCATGGAGTCACTTCCAGAAGAATATTCCCAATAGCTATGTTAAATCTTTGTGATTACAGCAAATATTTGAAACAATCACCATAAAAAAGGCTGTGTGACTCATTATTTTGGAGGTTCCAGTCTATAAACCCTGTCCATTCTAGCCCAGGAGGTCCTAATACTTCCTCTATCTCCTAGAGCCACAGCACAGACATCAGTAGCCTAGAGGGAAAAGGTTTTCCTGTTTGGGCTAATGTTTCTAAACCCTTTGGGGTGGGGGGAGGCAGAGAATATCTTGAGCAGGTGAAACAAGGGACCCTGAAAAATGATCACTGATTAGCTGGCCTTGCTGTGTGGGCCTGGAGAGCAAGCACACCATGCCAGGATTACACAGTGGAGGAAGGTCCTTCACTTCATGGCTAAGGACTGAAAGGGAGAGGGAGAGGCAGCGTTGTGACCCACAACAGGCACAGATAAAAACTCAGGGAGATAATTTCTCTTCTATCACCCACAGCCATGAATAAGTAGGTAGCCCAGGGGAGATGTTTTTGAAAAATCTGGAGAAAGGATAACATATAAGAGAAATATGGCACACTGCAGAAAAAGTGTGCTGTATTTAAAGCCCTCTGGATGGAACTCACCTCAGTGCTCATCTTGGTCTCTTCCGTCAGTGTCTGTAAAGACAGAAAGAGGTTCAGGACCCTGGGGGCGCTGGCACGCTCTATGAAGACTGTTTTCACGCTTAGCTTCAGATGTCAGTTTAACACTGTGAGAGGGAACTGTCGTATGACAACATACACAGACATCTATTCTCCCCACAACGGAGCCCTGACAGACCAGAAAACAACTGTACCAATGTTCAGTTTGGTGACTCAGCAAGTTTTCATTTGGGTCACTTAGAACTCACTAACAGGAATAAGGATGAAGGGTTACTACAAAGCGCTGAGGTAATAAAAAACTGTGAGCCTGGCAGTCTCTATGCAGTGAATCCGGTTAAGAATTTTTTTTCAGTGTGGCTGTTCAATCTTTACCCATAGCAACCGTTTTCTCCTTTTTTCGCTGCTGGGTAGGGGCCCTCAAGAATCTTTCCAAGTTCCCATTTCCCCCCACTTTGTAACATTTTGTTTGCCTTGTGACCCTTTCCTTCCCTCTTGGAGGAAATGTTGCAATTTGGAGAGCATGACTCAGAGTAGGAACGTAAGCTAAGGAACTGCCTAGATCAGATTTGCCTGCAGCCACGCTGTAGGGTATTTCCTTCATTGCCAATTGCTATCAGTCCACTGTGGGCTGTGCCTTCTTTACATAGGTAGGTCTGGGCTGTATAAAAAAGGTAACTGGCTGGGTGGTAGCACACACCTTTAATCCTAACACTTGGGAGACAGGAGACAGAGGCAGGTAGATCTCTGAGCTAGAGGCCAGCCTGTTCTATAGAGTTTGTTCCAGGACAGCCAGGGCTACACACAGAAACCCTGTTTTGAAAAAGCAAAACAAAACAAAAAAGAAAAAGAAAACAACAACAAAAGAAGGTAACTGAGTAAGCCACAGGAAGCAAGCCAGGACACTGCCTTCCTCCAAAGCCTCTGCTTCAGTTCCTGGGCCTTGAGTTCCTGCCCTTACTTCCCTTGATGATGTACTGTGAAGGGACTCTGGCCAGACCAAGCTTGGCAAACATGGCTCTGACAGGCCTTGCCCTTCTACTCCTTTCCCTCTGCCTTGCCAAAAATCATTAGATTACATTCCTGAAGCTAACCCACAAGATCCATTTCCTTATCTGGCCACTTCCTCCTCCTGTGGCTGATTACCGAGGTCCAGCTATTGAATTATTGAGGTCCAGTACTCAAAAGCTCCCTTTGGCTCACATAATTAACACGACCAATTAAAATTAAACACCTTATCCTAAAAAGGGGTTTCTCCTTTTACCTTATAAACCACCATTTTCCTAAGGGCCACCTTTGTTTGTCTCTATCCAGAGGCAGGCCTTTGTCCTACAGGGACAAATATCCTTGGCCCCTCTCCCTGTTCCCTTCCCCTTCTCCCTTTTCCTCTACCTCTTGTCTTTGTCTTTTTCCCAACCCTCTGTCCTGGGTAAATCTTTGTGCTGAAAACTTGGTGTTGAGGGTTCTGTAAGCCAACTAAATCTTTTCCTTCTCCAAGCTGCTTTTGGTTAGTTTCATTACAACAGAAGAGCAGACCAGGACAGCTGTCCTATGCGACCCCAGTTTTCCCCACAGCCTCTTTATCAGTCCCATTTCCTCCAAATGCCACCACCACCTTTTGCCGTTCAAGAATGGCACACGAGCTGGTATCTTCTTTTCTAGAGCTGCTGGTGGACAACTTCCTTGGGAAGATGGCAGTCAACCCAGCAATAGGTCTAGAGATGAACTTTTCTAAAACTGCATGGTCTATGTACTATCCTGGATAAGCATCTAGAGGTATATCTCTATGGAAATAATCCACTTCCCCAACTTCCAGCTTGGAGATCATGGCTTTTATCTGAGCATACTGTTTCTCCCCCATAGCTGACTTCCCACGGAACCTGAATATTTTTTAAAGACTTTTTTATGTATATGAGCGCTTTATCTGCACGTACTCCTGCATGCCAGAAGGCGGCATTAGATCCCAGTATAGATGGTTGTGAGCCACCACGTGGTTGCTGGGAATTGAACTCAGGACCTCTGGGAGAGCAGCCAGTGCTCTTAACTGCTGAGCCATCTCTCCAGCCCTGAACCTGAATTTTCTATAGGAAAGAACTGTTCAGCAGTCTTTCTAGACACTTCATATTAAAGCAAAAGAAAGAACCAGACAGGTGACCAGGAGTAGCAGGCAGACGGAAGAAATGGTAAGACAACCAGAAGCAGAAACAAGGAAAGCGAAGTGGCACACAGTCGCACCAAACTTCAATAGTCTCCTTGGCCAGCCTGCTGAGTGTGTACCCTGGGCTCTAGGTCCTGCCACAGAACTCCTAGAGCAGAGGAGGGCCAGGGACTGATTTCTTCCACAGGCATCTTGGAGAAGCTGCACTAGTAATTAGGAGCCAGCCTTAGGGAAACACTAGGAGTGTGGGTAGAATCCTGCAGAGATTAATTTGTTGTTGTTGTTCATTGTTTAGAACACTAGATGTGATACTTTAACTATGACAGAACATTTGGGTAACCAGAGGTGATGAAGATGAGGATAAAGGCACCTCTCCTGCCTCTGTGTGCAGAAGGCTGAGAAGGGAAGAAAGGGTGTTCTGTGGCATGCCTCCTACTGCCCTGGTCCTAGGATCTCATTCTCTTGGGGTACACGTAGTGATAATAATCACAAGTAACACTGAAATAATAACTCCCAGAAAAAAAGAGACTCTGGAGCTGGAGAAATGCCTCAGGGTTTAAGAGCACTGACTGCACTCCCAGCACCACGTTTGGCTAACAACTGGGGTCCAATGCCCTCTTCTGGCATTTGTGGTTCAGACAAACATGAGGCAAAACACACATACACACAAAATAAAAGTAACAGAATACATCTTCAAAAACCAGAAACCCTTCCTTGGGGCAACCCCAAGAGTGCCTTGGGGAGCGCTAAGAACATGTTCCCAGCAGGTTCCTCCTGTCTCCTCAGTGTTATCTGCTGCACTCTGTGGTCTAAAGCAGACTTTTCCTATCTCCTAACAATGGCGAAAAAGGCAAAGCAAATCCTTAAGGGACAGGGTATGAAACAGGGAGCATAGAAGGTTAGTGAGGACGCCTGAAGCTTGAGATAAAACATAAAGCCACGGTCATGTTAATACAGTGAGAAAAAAAAAAGAGAGAGAGAGAAAAAACAAAACAAAAAACAAGCCACAGAGGGGAGTGATAAAACACTCAGTAAGTAATGTGGGGACGAACTTTCAGAGAGAAGTACAGCTAGAATCTCAAGCTCTGCAGGAAACAGCACTAGCTTTTCTTTTCATGACGCTGCAAATAATCCCCGTGAAGGCTCAGCAAGCGCTCAACGCTGGAACATCTGTCTAAATATCACACTGGAAGCTGCGAGAGATCACACTTCCATGTTTGACCATTTACATAATCCCTGGAATGAAAAAAAAAAAAAATCTGACCAGATGTAAATCTTATTTTTGTAGGATTAGGTCTTCCATATTTTAAGATCTATTATAATGTAGATTATCCTAGATTTTGATCAAACTTTGGCAGGAAACGGGGAGAAGGAGAAAGAAGCGTCAGGGTGTCAGCTAGCTTTCCATCACTGTGACGAAACACCACACTGTGTATGTTGTCCGGCCACACAATGCCAGTGAACACAGCCTGAAACACCTCTGCTCAGGCTTGATGCTATCATTGTACGTTAAGAACTATTCTTTATGAGAGAAGAAGCTATTTACAATTTTAAAAAATTGAAAAAAGAATTACTATTATAGAAACTTAATAGTTTCATTAGAAAAAACAAAAGAAGAAAAAAAAAGAAAGAAAGAAAAAAAAAGGAGGCCAGGTGATGGTGACACAGGCCTTTAATCCCAGCTCTCAGGAAGCAGAAGCAAATGGATCTCTGTGAGTTCAAGGCCAAAGCCAGCCTGGTTTACAGAATGACTTCCAGGACAGCCAGGTCTGCAAAGAGAAACCCTGTCTGAAAAGAGAAAGAGAGATAGAGAGAGAATTTTCCTATCATTCCTTGGTATTAACCATCAATTTAGTGTTTCTTTGGATCATATTGTGTTAAAATATTTGATTTTTAAAAATTGCTATTTGATTGCCTATTTTAACTTCATTAAAAAAATAATTTAGTGAATTATGTCTTGGGATCAGGACAGAATTCCCAATGTGTCTTTGTAAAGTGGTGTTCTCAGTACAGATAATTATAAAATCAAAACACCCTGAGCAACCCTGAGGGCTGAGATGCTCTGTGTATCATATTTCAGCCAAGTATGAAAAACATAAAAACAAACAATCACATGTGTCTCATTTGTATGCAAACTTGCTTTAAACTTTAATAAGTGGTAAAATTAAATGCATATCAAAGAATTTTTTTTTTGAGACAAGGTTTTTCTATATAGCCCTGGCTGTCCTAGAACTCAGAGACCTCCCAAGTGCTGGGATTTAAGGTGAGTGTCACCACCACCCGGCTTGAAATAATAATTTTAAAATACATTCTTTTATAGTTTTCAGTAAATGATTTATGTTTATATCTATTTTATATACCTACATACATGGAGCCATGCTAAAATTTCTCATGCTAAAAAGGGCTGCATGCCAAAAAAGTTGAAGGAATTCTGTCAGTGCTGACATCTTATAATTCTCTTGGTTTAATTCTCAAGTGTTTGTCTTGGTCTGGTTAACTGAGGTTCTTAGCCTCTCTTCTGGTTCCTAGGGGGACAGACAGGTATATATGTATACTAGGTCAAGGCCCACGTGGTCAGAGCCAAGAATGTTTTTGCTTTTACCTCAGCCATCCAACTCCCCAGTAAAAGCCACTCCACCCCAGTCTTCCATTCTAGCTCCTCTCATCTGGTGCGGGGCCTATAAATACCTATTAAATGAGGCAATATGCAGCAAGTCACTCTTACCAAGTAATGGATGTCTTAATATATATTTAAAATATACTTAATACAGCTCAAAATATATTTAAGCTTGGAAGAGCATACCCATATTTAAAAGAGCTCTTAACTGAAATGATTCTTTAACAACATGCAACTCAATTCTAAAGCTGATTTGAATGCAATCCAGATATTCTGGGGTTCCATCTACATTCTATGGGTTGTTTGTTTGTTTGTTTGTTTGTTTGTTTTTTCAAGATGGGGTTTCTCTATGTAGCCCTGGTTGTCCTGGGAACTTGCTTTGTAGACCAGGCTGGCCTTGTACTCACAGAGATCTGCCTGCCTCTGCCTCCTGGGTACTGAGATTAAAGGTGTTTAAAAGGTTAAAAGGGGTAAAAGCTGGGCCAGCTGTCCCACCCCACCCCCATCCATGTTCTCAGGCATGATCCAGGTCATGATCTCACTCCCCTAAGCTACAACTACTTGGTCTGGTAGTACAGAAACCATGAGCCACCTGAACCAACCAAAACCTGTTGCCGATACCAAGTAACATTTCACAAGGGAGGAACCAAAGAATGGAAATGTCTACACAAGCAAAATGCCTGTGGGTTTAACTTTGGTTTCTAACATTAAAAATTGTAATGACTGTATTTTTTAGAGACCTCCAGCTGAGGACTGGGGAGATGGCTCAGCAGTTAAAGGATATGCTCACATCCAAACCATCAAGATATACAGCTAAAACGCATTTTCTTTCTTTAGTAAAAGTAGCAACGAAAGCAAAAGGGGCCAGACAGGTGGCTCAGCAGTTAGGAGCACTTGCTGCTCTTGCAGAGGATCAAAATGCAGTTCCTAGCACCCATGTTGGATAGTTCACAAAGTAATTCCAACCGCAGGGGACCTGCCACCATGTTCTGGTATCCTCAGGCATGTGCATATGCAAATACACACACACTTGTGCACATGCAAATAGATAATAAATCTTCAAAAAGCAAACGGTTACAACATGCTTAGCGTATCTTTGAGAAACTCCATGCTGCAGAGGCACAGAGACAATGGGTCCTCTGGCCACGATGTTTGGCCAATCACTGATGGAGGGGGAAGGAAGGAAGACTGGCTGGATTGTTTATGCCTCACCTGCACAATTCTCTCAATAGCTCATCCACACAGCTCCATTTGGCAGTAGCTGGTACAGCCCGGGAGAAGGCATGGGAGGGCTCCAGCTACCTCTTCCTTGGTCTGAGTCCCTACGCCTTCAGAACAGAGCGGTCCACTGAAGTCTGCCCTCGACTACCCATTTCCACTCACTCATTTCCTCAACTCTGCCTATTTGTCTACAATGGGACCGACAACAATTCCTTCCCTTTTGTTCCACTTTGTTCCTATTTTATAAGGAGACATATAGAGTAAAATGTAACAACTATACAGGGATTACATATATTAAAATATTAGCAATAATTATGTCTCTGAGTCATGGAAGCTTTAGCAAATTTGTTCATTAGTTCTGAAAGTTCAGGTATAGTCAGCCACTCAGATGTCTTGGTTTTCTAGCTCTCAATCTCCTTGATAATACTCTGACTACCATTTGACTTCAATACGTGTTGTTCTGGAATGTAGAATGCAAGAAAAAGATCTGCATATTTATCAGTACAATCTTCTACAACAAAAATGAACACTAGCAAGGCACAGCAGCACATGTCTGTAATCCCAGCGCCCAGGGAGGCAGAGGCAAGTGGATCTTTGTGAGTTCCAGGCCAGCCTGGTCTACAAAGCAAGTCCAGGACAGCCAGGGCTACACAGAGAAATCCTGTCTCGAAAAAAACAAAAAACCAACCAACAAGAAAGAAAAGAAAGAAAGAAAGAAAGAAAGAGAGAGAGAGAGAAAGAAAGAAAGAAAGAAAGAAAGAAAGAGAGAAAGAAAGAAAGAAAGAAAGAAAGAAAGAGAGAGAAAGAGAGAAAGAGAGAAAGAGAGAAAGAGAGAAAGAAAGAAAGAAAGAAAGAGAGAAAGAGAGAAAGAGAGAGAGAAAGAGAGAAAGAGAGAGAGAAAGAGAGAAAGAGAGAAAGAAAAAGAGAGAAAGAAAAAAGGGGGGAAGCTCTAGTATTCTAGTTCAATAATTTCAAAAAACTTCTTAGAAGTAATATTATGGAAATTTCATTAATTATGGAGGAACCTTCCAGTACACTATTGTTCACCTTGTATATTATGAGTACTAATATGTATGTTGAAAATCCTGCTGCCTTTCACAGCCATCCTACCAACCAATACTTTCAGAACTAATGAACAAATTTGCTAAAGCTTCCATGACTCAGAGACATAACTATTGCTAATATTTTGATGTATGCAATCCCAGACTTTCCTGTTTAATATTATCTTTAACCCCACTTCTACAAATGAGGAAACTGAGACACCAAGAGCTAATGTGCCCCAAATCTAATGGCAGCTCTAAGATGAAAAACTAGTATTACATAATGTTAAGTGAAAAAATATCTGGATCCAAAATTGCATAAACATAATGCTTTCATTTTTTTTTTTTTTTCGAGACAGGGTTTCTCTGTGTAGCCCTGGCTGTCCTGAACTCTCTGCAGACCAGGCTGGCCTCAACTCAGATATCCGCCTGCCTCGGCCTCTTGCACGCTGGGATACAAGGCGTGCACCACCGCCGCCGCCACCCTCCGGCAACCTACAAGGCAACCCTCACAACACTTTTTTTTTTCCTCCCTTTCTCCAGTAGTCAAGAATAAAGTACAGCTAGGATTGGTTAAAAGACACTCCCGGCACGAACCCTCACCCGTCACAGAGTTTACAGTCCCCATTCTGGAGACGACACTGCAGAACCGCTGGCTCAGTCCCGTGCACGACACACCCACCAGCCTCGTCCACACAGGGCCCGAAACCGGCAGTACAACAGAGGCGCAGATTAATCTCTTCACCCTCTTCAGGGAACGCCCGTTTCCCGAGAGGAGCCTCCAGGTCTCCGCCATCCGGCCTGCAAAGGGCGCCGCAGAGAGGAGCGGGCGGCCGGAATGCGGTCCCGACAGGGCGGCGCGGGCTCCCCCGGCAGCCGCGGCCCCCGCCTCAGCACTCAGGACGGCCGGCCCAGCCCCGCCCGGTCGCGGGTTCCAACTTACCTCTCCCCAGCCGCCACCCGCGCTCGGCTCCCGCTCACTCTCCCTCAAGGCAGCGGACAGCCCGACGAGCGGCTGCTGGGATCCGATTGGCGGCCCGGCTGGGGGCGTGGTCTCGGCGGGGCGGTCTCCGGCCCACGCAGCTGAGGGGCCCGGGAGGAGCTGACAGTTCCCGCTCCCGCCCGCGTGGGTCGCTACGCAGGTTTGTCAGCTCTCGCCGCGCCATTCGAGACTGCCTGGGCCTTTTTTCTGGTGATGGGTACATTTGGGCCCTTTTCTAGTTTAGCGATCCTAAGCTGGAAAGTAGTTGATCTGATACAAGAGCTTCTGTAGGGAGCAAAGATTCTGGAAAACCAGTGTTTGTGATTCCCCTCAGGGCTAGGAAACAGCATTTTCCCAGGAACAGCCAGGTCTCCCTCCGGGAATGGCCAAGAAGCTGGCACACTGGGGGGAGAATCGGGGTGCTCTGCGGGTGAAGTGTACCATGTAGTCCAAGGGTACTAAGGGAGAAAGATGCTTGTTCTCAGGGGAGGGGCTGGAGACTGAGATGACTGACGTCCAAGCCGCCCCCCGCCCCCCCCCCCCCCCCCGTCACCGTTTTTGGTATTTTGTAATAGCCCTGGTTATCCTAGACTTGCTTTGTAGACCAGGCCTGCTTCGAACTCACAGAGATCCTCCTGCCTCTACATCCTGAATGCTGGCGTTAAAGGCGTGTAGTCACCACGCCCAGCTAGCCATATCCTTAAGAGTTAAAATGTAATAATACAGTGAGGAAGAAACCTGATGTTGCTCTCTGGCCCCTGAAACATAAACATTTACGTGATCATATGCACACAGCCACACAAACATGCACATATAACACACATACAAAAACACACATACAAGAAATGTTATATAGACTGATCAAGCTGTATTTTTATATTTAGAAACATACATGTATACGCTGATTAAATAATTTTCATCTACTTAAATTATAAAGAACATATAAACCCCGAAAAAGCATAATGTTTTTATTATACATTCAATTGAAGTTTTTCAAATTACAGAGTTCAACACCAAACAAAGTAAAAAAGTGAATCATATTAAGTTGCTATTCACTTGCATTGTTCTCTCCCTAAAATTCTGACATAGGAAAAAAGCTTAGACACACGAATAGGTTCAGTGCACTTCAAGTGGCTTACCATGCGACAAAAACCATGTTTATCCACGGAAAGTAAAAGAACCAACAGTAAAATGAAAATAAAATACTGCACATTAACACAATCGATTTGGAAGATTTTGGAAAAATGTTAAATAATACTCACCTGCAGAGCATATGCTTTGCTGTGCAAAGCTTGGCACATTAGCTCTCAGAAACGAACATCAACTAACTGCTCAGCTCCTCCTAAGGTTTCCCCGGCAGAATAACACAGGATCCTTTCACACCCTGGTTCTGCTGGCCTTCTGGGGACGATTATTGGGATTTCCTTTCAGCTGCTCTCAGGCTCTTCCTGTCTACCCTTGTTTGTCCCAGCCTCACACCCACTGTGGTTCCATCCTCAGTAAAGATCCCTGGCCCAGCACACACAGCCACCCTTTGCCCAAGTGTTACCCTCACTGGCTGAATTTTGATTATAAAGTAAAGACACTAGGTCTAAAATTCTCCCTATTTTATGATCATATCCCCTAAAATGCAAAAAGGTTGATGATACCTGATTCAGAACATAATTCAATGAGTTTAGATAGAATATATACTGGTCCAAAGTTTTTAAATATCTACTCTTTTCAATATTAGTTTTAAAAATAATAAACATTGTAAACATTCAATCAAACATTTCCATACAAACCCTGTTACCCTACATTTTATTTAGTGAGTTCAGAAAGAACAAAAGTGACACTATTTTCCATTTGGCAGATCTTAAATTATGCCTCAAACCCAAATCTACCATGTACAAATGCACTATTAGACAGTGTTGTAGGCCAATCAAGTCCCATGACAATTACTACTGCTCCCATAATACCTTGTAACAAATCAGGAGGAAGAAAACAAAAAACAAAACAAAATATAAAGCCACTACGATCTCTCGGGACAGCTGCCACTGTGATTTTAGATATTTTACTTCCACTGCTCCACAAATGACCACAGAAACAGCTGGAGGAGTACACACAGAAAGGAATACCTCCTATACCAGATGTTGCACTGCTTGTTAAAGTGAGAGTGAGGCTGGGTAAGGAGCAGGGAAGGCTGATGTGATGAGAGGCAACAATAAAGAGGAAGTTAACGAAGCTGGCTGCTTCAGAATCCCTTTACCATGAAAGTTCTGAGTCTGATAACGCATGTGGTGTTCTACTCAAAGGGAAAACCCCAATATACAAGAAATTCTAGTCACCTATTGCCCTTTTAGCAAGGTTTAACTGCATGTTTTTAAAAGAGACAAGTTAACAAAATGCTACATTTAAAAATGAATAACCTAAAAATTAATTGAAAAAATACTATTTTGTTTTGTTCTAACTATGCACAACAGATCTACTATCTCTGTAGGATCCTCTTAACATCTTTTCTCTGTGTAGCCCTGGTTGTCCTGGAACCTACTCTGTAGATCAGGCTGGCCTCAAATTCAAAGATCTGCCTGCCTCTGCCTCCCCAGTGCTGGGGTTAAAGACGTGCACCCCACCACCTGGCCTCCTCTTAGCATCTTTATCAGCAAGTATTGATGAGATAACCTAAAACCAGAGTGCCTGACCTGGGTGATAACCAGTCCTGTGAACTAGAATAATTAACATAATGACTTAAAAGTTGTATTACCTGAATAGTTTCAATGGTGAAGTACCAAAAAGGGTAAAATAAATATTTCCCACAGCACCATAAGTTTTATAAAATACTATTTCAGTTAATATACAATCTGAAGATTTTGGCCCATCATACACACTAGGCATAATCTCGTCTTTTACTAACAGAGGCCCTATAGGCATAAATATAACATGAAAATGATATATTTTTACTGAAGTACCTGTAGGATATATTTACATGGTTACTGCTTAGCTACATCCACTGAATACTAGTAGATTTAGGGCCAGAAAAAAAAAAAATCAATTGGTCATTTATTCTATGGTCACAAATTTTAATTGTTAAAAGAATCTAATAGCAAATGATATACTTTATGGCCAAATTACCTGAAGTATAACATGTTAAAAAGAAAAAAAACCCCACAAGATTGAACCTGCCTAATACCTATCATGCTCATGGATCTTCTACAATGGTTAGTTAGTATGTGCTAGGCCACCTCAGTTTAACACTGACCTGAGCAAAACATAACTGAAAGCACAAGTTTTCCTTACAACACATTCCACATTCCAAAGCTACGTGTAATGTAGGTGTATGATGGTCAATCTCATGTCTTGTCTCTTGTGATGTCTCTGCATCAAAGCAGAGACCTGAGTCTCAGCTTTACTAGAAATCAGTTAATGCTAGAATAAACCTGCTATAAAACATTTATAACAAAATAAATATTTTCAGTTCCTCCACATTAAGTGACATATAAATCATTAGCATTTTTATAACATTAGTTTAGGTCATTTTGGGAGTGCCCAAGCACACTGTACAATCCTGAGTAAAAAAATTAGTGACACAGTTTCTTGGGGATCATTCTTACCAAGTCAAGAAGAAAGCACATAAACAGAAACTTAATAATCCCCATTTTCACCAGAAGTACCATGAGTTCTTTTTGCTTTGGTTAGTTTATAAATGTAAACCATTTATGGAAAAAGTGAAATTTAACAGAACTTTGCTAGGACGCCTCCATCACCTTTTGACAGTGGCGTGATAAATAGTCTGAAAGAGCAGAGCAGGAGGACCGGAACCACAGGGCTACGGCATCAGCACGCACTCGGCAGTACAAGACGCAGGGCGTGGACGGAAGCAGCTTGCAGGCCAAAAGCCCTTCATTGCCTGCAACAGAACAAGAAGGGAAAATTGTTTTTCAAAATGAACTTCAACAGGCATTCCTCCAAGGACATCTACAAACAGGTCATAAGCACATGAAAAGATGTCCATTAACAATCACCAGAGAACTACCAATCAAACTTAAAAGATAGCACTTCATTCTTGAAGACTATTTTACACACACACACACACACACACACACAAATTTATTTATCTATTTATCTAGTTATTTATTTATTTATGTTTTTTTGAGACAGGGTTACTCTGTGTAGCCTTGGCTGTCCTGGACTTGCTTTGTAGACCAGGCTGGCCTCAAACTCACAGTAATCTGCCTGACTCTGCCTCTCAGAGTGCTAGGATTACTTACAGGCGTGTATCACCATGCCCAACTATTTTATACATTTTTTAAAAAACAGAAAAAGTGCTGAGTATGGTGGCAGTATGGTGGTGTAAATAAGCCTTTAATCCCAGCACTTGGGAGGCAGAGGCAGAGGCAGGCAGATCTTTGAGTTCAAGGCCAGCCTGGTCTACAAAGTGAATTCTACGACAGCCAGGACTACACAGAGAAACCCTGTCTCAAAAAACAAAACAAAACAAAACAAAAAACCAAACCAACCAACCAACCAAAAAAAAAGAGAGAGAAGTTATTGCTGAAGATGTGGACATGCATGAACTCCTGCTCATTAATATAAAAAGATGTGGTCATTATGTATATGATCTAGTGATTTATAAAAAATAAAATCAACATACGATTCAGCAATTCCACTGTGAGTATACAATCAGAACAACTTAGAGCAAGAATATCAACATGTATTTCAACACTCAAATACACAGCAGCATTGTTCATGTCGGACAAAAAGTAGAAGTGCCACAAGTACTTGGTAACAGGCTAACAGTATGCTATTGTAATAATAAGATATATAATAATTATGTCATATAGTGGTATACTATAGTGTATACAGTATAACATAAATTAATAGCATAAAACTAGTCAAAGGAAATAAGGGTCACTTTATACCCATTAAAGGAACAACCCATCAAGAGGACATTAAAATGCTAAGCAAATATTCACCAAACACAGGTGCATCCCATTTCATGAAAGAACTACTATTAAACTACTACTAAACAATTACTAAAACAGATTAACCCCAACACAATCACTTCAATACTCTACTCCTACAGCATGCTACTTGACATATAAACAGATACATCAATACATTAGAATTGAGAACTCAGAAATAAGGCCATGCTCCTATAGTTCCGTGGAAGCCAAAAATATACATTGGAAAAAATTCAGCTGGTACTGGTCAAAACAGACAGCTACAAGTAGAAGAATAAAACTAAATCCTTACCACAAACCCTGCACAAAACTTAACTCTAAATATATTAAGGATTTCAACAAAAGATCTGATATCCTAAATATGATAGAGAAGAAACTAGGAAATATACTTGAACATATAAGCATAGAACAGAATTTTCTAAACAGGACTTCTGTAACATAAGCATTAAGAACAAAAATTGGCCTGGCATGGTGGTGTGTGCCTGTAATCCCAGCACTCAGGTAGGCAGAGGCAGAGGCAGGTGGATTTCTGTGAGTTCGAGGCCAGCCTGGTCTACAAAGCAAGTCCAGGACAGCCAAGGTTACACAAAGAAACCCTGTCTTGAAACAAGAAAGAAAGAAAGAAAGAAAGAAAGAAAGAAAGAAAGAAAGGAAGGAAGGAAGGAAGGAAGGAAGGAAGGAAGGAAGGAAGGAAGGAAGGAAGGAAGGAAGGAAGGAAGGAAGGAAGAAAATTGACCAGTGGGATCACATGACAGTAAAAAGCTTCTCTACAGCAAAGAACACCATCAATCAAGTTAAAAAGGCAACCTACAGAATGGGTTAAAAAAAATCTATGTATCAGGGAAGCACTGCTTTATAGAATACACAAAGAACTTAAAAAAATCAAGAAAACGAAACAAAAAAATAACAGTTAAAAATTGGAGCACAGAATTATATGCAGTCCTCATAAAAAGATATAAACATGCCTGAGAACTATTTTTTTTTATGGTCATCATCTTTAGTCATCAGAGAAATGCAAATTAAAATTACTTTGAGATTTTATTCTATCCCAATCAGAATGGCAAAGCTCAACCAAAATTCAGGTTATGAGAAAAACAAAAAACAAAAACACACACATAGAAACCTTTTGCTTTATAAGCAAACTAAAAGCTATGATTAATTTTCTAAAAAATCTGAAACAGAGGTACCCTGCAAAGATAAGAGAATGTTCCTAGATGCTGCCAGTTTCTAAACCAGGTAAAGTATCAGTACAGTGACTTTTGACCAGGAGGTTCCAGAGGCTCCAAAAGCAACGGCGGTTGGCATCACCGCTTTCGATAACCCACTGTAACTAGACAATAGGGCTGCATTGCCGGAGACACCGCAGCCTTCGAATGTCTCATGCTGACAAAGCTGAGACTGATCTGGAAGCGTCCTCCTTGGTGGCTGGCCACCACTGTGCTGAAAGGTGCCATGCAGGCTGCTGGAGGAGAAAGGGCATCAATGGTCCTACCCAGTGTGGACACTGCATCTACAATATTGACCTGCCAGGCCAGATGTGTCTTCTGATGCAACAAAGACGGGACTATTTTGAGAGTAATCAAGAACTTTCTGGTTGGATTTGAGGCCTACTCCATACAAATGGCGAAATGTTTAAAGTATAAAAAAAGAAAAACAAACAAAAACCCCAAAAAACTAAATGATAATCATATACTGTGAATTTTTTCAATCAAATATTCTTTAATAAAGCCTGGAAAACACACTTATCTTAAAGATACTCAAAGAAGCTCTAAAAAGTCTGAAGTCTGAAACTAGGAATAAGAATTCATATCCACATGGAACTGCCTTCTCATAATTCTACACACCTACGATGTCAATCACATGGAGTCTCAGTTTCTGCTGCAGCTCCATTAGAACAGAGGCCAGAGCAACTCGAGGCTCTGATATCTTTATAGTTTGCTTCACATCATTTGCAAAGGACAACCAGAGTTTGCCAAAGTCTTCAGTTGAGATCTTTAATGGTCTGAAAATAATTTTTAAAAGTAGTTTAAATTGATGAGAATACAATAATGCTGAACAAGCACATTTCACATGACTCATAGAAATTATATATTATATATACAATACATACATATTATATAATATAAATCTGGGTTCCAAGAGACTTATGCTTTTAAACCAGATATGACTAGAATGCTGAGTGTTATCTGTCAATCTGATAAAGTTACTGACAAAGATTTAAATTGCACTTTTCCTTTTAATAACCCATTCAATTTTGTCTATTTTTTTTTTTTTTAGATCTTAATCACTCAACAGGGTTTTACCAAATAAGTTCATAAATTTTCAGTATAAACTATTCTACCATGTATACTTTGGATTTGGAGAATAACGAAATTCTTGAAAGTTATGTATAAGAGAATGAATATAAAAATCTTTAAATAAATTAGCCAAAGAACTTCTGACTCCATTAACAACACACACACACACGTACATGCATAATGAAATAGATATAGACTGTATAATGCCAGAGACACCTAGGAGGTGGATCATAGGCAACTTTCATATTCTACTTATATTTTTTATAACATTTGAATTTCTGATAAACACATATTAATTGTATAGTTAAAAAACTACATTTAAAGATACAGAAGAATTTATTATTATATACAAAGCATATATACTGTGCTTCTTCCAATTATGAGGTAAGGGTAAAAGAGCGTTGTGTTGAGACTTATATTGTAGCAAAGGCTGGCCTAGAACTCACTGTGTATTCTAGTAATGCTTGAACAGGTGGCAAGCATTGCTAGGCTTTAAAAATGTTTAGTCATGTGTATGTAGTATATGAGTATGTGTGTTCAAGTACCCCACAGAGGCCAGAGTGCTGCTGGATCCTCCAGAGCTGCAGTTACACGCAGTGTGAGACACCTGATATGGTGCTAGGAACCAAACTCTAGTCCTCTGGACGCCTTCTTAGCAACTAAGTAATCTCTCCAGCCCAAGACTGTCTAATATTTAATTTTTATACTTCCTAATAGCTAGCAGTATCTCTAGCTAGAAAAAAAGGAAGATGGTATAATGGACGAACACCAAACATACCAGAAAGCATTTACCTGATAAAATCTAACAATGATAAGTTCATGGAAAATTCTAATTGAAGAGAATGTGAATCTAATATCTGATAATTTATAAAACCAGAGAGCGTCCCCTCTACAGAAGGGCTTTCCATCTGCACACCATATTGGAAGGATTTGGTGCTTTCTGGTTCCATCACAGGCAAACAGGATCCAGGTTGCTCAATGATCTGTAAATGAAAATTAAAAAAAAAATATTGAAGAAAGCATCAGTAAATTGTTATATGGCAATCAAGTACTAAAGCACATGAATGTGGGAAATTAACAAACCACATTATGAAAACCTCTAACAAAAACTCACTAGAACAGATAAATAATACTGTATAGGTGAAATGCGTCTTAACAGATTAGTAGTGTAGCTAAAACCAGTGTGTATATTTTTAAGGTTACTGAATTCTATTCTGGCACCAGAACTCTTTACTCATGGTCCTGAGGAGCTGAACCCAGTGTCTTTGTGTGCTAGGCAAGCACTCTTCCATAGCTCTTACCACCTGATTCTCATAGTTTTGACTGAGAGCCTAGCCTTTAACGGCTGAGCCATTTCTCACTCCCTACCACCTGATTCTTATGCCAATCATACAGATGCCTTCCATTCTCATTCTCCACCTCTACTCAACTTACTGGTAGATTTCAGGCAGGTTTTTGTTTTTAAACGTCTGCACGTAAATCTGCTACATGTCTGTATTCAAGAACTCCTGGCCTGGTCAATGGCCTATACAGTATCTCATTCAACACAAGCTCTCTGAAATGTTTTCAGTATGACAAGAGTGAATGCAGCACTTAGCGAATGAAGAGAGATCACAGAAGAAAACCCGAAAGTACCAGGAGCACAGACAGGAGATGTGTTTAATGCCACAAGCATCCTACAGACATTAACTAGTGAACTCCTTACAGGAACACAGTATTAATACCTTGTTTTCAACAGTAGGGCACAGGTAAAAGCAGCTAAGGAATCTGACCATGTAACATGGTGAGGGCACAGGAGAGTCAATGTATGCATTCAATTCACTATGTCCCCTAGGCTAGCCTGGAACTCACAGATCCTCCTGACTCTTCTCAGGAGTGCTGGGCTTAAAGCGTGCACCACCTACATTCTTTACTATGCTATAGAGAAACTCACTTTATATAATATCTACGGCCTTCTTAATACAGTATGATTGGATTTCCTTTGTTTCTTTAGAGTCATGTATCCTGAGTCCTGTTTTTAGGGAAGAAAGGAGAACATGGAACAAATTCATAAGGCATTAGAGCCAAAGGCAGAAACACAAAGTAAGTGTTACAGCAGAAATGATGTACTATATGTTGTCTTACCTTGAAATTTTCCACAGGAGAAATTTCTAACTGAACATCTGTCAACTCTGAATCAGTCTTAGTGGTGACTGACCAGATCATCAATAAACCATCATCCTTCCAGATTTTGTAAGAAGACACTGATAGGTTTTCATCACTACAGACTTCCACAAGACTTGAATGTTTGCACTCATGGCTTTCTTCCAACAAAGAAGCCAAATTGATTCCCTGGACAGTTGAAGTTGCAGATGATGAAGGGGGGTGAAAAACGTCCATGTTGTTATCAGCAAACAAAGAAGGTGCAGGCAAGCTGATACTTGAGAGTTTTTCAACTGAGGACAGCTCTGAGTCAGAAACAGGCTCAGAACCCAAAAGCTCTGAACTAAGTTCAGTTTCTCCTCCACCCAAAGTATTTAGAGCGACATCATCGACGTCGGCCACATGGGACAAAGCGCTAAGGGTGGAGGAGGTATGGTTAGAAGCACGGGGTGTCTTGTCACTTTGGGCTACCTTGAATTTTGATTTCCTCCTGAACTTGTGAGACACAACATCTGCTTTTCCCAACTGCAAAAACAAAACATAATATTTAAAAAAAAAAAAGACTATTTTACTAGTCATGAGCTTTAAATATTTTCTTTAATTTCAAATGAACAATACGTTAACACTAAAAATCTGTAAAGCAATAATTGGTAAAACTCAGATGAAAAATGTAAAATCCTAAAATTCTTACAGCTATGTAACTTAAAGCTATCAGCTAATTTTTTTTTTTTTTTTTTTTTTTTTTTTTTGAGACAGAGTTTCCCTGTATAACGTTGACTGTCCTGGACTCACTTTGGAGTCCACTTGCCTCTGCCTCCTTGAGTGCTGAGATTAAAGGCATGCGCCACCTCGCCCAGCTCTATCAGTAAATCTTCTAACTTAGAAAAATACATAAAGTCAAAACTCAGTTGTAATAGTTCTAAAAAATGTTGATCTCCAGATAATACATTACAGGATTGGACAGCCTAGTTATGTTTTTGTTTTCAGAGCTGTATTATAGAATCCCATGTTACCCCTGACTACAAAGAGGACTTGAGTCTGTTTTATAATCTAATAATTGTGATTTCATGGTCTATGCTAGTAAGCAGAGAAGAAAAACAGGTTTGACTTCAAAAACCAAATGTCAGAGGCTGACCCGAAAATATGGTGGGAAGAATTCCATAACTAGTCATGCTAATCTAACTGAAGAACAGTCTGGGAGGTATATAAACAAAGCCACCATTACTGACAATCTGTAATCAAGATCCCTGCCCTCAGAGAACTCCCTCATCTACCTTGTTACTCTTGTTCATTTATGTGAGCCCTAGGCCTGCACTAGCAGACTGGACTTGAGAGATTAATTTATTCAAGGGGACTGGACGTGTCCCCTCAGTGGTACAAAAACTGTCACTGGTAGCCCTAGAGCTGGAAGATGATGGCTGTAAGAGCTATAGGAGGCATTTCCAGTTCTTGGTACCAGCAGACAGCACAGATTCTTACAGGAATGTAATGGATAACTTACCAAATTGATTGTATTTTCTGGTCCTAGTCCAACAAATAATGATGATGCTAACAGCTGCTTTTCTTTCTCCTCTGTAGACTGGGTAAGGCCTTGGGCTTGGTCCTTTCTGGCTGTGGCTTGTTCTACATTCTCCATTGTTGCACCCTCTGCAGGAACATGCAGGGCTTCCATTTTATCACCAGTTCCACTCTCCTTCTTGGGGAGATAGCCCTCTTTACCCCATAATTTCTTTATACCTTCCAGCTTCAAGCTACTTGTCCTAAGGAGATTAAAAAAGCAAGCCAATTTAAATAACTGCGGATTTATTTAAAAAATAATTTAAAAAATTTATTTTAAAAAAATTGATTTTTTTTTTTTTTTAAGAACACACTACGCCTTGCAAAAAAACAGCTTTCATGCTGGATGGTGGTAACACACGCCTTTAGTCCCAGCTCTCAGATCTCTGAGTTCAAGGCCAGCCTGGTTTACAGAGCTAGTTCCAGGACAGCCAAGGCTGCTCAGATAAACCCTGTCTCAAAAACAAAACCAAAGACCAGCTTTCATGTTAGTTCCATAGGTCAGAAGGAAGCCTAGATTTTTAAAATTTATGTTCATTAGACCCAATTTCCTCCTTCCCTCTAGCAAAATAATTTAAAGCACCAGAACTTTAGACAAGGTTAAAAATCTCAGATCATTTAATTTTCATTTAATTACTTAAGTTACAAAAGAAGAGAATGGTTATAGACCAATTCCCCTCCTCTACTTACTTTTCAAAGACATCCTGACCTTTAATTCTGATGTCCCAAACATACAAGATTTTAATCACATAACAAGATCAAATCTCGATTGATAAAATATTCATAGGCACAAATTAATTTTAAAATCCGTTGAAAGCAAAACATTCAAATATGTGCAAATGCATAAGTTGGTTTTCAATAGAAAATGTTTTAGCAATGTGAGCACTAGTTACATATAATTTTTATAAACATGACATAAAGATAAGTCTGGAAAAGAGGGTTAGAAATGCTTCTCTGCATTTTTTATTACATCCATCTATCTATCTATCTATCTATCTATCTATCTATCTATCTATCTATCTATCTATCTATCTATCTGTCAAATGTTTTATTTAAGTTCCACAGCCTATGTGTGGAGGCCAGAGGACAACTTGCAGGAGTCAGTTCTCCCCTTATACGATGTGGGGCCTGGACACAGGTACCTTTCCCTGCTAAACCATCTTAATGGCCTAGAATTTTTTTCATTAATTATATTGACTTATATATTTTGCATATGTGGATGGGCATGCACACCAAGGCATGTATCTAGTGTATGGGTCATGGGGATTGAACTCAGGTCATCAGGCATGGTACCAAGGGCCCCAACCCACTAAACCATCTCATCTGCCCTAGAAACTTTTTACTAGCTGAGTTTTTAAAAGTACCAGATAAAGGGCAGGTGGCCAGCCCCAAAAGCCTGAGACAAGACAGCCTGGCAAAGCAAGCGAGCAAGCAAGCAAGCAAGCAAGCAAGCAAGCAAACGAACTACAAAAATTATCTAGGGTGAAGTTAAGAATGATAACTCAGGGCTAGAGTGGTAGCTCCGTGGTTAAGAGCATTGGCTACTCTTCCAGAACATCCAGATTTAGCACCCAAATGGTAGGTCACAACCATCTGTAACTTAGTTCCAAAGGATCCAAAACCCTCTTCTGGCCTGTGCAGGCACCAGGTATGTACACACTACTCAGACATGCGTGCAGAAAAATCAGTCATACATATAAAATAAAGATTTAAAAAAATTTAAATGTAGACTCACACAATGTCATCAAAATTACATCTATGAGTCCACATGTTCAGAGTGACTAATATAGCCATCAGTATTGACTGAAACAGCCAAAGATCACCTCTATTGCTCTTATGTAAAAACCTATATATCTGTTACTTTACTCAAATGTAACCATTTCCCAATACATACGTTTATTATCATATTGAACACTTACATATATACTACTTCTACTGCCTGTCATGTCTTAGTAAAACTGGAGTGGGAGAAGAACTCCCAACAATACAAAAGTGAACAATTTTAAAACTATGTGTCCTTTATCCACTTTAAGCATCCTTGCTGATTTAGTCATCACTGTCATGGTTCAAAGTAAAACTTAGATTTACACTATAAAATAGGGAAATTAAAGACTCAAAATATTTATATTGATTTAAATTTTCTTTAAAAATTACATGTATTTATTTCTGTGCATTTGTACACATGCCACAGCACATGTGTGAAGGTCAGTACTCTGTTTCTACCAAGTGGTAGATTGACCTCAGGTCATCTCACTTGACAACAAATACCTTTACCTACTGATCCACTGTGCCAGCCTTAGCGTGATTATTATTCCTTGTGGAAATCATGGGCATTTGGTTTTATAGGTGATTATATTTTATACTATTATAGGTAATACTATTAAGCATGGATTAATTTTTAAAAAATGACCCTAATAAAGAGGATAAGGATTAGTTTGTTTCTCCCCATGGTTTTTAGAGAAAAGTTAGAAATGTCTTCATTCCTTTCAGGTACTTCTGTTCCAGTTGCGTTTCTATTGCTATGAGAAAGTATTCTGACCAAAAGTTGCTTATAAGAGGCAAGAATTTATGTGGCATACAATTCCAAGTTACAGTCCATAATTGCAGCAATGGGTACTTAAGACAGCTGGTCAACCACATCTACAGTCCAGAGAGAGACAAATGGCCCTCTGCTGACTGCTCTCACCTAACTTTCTCCTGTCCAAGAAACGGTACTCTACACACTAGGCTGGAGCCTTCTATATTAATCAACAATCAAGAAAATCCTCATAGGTATTTGCCACAGGCCACCCTGATTCAAATGATTCCTCAATTGACACCCTTCACAGGTTGTAGCAAACTGACATTTAAAAATAGCCACTGCAGGGATCAAATGCTTTTCTAAGCAGTTTAAAAGACAGTTTCCAGTTATCTAATGAGCCTCTCAGAAGAAACCTCGTTTTCCTTGCCACAGGTAGATCATGAGAACCACTGGGAAGATCCTGAGCATCTCTAGGGTTTTCAGTATAAGTCCTTAGCACCTCGTTACAGGCCAGCAGGAAGAGCTAGAATTCTCTCCTCTAACTGGCAGCTGTCCCCTGCTTGTCTCAGAACTTTAGAGGTGGCAAGTTCCAGGCTATGCCCATCATTAGAAAAAGGAATCTCAAACTCCAAAGTATTTTTTAGATTAGGCTTTGTGCCCTAAATCAGTAAGACGGGGAATTCGAGAAGGAAGAAAATCCCAACCTATGGGAAGACAGAAATTTCTCTCAATTGAGACTTTTTCTTTAAACTAAAAATAAAAAATAAACCACAATATTTATTTTATGCATATTGATGTTTTCTTTGCATGTACATCTGCACACCAGAAGAGGGCACTGGATCCCATAGATGGTTGTAAGCTGCCATGTGAGTACTGGGAATTGATCAGGACCTCTGGAAGAGCAGCCAGCACTCTTAACTGCTGAGCCACCTCTCCAGTCCCTCTCTATCAGTCGCTCCACTGTCCCAATTTTTGCCATTTTTGCCTTTTCCCTATGCTGGCACCCCTGTATAGTTGAAAGTACTTCACTTTCACTAGTCTCTCTAATTTGTTATTTTTTATTTTCAACATTCACCTTGACAGTTAGCACACGTTTTTTTGTTTTTAATTTATTTATTGATTATGTGTACAGTGCTCTGCCAGCATGTATGCCCTCAGTCCAGAAGAGGGCACCAGATCTTATTATAGGTGGTTGTGAGCCACCATGTGGTTGCTGGGAATTGAACTCAGGACCTCTGGAAGAGCAGACAATGCTCTTAACTGTTGAGCCATCTCTCCAGCCCCACTATAGCTGTTCTTACTGTGAAGTAATGTGAGAACTGTGATCTCTGAAAACTTCAATCCACCCTTCATGCTCTATTTCTAAATGATACAGCAGCTATAACTAGCGGACAGAAAAGAATTATGTAAGGTCAGCCCTCACACTCCCTGACCACTGCTCACTTTACAGGCCTTCTCCCTTCAGTCTCTACTTGTTGCTCTGTTCTATGTGAGACATTTAACAGCCATCACCTCTCCCATCACAAGCCCACAAGCCACATTTGGGATGCCCAAATTAAATGTCTAGGGAAGAAATTAGGAATGTTAGACCAGAAAGGGAAATGGATAAAAAGTAGAATGAGAACTCTTACCATTTTATACATCATATCATTATTATTCAGTGTGTCTACATCACTCCTGGAAAGTATTTTATAGACACCTCACTGAAAGATTAGTAAATTAGAAGCGTGAAAATAAAGTAAGAGAGCTTAGTACAAGAACTCAAAATTCAAATTTCCCTTAACATTGTCATCTTTGACTTCTCATTGCACTTACACTTTTGTTTTGAAATTACACACACACACACACACACACACACACACACTCTGCTTTTAGTTGGGCGGTGGTTGCACACACTTTTAATCTCAGCACTCAGGAGACAAAGGCAGGCAAATCTCTGAGTTCCGGGCCAGCCTGGTCTACAGAGTGAGTTCCAGGACAGCTGGGGCTACACAGAGCCTGCCCCTTGTTCCTGCAACCTGACAGCTGATGCTATGGAAAAGAACAGTTGTGAATTTGACTCAACAAATTCTTATGCATGATGTAGAGTTGGTGTTTTTTGTTGTTGCTGCTGTTTTTTTGCGACAGGATTTTGCTGTGTAGCTCTTGCTGTCCTGGAACTGACCCTGTAAAACAGGCTGGCTTTGAACTCAGAGATCTGCCTGCCTCTGCCTCTCGCCCCCCTCCCCCCCCCAAAAAAAATTAAAGTCTATTTAACAGAATAAAAATGAGCCCGACATAAATCTGCAACTGTGTCAGCAGTTTCCAAGGTAGCCAAAGAGTCCCTGAAAACATTTGGGGGGGGGCGTGACCATAAGTGTGCTGGTGTGTGCTCTCATTCACATGCATGGAGAGGCCAGAGGGCGAGGCTGAACGTCTTCCTCTTCCACTTTAATTTTACTCCTTTATGAAAAGACTGAATTGGAAGCGGTCGTTTCAGTTAGGCTGGCTAATCAGAAAGCTCCCAGAATCTATTTGTCTTCACCACCCAATATGGGGTTGTAGGCATGCACAGTCATTCCAGCTTCTTATATGGGTGCTGGGATTTGAACTCAGGTTCTCATGCTTGCATAGCAAGTGCTAAGTTTTCTCCTCAGAGCCTTTGAAGCATCCCAAGCAAAGAAGAGAGCTTCCTTAGACAATGTCAGTCATCTTATTTCATATTCATCTCTATATCTGTCACTCTTCTACTAAGATGATTAGGAGTATTAGCCAAAAGAATGACATAAATAATAAGGAATAACATAAATAATAAGTGTATGCTTAAGAATTATCTGGTCAAAAAGTTCCAATATGTTTCTTAAAATTTTATATGTGGCACTAACATTCATTATGTGCAAGTCTGCTTTTTAAATTAATGTGTCTATCTATGTGTATGAACACATGCATGCGGGTGCCTACAGAGAACTGAAGAGCTAGAGTTACAGGCACTTGTGAGCTGCCTGATGTGGATGCTGGAAACTGATCCTCTGCAAGGGTAATACTGCTGCCATCTCTCCAGACCTCACGTGCAAATCTTATACATGGCTTAAATTGCCCTGGAAGGCAGATAAACTCTTAAAGTTTTAGGACATATTCTATAGCATCAGAATCTTAAAACCAATCAATAGAAACAAGTGAAACAAAATCTCATATAAAATAGAGCTCTTAGGAACCTTTCAATTATGTTAAATACATAGTCACAAATATGGCTCCTTTTTGCATTATTTGAAAATGAAAATTTCTTGGGAGTCATCCTAAAATGAGCAAATAATAATCTCAAGGACACAAGCAGAGGCAGAAAGCAGGCAGGATGCTGGAGGAAGTTAAGCTTGCCAAATTCTCAACTTTACAAAGAAACTTACTCTTTCAGCCCTGTTTCAGCACTGTTTCCAGATATATCTGAGTCCAGAGAAATGCCTGCAGGAGACTGTCGTCCAGTGAAGCCAGATGAAGAAAAGGATAGTCCATATGGTTCAAAATTGAGAACTATAATTTTAAAACAGTAACAGAGGTTCGTATTTAAAACAAAGCATAATTGATGAGATTCCATTAGCTATAGAAATTAATCAGAAGGCTGGGAGTGACAACTTTCCAGAATGGAGGCTTAATGTAAAATCTAACCAGGCATGTACAGTGAGAATAAAGCAGCCACTACTGACTAAGTCTGCACATAAAATAAGGTCACCGGAGGCAAACTACTCTTCATTTTTATCCTCTTATCTCCCCTAAAAAGCCAAAAAAAAAAAAAAAAAAAAAAAAAAAAAAGAATTCCATTAGAAAAGTCAACTAATAAACATAAGTCAGGTATACTGAGAAGATGCCACTACCATAAGAAAATAAAAGAAGGTAACGAGCTAAAGTGAAGTGATGACCATGTTCTCCTTAATGAACGGTTCCTGGGTATATCTTTACCTCAAACGAATGGACAGTGCCTTTAAAGGGAATCTTCTTTACTTACAAAAACAATGTTTACTCCGTCATATGCTCATTCTCTTGACTATGTAATAAAACTTAATTCAATCGGAGCCATGAAATTCATATTATTATTTTTTTCTTTTTCTCTCTCTCTTTTTAATGAGTGCTCTATCTACACGTACACTTGCATGACGGAAGAGGGCATCAGTGGGTATAGATGGTTGTGAGTCATCATGTAGTTACTGGGAATTGAACTCAGGACCTCTGCAAGTACAGACAGTGCTCTTAATCACTGAGCCATCTCTGCAGCCCCCATTCCCCTTTCTTTAAGAAGCAGAATCCTCCAATCTTGGGTACACAGACAGGCAGGGGAGACATCCAGATTCTGTTGCCACATGACTTGTGTGTTATGGTCAATTAAATTAGACACACATTTTGAGTACAGCATTTAAGAGAAGTTCCTGCAAAGAAAATTCTCTTCTATTTCCTTTTTCCTGTTGGTTATCTTGCAAGTTGGTTATTGAAGTGCAAGCAGCCATGGTGAATCATAAAGTGAAACAGCAAAGATGTCAGGACATCAAGAGAGATGGAATCTGGAGGTCTCATAATTGAAAAGCTAAAATAAACTACTTCCTGATTGTCTAGATGGGAGAGAACAATGACCATATGTTTTGCATAAGACCTCATTTTTTTTTTTAACTAATTAGCTAAACCTAACTGTAACCGGTAACCTTTTATCTTTTAGACACAGGGCAATGAATGCATCAAGTGACTCCGAGTATGCAAAGCTGTGACTATCAGTAAACTAAAACAAGTAACACTGAGAAAAGGGTGGAAGGGTTAAAACTGGAAGAGCAATCATCCAAACAGATGTGTAAGAAGGGGCTGGTGAGATGGCTCAGGGATTAAGAGCATCTGTTGCAGCTGGGAGGTGGTAGCACATGCCTTTAATCCCAGCACTCAAGAGGCAGAGGCAGGTGGATCTCTGTGAGTTCAAGCCAACCTGGTCTACACAGAGAGTTCTGGGATAGCCAAGGCTACACAGAGAGACCCTGCCTCAAAAAAAAAAAAAAAAAAAAAAAAAACAGACAACAATCAAAAAACAAAATCATTTGTTGCTCTTGCATGAAACTTGGGTTCAGTTCCCATCATGGTGATTCACAACTGTCTGTAACTCCAATTAAAGGGAATGAGATGCCCTCTTTTGGCCTCTGAAGGCACTAGGCATATACACTGCACATATATACAAGCTAAAATAAAATAAAGTGTTCCATCAGGGAAGTTCCTAGTTATCAGGGAAATGTAAATTAAAAATACTTCGAGGTTCTATTTCACTCTAGTCAGAAACAAACAAGGACAAAGGATGGTGAGAATGTAGGGGGAGAAGAGCCCTGATTCCTACAGGGGGGTCTATAAACTAGTGCACGACTATGGAAATCAGTGTGCAAGTCTCCCAAAAAGTCAAAACTACAACTATTAGATGACCTAGCTGTACTATGCCTGGGCATATACTCAGAGGACTTTATATTTTACTATAGAGGTCACTTGTACATCAACATTTATTGCTGCTCTAGTCACAATACAAAGGAAACAGAATCAGACTAGATGGCCATCAATAGACCAACTGATAATGAAAACGTAGTGCATATACACAACGGAATTTTACTTAGCTACAAAAAAAAAAAAAAGAAAGAAAAAAAAATAGGACATCTGCAGGAAAATGGATAGATCTGTAAAGTAACCAACCCAGACTCAGAAAGACAACTATTGCATGTTCATTCATACATAGTCTTTAGTGTTATATATACATTGAATGTGTGAGTCTAGACTATGCAACTAGACAGGGGACCATGAGAAAGAAAAGTGCAGAGGAAAGAGGGTCATGACAGAACACACAAAACCAGAACGAAAGCTACTAGGGATAAAAATGGAAAAAGAGTGGGGGGGGGGGTGGCAGGAAAATAAAAAAATACAAATGTGTTTTAAAATGCCATAAGAAAACCTAATACTTTGTGTACTGCTTTAATTAACTGAAAATTACTGTAAATAAATTTAACCAAAATCTTTAAAAAGAACAAACACTTCTGTAAAAGATAGCAATATGCCCAGCAACTCTTTGATCTCACTGCATTTGTAACAAAATGGCCTAGCACACAGCATAGAAAATGCGCATTCATCGAAAGCATTTGAACGATGAAAAAACAAACAAAAAACCAAGATCTTTCAACCTTTCTAAAAATTACTGAATTTTTCAGTAATGTTGAAATCATAACCAGAAGTACATATTGCTCTCCCTATTTCATAGAATTTCCCAGGCAGCATGCAAATGACTCAGTGGTCTCCTCTTCCCCGAGCTCATGGTGAGACTCCCTCAAAGGCTATGCTTCTGAAAGTACAAAGTTCTTGCCTCTGTGAGCTTTTCACGACATAACTCATTAGACACCTTGTTAGAGAAACAATCTAATACATAGACTGTTCACAGTGAAACTGAGTCACTGGCCCACAGTGACCAGGGTTGTTTTTGGAACCCTTCTAGACATGCTCACACTATTCAGTGTCAGCCCTCACTGGTCATGGTGGCACATGCCCTTAATCCCAGCACCCTGGAGGCAGAGACAGGTGGATCCTCTATTTCAGGTTCTCAACAAGCTTGCACCACACAGCTTGTCTTAGTAACAAAATCTGAAAACAAAGGCCCTCTAATCCATTTTATGATAAAGGGATGGAAATATACCTTTTTCCTGAGAGAGCTGCTCCTCTTGGCGCTGGTGATGGGGCTTATAAGGGGCTGCTCCCTGACTGAGTCCTTCAGCCACAAAACCATCCAGAAAAGATAAAGAAGCATCTGCCTGCATTAGAGTTAAGCAAAAATCAGGAATTAAAAAAAAAAAAAAAAAAAAAAAAAAAGTACTGGGAAGACTAGATTGTATATTCATATAATCTTGGCAAATATATCTTTTTAACTTTTTAAAGAGAGATCCCTTCCAGGATCTAGTCAGGTAAGTCGGCCTGATTGTGCCCTCAATAACCCTTGAGATCTAGGCAAATTCTACACCTGGTGTCCAGCCTAGTCTGGCCACCTCTCCCTGTGCCACTACCAAGCTCTAGACTTCTGCCAAGACCTGCCCTACTTGTTCACAACTTAAAGGCACATCCAAACTCTATGCCACATCCAAACTCTCTACCCATCTCTTGCAGATCCTTTTCCAGTGCCTAGCCAGGTCACCTGATCTTCCCTTCTTCACACCCATCCCAGTCCCCAGATCTGACCTGAAATTCCAGGCTTGGATCACATCCTGCACACTAACCCAGTATTCTGTGGCTACCTGATCTTATCTCATCTAAGCCATATTCAACTTCTAGGCACAGCCCGACCTGTACATCCTGTGCTTCAACCTGCTCTGTCTCTATCAGACACAGAACTAAAAGAAGTCTGTGTAGACACAGACACAGACACAGACATAGACACAGACATGGACACAGGCACAGACATAGAGTTTAAATGAAATTCTCCCATCTGGGCTGATATGTTTCCATAAGAGCCACAGACTACCTAACAGTTTAACATTAAACATGAGCCCTCTTTGTGTTGTTGGTCAGAGCTGTCCCAGAAACTCCCAAAACATACAGGCTATTGCTATTGTCCTCGGGGCTTCCCAGAGGTGGACATAAAGTTCCTATGGCTAAAGACACTATGTGTTTTGGACACAGAATCCAGAGGACCCAAGCTGAATGTGACCTTGTGTTAGATAGTTTTATGTTAATTTGACATAAGCTAATGTCATCTGAGAGAAGGAAACCTCAATTAAGAAAATGCTTCCAAAAGACAGGGCTGTAGGCAAGCCTGTGAGACATTTTCTTAAATAGTCACTGATGATCTAGGAAGGCCCGGCCCATTTTGGGTGGTGCCATTCCTGGGCTGGCGGTCCTGGATTCTATATAAGAAAGGAGGATGAGCAAGCCATGGGGAAAAAGCCAGTAAATAGCACCCTTCCGTGGCCTCTGCATTAGCTCCTGCCTCCAAGTTCAAGCCCTGTTTGCGTTCCTGTCCTGATTTCCTTCAATGATAAACAGTGAAAAAAACAAAAACCATAAACAGTGATTTGAAAATGTAAGCCAAATAAACCCTTTCCTCCCCAAGATGCTTTGGTTACAGTGTTTCATCAGGGCAATAGTAACCTTAAGACAAACCTAATAGCTGATTCCATGAGGACTAGTTTTCATTATGTCAGACAGCGACATGCAAGTTTCCAAAGGACAGAAAAAACCAATAGTTTTACTTAGTAATGACACCTATGAACTACAACAAACAGCTAGCAATGGACAATAACCTCAAGGGTATGGTTGTGGCATGCATACTTTGGAGGTAACCAACAGCTCTTTAGCTGGACTTATGGCCAGCTCTACAATCAAGAAATCATGTCTGGTACTGGAAACCTAAGCAATTATCCAGGGCTAGTGAGCTCATGGGTCTTGTAGGAAAACCTACAACCTTCATTTTACTAACACAGCATACAATCCCTAACCACAGTGTCAATATCTGTCCTTATACCCACAGATAAGTGTAGTACTCACTCATCAAGGAAACCTCTCTTTGCAACAGATGGAGACCACTACAGAAAACCACAATCAACCAAAACCCCAAATTGTAGAGCCTAGTCCTTATGGGACACATCTGCAAAACACTCCCACACCTATGATTCAAGGAACTTTGGGGATGAGAGGGCAGAAAGATTCTAAGAGCCAGAAGAAGTGTTTACTGGGAGACTGGTAGCGCACACCTGTAATCCCAGTACTCAGGGAGGCAGAGGCAGGCAGATCTCTGTGAGTTCGAGGACAGCCTGATTTACAAAGAGAGTCTAGGATAACCAAGGCTACACAGAGAAACCCTGTCTCAAAAAAAAAGTCAGAGAAACTATACTGACAAATAGAAGATTCCTGATTTACTTTCTTTTTCTTTCTTCTTTACAACTGCATGAAGGCTGTGTGTGAGCGTGACTAGAAACTGAACCCCATATTTCCTTTTTTTAAAAAAAAATAATTAATTTAATTTAATTTTATGTGAATTAATGTGGAGGTGTCAGATCCCTTGGAATTGGCATTACAGACAGTTGTGAGCTGGCATGTGGGGGCTGGGAATTGAACCCAGATCCTTTGGAAGAGCAGACAGTGCTCTTAACCACTGAGCCATCTCTCCAGCCCTCCTGAACCCCATATTTCAAATCAGTTTAGCCTAGACAATGACCCCCAGGTGACAATCCATTTCTTAGGATCTGCTCTTTCTATACAGGAGTTCTATCTACTTTTTTTCTCTTAAAATTCTTTTAAACCTATGATCCCATAATAAAACTTCTTCCTGAATCTTACCCTTCTACGGTTTGTGAATTTCACTGTTCAAATTTGAGAGACAAAGCCCTGGCAGTCACTAACTTGGTGGAAATGTTGTGTGACCATGACCTTCTAGAACCCTGACTTCTAAGTTAAGCCCACACAAGAATAGAGAGCCTGTCATATTCAAGGACCCCATCCCTACCCCATATGGCTTTCCCCAGCCTTTTCACATCTCAAGACTACCTATCACAAGCTAAAACATCTACAGTGTAGTTCTCAGGAAGAAATACTCCCCTGCTCCTATTTAGAACTAGTATTAAATGGAACCTCTCCAATACTCTGCCTTCCAACATGAGAAAAACTGCAATTCATCATACATGCTACAGAAACTCTATTTTGATATATTCCTTATATATCAAGCATGCAAGATATTGCTCTGTTTAAGAAACAGAGCAAAGATTTTGACAAAATGGAGCACAGGATTCTTACCATTATGTCTTCACCATTCTGTGTACCTTGAAGCAAGCTCTTCATAAGCTCTACATTTTCACCCAGATGTTTCAATTCAAATGCATGCTGTCTCAGGCATGTATTCAAGGATACAGTGAATTCTTGGATTAATTTCTCAACTATATGAGAAGAATGAGCTTGAGGCATCAGCTTGGTCACTGCAGCAATCAACCAGGCTTTTGTTTCTGAAGAAACAAAGTCACTCATAAGTAACTTGTAGAGTCTGGTTATAATCTCCTCTGGACTTTCTTCATCTAGGAGATAGGAATACTCTCCTAACACCTAGAGTAAAACAAAAATGGTGGATGTGTAAATACCAATCAGATAGTATACCATATTCAGACCTATTGCTAGAATGAACATCTGTCTTACACATATTTCTATGATAAACATTATTGAAGAAACAGTATAATAAAAAAGAACTGGAACTCATCAGTAACAATATATGAAGTAAAATACCTTTAAAGGTTAATGTTCTTCTTCTGAACCTCTTAGAGGCTGGCTTTATTTTCCAGTAAGAATTTAAGAAGGCAGGTCTCACATATAAGTTATTAAGAGAAAGATTTTACAATTTTTTTTTGGTTGTTGTTTTCTAGTGTTTTTGTTTGTTGTTGTTTTCCAAGACAGGGCTTTTCTGTGTAGCCTTGGCTGCCCTGTTCTGTAGACCAGGCTATCTTGAACTCGGAGATCCACCTGCCTCTGCCTCCCAAGTGCTGGGATTAAAGGAGTGCACCACCATTGTTCAGCTCCAGTATTTCTTAAGGTCTCTCATAAAACACAGGTTTCTACTGTCTATCAGTAGAAAGTGTAACTTAGTGAGACTGTAGAGAGGATCCAGAGTACATATCTGAACAAGCACCAGCTGACACTGACAAAGACAATTCACAGGACTTGTCAAGAATAGTGATCATTCTACATACCCTTTTTTCACATTTAACTTACTCAAGAGACATACCATTTGACTGGCCTAACAATTGATCATTTTATAAATGATAAAATTATCATCTTATAAGTATAATTCAAGGAATATAAAATCTTTCCTAAAAGGCATTTACCGTATAACTTCATATCTTTAGCATAACAATAGTACCAACAAAAAAAGAAAAGCTAGGTGTGATAGCAAACCTTTAATCCCAGCAGAGGCAAGTGGATCTCTGTGAGTTCAAGGCCACCCTGGTTTATAGAGTGAGTTCCAGGGCAGCCAGGGCTACACAGAGAAACCATGTCTAGAAAAACAAAAAGCAAGCATGAAAACAAACAAACAAAAAGAAATGGGATAGGGAGGGAAGGAGTCATACCTATAATCCTAGCCCCTGGGAGGCTGAGACAGCAGTGAGTTCTAAGCTAGCTAGTGCTGCACAGTGAGTTTCAGGCCTGTCTGGGCTACAGTGATTACCCTGTCTTTAAAAGCCCAAAAGAAGAAAATCTAAGCAACACAGTGAAATACAAATTTAAGAACAAACAAAATTATTGGATATGGCACTGTAGGCCTGTTGTCCTGGAGAGCTGAAGCACAAGAGGTATGAATTCAAGGCCAGCCAAGGCTGCAAAGTGAGATCCTACTCCTCTCAAAAACAAACAAACAACAACAACAACACAGTAATTTTAAAGGTGGCTTTAAGAAATAAAAGATGTAAAGTTCCAGAAGAGCAGGTAACCTGAGTTTTAAGGGACTTCTGTTTTGTGAGAAGATCAATTATTTCCCCCTATTATTCCCATTAAGGGTACCCAAAGGCCACTGACACTTACGTAAAACATACAGATAGGGTCTGGGAATCTAGCTCAGTTAGTGTTTGCGTAGCATACATGAAGGCCTGGGTTTGATGCCCAAGAAGCATAAAACCAAGTATGGTGGTGCATGCCTGTAATCCTAAAAAGCAGAAGCCAAAGATTCAGAAAATCAAGGCTTTCCATGGCTACACAGCAAGTTTGAGTCTAGTCTGGGATACAGAAGACTTGTCTAAAAACAAAAACAAAAACAAAATATGAAATGAAACAAAGAACAACAAAACACACCTTTACTAAAAGGCGAGACCAGTAAAATGGCACAAAGTAAAAAATAAGAATATAGTTAAGAGATAAGAGAAAACATTGGGAAAAAAAAAAACAAAACTGAAACTAAGATGAGCTGAATGATTTCTGAAGAAAACATGTTAAGTTATAATAATGTGTATGTAAGATACTATGCTCACCCAACTCATAACTTGAAGAAATCTCTGTGGATAGAAAGTATTTTCCATGTCTAGTAAAGTAAGGTAAGACTGAACTGCATAGAGTCTTAATTGTTGATCTTCTACTTCATCATCAAAACCTACAAAGAAATTGAAATACTAGTTTAGTTTCCAATTGCCAATGTCTGTAATTTAAAAAAAAATTCTTTTAATTCTTTACCAACCTTCAGCTAGCAGTCTCAGGAAGTTACTGAGAATATCAGGGTGCATTACATCTCCTCCCACTGAGAACACAGCATTCATTGTCTGAATAAACCACACATTGTCAGGAGCATATGTGTCCATTGTTAAGAACAAGTCGAGTCGTCGTCATGTCACTCCCTGAAATCCCTCTCTACAACACAAGTTATGCCAGTATGGCAGCTTATCTCTACCAAAATGCTCCCTAGCCCAGTCCTGTATGAATGCATGCTCAGTAAGTGAATAACTAAGTTACTTTACCAAGCCCTAGGCTTACAGAGAACAGGTATTTAATAAATAAACACGAGTAATTTGAAGAAATGAGCCAGCTACCTTGTGGCAAACAAATCATGGAAAATTCCTACATATTTTAGAGGGGCTAAAGCTGTGGTGTGTCCACTTAAGAAAATGATGTACCTCTTTCTAATATAGTTTTCATCAGTTCTAAAGATATCATTCTGCTAGGCCAAAGCTATAGCACTGCTATGCAGGATACATTTAACCAAGTTAAATGTATTCTGTTCCAAGAGACATCTTAAAAACAAAAACAAAGACCTAAGCTGTGTACACAAGTTCTGATACTTAAGAATCAGAAATTAAGAATTACTTTATTTCTGGGTCCCTGAACTCAATTCACAAGTAGCCACATCTGTACCACCATTTTATTCATTTATTTTTAAATTTTTATTATTTATTTTATGTAGATGCATGTACACTTGCACGCCAAAAGAGGGCATCAGAGCCCTGTATGTGACCTCTAAGCCAGCTTTCCAGACCCTGTACCACCATTTTCAAGTCAGTGAATAAAAGTATTGTATGAGTCATATTTGAAGCAAAGGATATTTCTCAGCCAACTCAGCTATTTTGCCAACTAAATTGATGATGATATACTCTTCTTTGCTCTGATGTAAATATTCAAGCATTTTCTGTACAATAACTACTACATTCTGTGCATTTGTAATTCTGTAAAGAAGTTCCAGGGTCTGTTGAGAGAATAAAAACAGTATTATAAAATGATGCAAGTTAACACCAGTAAATATAATAAATGTGTTTAGAATAAGTTAACTGTTCTGCTTTTGTACAGATTTTCAGGAGAGTCAGTTAACGGTGATAAGAAATTGTCGATTTTGTTGGGTTAAAGCTCAGTGGTAGGCCAGTACTTAGTTGTCTAGAATATGAGAGTTGCTAGGTCCTATTCTTCAATTCCAAAAAATAAAAAAAAATGAAAAAGTGTAAATTTCAACTAAGTTGAGAGGCGGTAAGAGGGAACCTGTAAGCTGTAAGTGATAGGAAGGGGGAAATGAGGAAACTGGGGAGGGAACAGCACCACGAGCCTGGTGAAAGGCATCTATGTTTCTGCAGCTGAGAGAGACCGTTACAGTGGAGACGCCCTCAGGATTTACAGGGGGAACAAAGAGGCATGCGAAGGGCACATGCAAGGACTGATGTGTGGGCCCTGTGTTAGCACTGTGGCACAGGTTTGTTTTATTAAAAAGAAACCTAAAAAGAAAAGATAAGCGATGTAAGAAGTTAATAATGATAAGGAAACTGTATTGAACTGTGTTCAACTAACACAAAAAATGCAAGCTGTAAGTCCGATAAAATAAATGAGCTGTACTATTTTTTTCCTGTTCTTGGAATCTTTTTAACTTTTAAGCTATTTTAAAACATGAACTACATGCCTATATGTACATGCATATATGCAAATAATTTATTTTTAAAATAACTTAAAATTCAAAATTTATAATCTTAAAATTTTTTGTTTTTGTTTTTTTCAAGACAGGGTTTTTCTGTTTAACAGTCCTGGCTTTCCTAAACTCACTTTGTAGACCAGGCTGACCTCAAACTCACAGCAATCTGCCTCCCTTTGTCTCCCTGAGTGTTTGGATTAAACGCCATGTGCCACCATGCACGGCTCCATAATCTTTTTTTAAAAAAGACTTCTTTACTTATATTTTACGTATATAAGTGTTCTATCTGTATTTACACCTGCATGCCAGAAGAGGACATCAGATGACATTATAGATGGTTGTGAGCCACCATGTGGTTGCCAGGAACTAAACTCGGGACCATAATCTTTAGAAACTATTTTTTTTTTTAGGCATAATACAGTGTTCAGTCAAGCTCAATTTTACCTCACTACTTTGAAGCTATTAAGGTATTTAATATTCATTTTTAAGATGTAGGGTTTATTTTTGTTTTATGTATATGTGTTTTGTCTGCATGTATGTCTGTGTATCACATGTGTGCCTGGTGCCAGAGCCAGAAAAGGGCATTTGATGCCCTGAAATTGGAGTTACAAATGTGAACTGCCTTGTAGGTTCTGGGAACCAAACATGGGTCCTCTGTCAGCGGAGCAAATGCTTATAACCACTAATCCATCTCTCTAGCTCTATGTTCTTTTTTTTCTTTTTTAAATGCTCATTATAATAGCAAGGCATGGTGGTGCATGCCTTTAATCCCAGCACTCAGAAGGCAGAAGGAGGCCTCTGCGAGTCTGAGTCCAGCCTGGTCCACAAAGCAAGTTTCAGAACAGTTGGAGCTGTTATACAAAGAATCCCTGTCTAAAAAAAAAAAAGAAAAAGAAAAAAGAAACATTATGTAAAATAAACTTCCCATTTTTCTTAAATAGGCCCCATATACCTCTCAAAATAAAGTTATTTCTCTAAAAGAGAATGAACAGAACTCTTTATGTAGATACCCAGTGGATATTGAATCAATTTAATAAAAGGAAGGCATCAGAACATTAGCATAATTTCTCTTCCAAGAAGTTCAAATTATCTTATAGTTCTATTGAATTAACAGTTTTCCTATTTAACAGTGAGTTCATTTAATAGGCATCATAAATTATGTATTATATATAACTGGAGTATGTTTTACTTTATACTAATACAAGGACCCAGGACTAGAATTCAGTCCCCAATATTATAGTACTTACATTGATAAAACAAATAAATCAATGACTTTATATACATAAGTGGACCTATGCTTTCCAACATTTCTGTGGGCTGACTATGGTGACACACCTATAATCCTAACATTTGGTGACTGAGGCAGGGGTAGCACAAGTTTGAGTCTAGCCTGTGCTACATAGTAAGGCCTTGTCTCATAAAACAAAAACCCCAGCATAGTAGTACTTTTTAGAAAACTAACAACCTTCCATGAGGGACTATCTGACAGTCTGCAGTGGCTGGGAAGGGGCATCAGCTTTCTTCAGTGATTAGCCACCCGTGCTCATGTTAGCAACTCTATCTAATTAAACTCATGCACAAAGACATGACGGGAAGCAGAAGAGGGGATAAGAGAAGGTAACAGGAAAATGACAAACGCACATTACATACACCAAACTGTCAAAGTATAAAATTGAAATTTTAAAAGTAGAAAGAATTAAACATATATAAAAGGTAAAATATACTTGCACACATAAACATCCACTGGCTATCATTTTAATCTCTCAAGAATATCAAAAAAAGTTTTCAAAACTTACCACTTTAAACACACTATCCAAAATATTTTACCTTTCTTTTTTAAAAAGGAGATTTAATTTTTATTTATGTGGATCTTTATCTGTGTCTGTGTGAATGTATGCCACATGTGTGCAGGTGCCTGGAGGCCAAGAAAGGGCAGGTTGGATCCCCTGCAGCTGGTGGGTTTGGAACTGAACTCTAGAAGAGCAGCGAGCACTCTTAACTGCTGAGTCATTCTCTCTTCAGCCCTAATTTACCTCTCTTTTAATAATGGGATCAGGGTGGTCTAGGCATTCAATTATGGTTATCTGGTGTTGAAGAGCCAGAGAAGGATCCTGCTGGATAACATAGGTAAGAGCCTTCAGTCCTAGAAATAAAGATCACATTACAGTTCAACGACCTCAAATACGTACCCAGCAAAATTCAAAAGCTCTCTTTCCAATTTCCATCATAAGAACCAATTACCTTACCTAAATATTTGAGGTTTATTTTAGGTGACAGAACAAATTTTCCAATGCACTTGACAGCCTTCTCAAGTAATTCTGATTTAGGATAAATAGAATAAATTGTGTGTACACATTCAAACAGAATGGCTAAAGAAAGGAAATACAAAATGACAGATATATTTAAGTACAATAGAAGAACAACTTTGTGTACAACTTGCAATAAAACTAACAGGGAGATATGTTTTAGTCTAAAATCTTATTTATAAAAAAATTCTAAAGAAAAAAATTTATTTTCATGCTTATACCGGTTATATAGGTTAAGCTAACACAGTACAACTTAAAGAAAAATTTGTCACCATCAAAAACAGAATTATGCATTCATTCATACAAGTGTGTACTGAACACCTATGTATACCAGAAATAGTATTAGCACTATGGATGCAACAGTGAATGAAACAGATTAAAAACTCCTGCCCTTAAAAAGCCCACAATCGAACACATACATTAAAAAGTATATCATTTCTGCATAAACAGATCTTCCTAATACTCCTTGAATACTTTAAAATAATATACTTTCAAGAAGTTTCTACCACTTATACAATAATCACTCTAGTATGCACAGTCATTTATTTCAAAGGTGGGGGGTCATTACTTAAGAATCTTTAGGCTGCTTCTTTAAAAGTCGTCTCATATATAGAACAGGCTATGGGATATCTTGAAAATGTTCAAATTTAATTTTCTAATAAAGGCAAAAGAATAAGTGCAGTGATTAAAGAGGATACAAAGTCTCTAAGCTCATGTAAAGTACATGAGTGGATGCAGTTTGCCACGTGAAGAGGATCACTAAGAGGCTGAGGTGGCAGCTCAGTGAGGGAAGTGCCTGCTGGGCTCAGATCTCTGGTGGCCAAGGAAAGGCTGAGCACAGCACTGCAGATCTGTAACTCAGAACCGACGAAAGAGAGCAGAGACAAGAGGAGGCTCACTGACCAGCCAGCCTAGCTAAGATGTACGCTCCAGGTTCTGTGACGAGACCTGGTCTCAAAAACAAAGGTAAAGAGGGCTGGGAAGATGGTTCAAGGGTTAAGAATTCAGTCCCCAGCATCCACAATGGGTGGGTCCCGGCTCCAGGGGAATCTGATGCTCTCTTCTGGCTACTGAGGGTACCTACATTCATATGCACAAACCCACACATATACACAAGTACACATAATTAAAAATAAAATAAGTCTTACATTAAAAAAAATAAGATGGGGGCTGGAAAAATGACACAGTAGTTAAGAGCACTGGCCACTTTTTCAGAGGACCCAGGTTCAATTCCCAGCACCCATATAGCAGCTCAAAAGTGCCTGTAACTCCAGTTGCAGGAGATCCAACACCCTCACATAGACACATGTAGGAAAAACTCCAATTCATATAAAAATAAGAATAAATTAAAAAAAAAATAAGGTGAAGAGTGACCTTATGAGATGTCAAACTCTGAGGGTCAGACTTCTTATAGATTTATTTATTTATTTGTTTGTTTGTTTGTTTGTTTGTTTGTTTATTCTGTTTGTGCACCAGAACAGGAGAGGGCACCCGATCTCACTATAGATGGAATTGAACTCAGGACCTTTGGAAGAACAGCCAGTGTTCTTAACCTCTGAGTCATCTCTCCAGCCCCCGAGATGTAAACCTCTGACCTCCGCATTTGCACCAAGAAATAATACATACAGGTACAGGTGCACAACCACAAATATACTACACACATGTGTAACACACACAAACACAAAGATAGAGGAGAATTATTATTATTTTTAAAAGATTTTATTTATTTTATGTATGACTTGCACCTGCATGTGTGTCTGCATGCCAGAAGAGGGCATCAGATTTCAGTATGGATGGTTGTGAGCCACCAGGTGGTTGCTGGGAATTGAACTCAGGACCTCTGGAGGAGCAGCCAGTGCTCTTAAACATTGAGCCATCTCCAGCTCCCAAGAGGAGAATTATTAAGACATCATTGAATCTTATAAGGCCTGTGTAATCATAGCCAAACTGTGGTAGTGCATGCCTGTAGTCCTAGCATTCGGGGGTAAAGACAGAAGGAATGCTGACAGCTCAAGGCGTGCATGAGCTACACAGTAAGCTCCCGGCCAACGAGGAAGACACGGTAAGACTATCACAAAACAAAAATGAAGGAAACAAAAAAAGTGAGAGAGTACAGGCACAGAATCGGCAGATGTAAAACGATTACAAAGTAAAGTGCATCACAACAGAGTCACTTCATCCCTGCGGCTCCCACTGTGGTAACCATGTGTTTCCATTAAGCACGCTTGTAAGATGTTCAACATCCAACCAGCAGAATTCCACACTACATGCCACACATCAACTAGTGCAGATATTCTGCTGGAAAAGATTTCAGGTAACATCTTCCACAGCTGAGTAAAATAAACCAGAATCTGAATTACTATCAAGGAGGGAGCTGATTTTTACCATTAACTACTCCGTAGGAAGTGAACCTAAGACACTGACTGTATATTCCGGTGACATACTTTGCAACATGAAAATGGGCAACCACCACAACCCATCCTCAGACTACTTGTGTAACCCTATCAACTAAAAATGATTTTTGTATTTTACAAAGGTTCAAAGCAAACAGAGAGAGGAAGCGGGGAGATGGCTCAGTAGGTAAAGCACTTGCCATACAAACCTGGTGACCTGAATTTGATTCCAGGGCCCATGCAGCGGGAGAGAAGAACAAACTCTACTAAGCTGTCCTCTGAATTCCACAGGCAAGATATGGACTGTAAGCATTTTTATGGGCATGCACACATAGACAACAACAACAAGAAATTAAGATTTCTTCTTAAAAAGGAGAATATGCCATGACCTTATTTATTTTTGCTCTCTGGGCAAGGAGGTGATGCAGTTCCGGACAGTGAACTCTCTCCACGACTGTGGTCCCTCTGCGCACACCTGGGCTGTGCTATGTACAGAGCCAGTGCTTTGGTTGTTGTGGGTTTGGGGTTTTTTTTGTTTGTTTGTTTCTGCTTTTGTTTTTTGATTTAAATTGGTGATTTTTATGCTTATCTTCAAGGCTGGCTTAAGTATAAATTTGTTTTTTAAAACACTTGAAAAATTAAAGGACTCATTTTATAAAAAAAAAAAAAAAAAAAAAGGAGAATATGCAATAGAAACCTGTGAAAACTATGGGAACACGTGCTTATAATCCCAGCACTGAGAAAGTAGAAGCATGAGTATCAAGTGTTCAAGGTCTTAGCCATTCTATCAGTGGGCTGGGTGGGGGGGGAGAAGAGGGAGGGAGGGTGGTAATGGGAGGAGACAAGACACTACAGCTGGGATACAAAGTGAATAAATTGTAATAATAATAAAAAAAAGAATTCAAGGTCACCTTCAGCTATGTAGGGATTTGAGGCCAGTATGGGCTCTATGAGATTCTGTTTGAGAGAAGAAGAAAGGAGAAAGAAGAAAAAAAAAAGAAAAAGAAAAAGAAAGAAAGAAAAAAGAAAAAGGAAGGAAGGAAGGAAGGAAGGAAGGAAGGAAGGAAAGAAGGAAGGAAGGAAAGGAAGAAGAAAAAAGAAATCTATGTGACTTGAAAAATCTAAAATATTTAGTATCATGGTCACTATTAGAAAAAAACACTGTTGAACCCTTAACTATGATATTACAACAGTCCTAAGTACGATTTAAAATGATATTCTGTTTTTTCTATTATATCTGATTCTTTTCTTGCTATTCAGAACTCTCCTGGTATCAAATTTGTTTCACAAACAAAATAAAAAACCTCGTTATCATCCATCTAAACTCTAAATTTTTATACTCAGACACTCATGAGACTACTGGGCTATCAGTATAGAAAATAGCAATACCCTCCCCTTCTGAGAAAAAGAGAGGGGCGAAAGGGGAAGTAGGGGTGTGAGAGTGGGACCAGGGGAGAGGGGGCTGGAATTAGGCTAGAAAGAGATTAAATTAATACATAAATGAAAATAAAAATGAAAAAAAATGAAAAAATAAAGAAAATATTAATATCTCGAAATTTATACTTAGGCATAATTAGGTTGAAAATTAATTTGATTTTTTTTTCTTTTCTTTTCTTTTTTTGAAGGGACAACACGGGGTCTCATATACCCCAGGCTGACCTTGAACTCACTATGTAGTGAACCTCAAGGATTCTCCCGTTATACATACACACCCCCAACATGCTGGGATTACAGCCAGAGGCCTACACCTTACACCCAGAACTCCATGCATGGTAGACAGGCACTCTAGCAACTGAGCTACATCTATCTCCTATTTGATAGATATTGAAATTTATTTTCCCACCTAGAATTTTCCAACACCGCAAAAATCGGTATATATACTTATAGCTGAGAGAACAGCCATTATGCCTTCCTCTTTCTGCAGTGGTTACAACAAAAGGTGCTTCTGAGGTTTCTAAGCTTAAAAACACATCAGGATGAGAGAGATAGGCTAGTGGGTAAAGGCCCCTGCCACAAGATCCTGGCAACCTAAGTTCAATTACTGGAACCCACAAGCAGATGGAGAGAACCACATTACAAAGGTGCTCCAATTCTACATGCAAAGCTACACATATACATCATCAATACAAACAAATGCCATAATAACAATAAAGCATTATAATCTGTTTACTCAATAACAATCTAAGCCTCTATCCAAATACCAAGTAGAAATTATTAAATTAAAAATTGTAGTGTTCTAACATTCTAGCTTTGATATTTTGGGTTGGATTATGCTTAAACAAAATTCAGAGTTGTTTAGATTAGATGGTTAACAAGTTTAAGAACTTCAAATAGAAACTATTTACAAAATATGTCACAGCTTTAATGAATTATCTTCAAATTAGATGTTTTGGTGGGTGTTTTCAACAAAGACAATTATAATAAGGAATTTAAATACGTATTTAGAAGATGTCACAATTTCATGGCTGAAAAGATAGTTCATTTGTAAAGTGCTTGTCAGATCAGCATGAGGAACAAACATCAGGACCTCTGTAAATTCCCCAGGACCCATAGGAAAAGCCAGACAGTGGTACATGCTGACACCCAGTGCTGGAGCAAAGGCAGAGGGAAGCCTGGAACACACTGGTCAGCAAGCTATCTCATCAGCAAGCCCCAGCTCTAGTGAAAGACCCTGTCTGTCTCAGAAAGTAGGATAAACAGCTCTGAGGAACGACACCCAAGACTGGCCTGGCCTCCACACGGATGTGCATACACACCAATGTGCATATACTTGCGTATCTATACTCACACACACAGCCACAATTTCAACTTACTACTATTTTCAGTGCTTACATTAACCCGAAGAACCATCCTAGAATTAATATATAAAAAATTTCTTTGGAATTTATGGTATTCTCACACAGACTTAGCTCCAACACTGAAAAGCATTATTAGTCACAGGAAAACATGTTCACGTTTTACCTACCATAAGTGACATTGTGATTTAACTCGGCTCTTCGTAAGGATTCATCAAGAACATCATACATTAATTCACTTGTCCTGTTTAAGAGATATTTTATTTGCGGGAGAATTATAGTATTCTAACCCAACAAAACAGTTTTTCAAACTTCTCTCTTTAAAACTGAGGATCTACAGAAGACAAGTGGAAAAAATTCATTTTACAGTAAAGTTATACAAAATTACACATCAAAAGAACATTTGGTCTTTTCATGAAATAATCTTCCTACTTTACCAAAAGGGACTAATTTAGCCAATGAGGAGACAGAGAGGTCAATCAACCCTGACCCGACCTGGTCCTAATTTACAAACCAGACTGTTATTTGATGAAGCATGTCCTCTTACAATTTTATTTACAACAAAATATTTCTGTTTTAAGTTATAGGATTAATATTTCACATATCTAGATTATTTCTGGTAGTATACTACTGTTTATCAACTGCCTTGTCTTTTTCTGAAGAGTAACTAGGTTCTTTACTAAGAAAATTTTAATTTGTACTTATATTAAAAGTAAACAAACCACTCATGTTCTATGGTCACTGATTATAATGGCAGTTAATTGGGTTGAAGTAGATACTTTTAAAAATTATAAAACAAAACTGGGTGGTGATGGTGCACATCTTTAATCCCAGCACTGGCCAGGCAGAGGCAGGTGGATCTTTGAGTTTGAGGCCAGTCTAGTCTACAGAGTGAGTTCCAGGGCAACCAAGGCTACACAGAGAAACCCTGTCTCAAAAAAAAAAAAAAAAAAAAAAAAAAGTATAAATATACAGTGAGAATCCAGAATAACACTCTAAAATTTGTCATTCTATTGTGCATTTCTTGTACTACAGCAGGCACAACCAGTCCATCTACAAAATTCAATAATACTACACCTAGGTTATAGTGTGGTTTCTCAATTTTACAAGCTAAGGTCCAAAGAGGCAAAAAACTCATGAAATATAGAAACATTTGCAAGCATGGTTGAGCTAAATATTAATAACCTAAGATGCACAATGCTAGAAAACACAAGAAAATAACAGATGTTTTTATAAAACATTTTCTTAAGAAAAAGTTTTAATTAAATACATTTTTTTTTCCCAGATAGGGTTTCTCTATGTAGCCTTGGTTGTCCTAGACTTGCTTTGTAGACCAGGCTGCCTTGAACTCACAGAGATCTGCCTGCCTCTGCCTCCTTAAGTGCTGGGATTACAGGTATGTGCTACCAGATGTTTAATGAACTGCTTTATAATCATGTTAGGAAGTAAACATTTTTACTTTGCCACATTAAGCACATGAATTATAAATTATAAATATTTAAAATACTTTTTTCCACTTTGGTTTTTTGAAACAGGGTTTCTCTGTATAGTTCAAGGCTGGCCTTGAACTCAGAGCTCTGCCTGCCTCTGCCTTCCAAGTTCTGGGATTAAAGGCGTGTGCCACCACTGACCGGTACTTTAAAAATAATTTTTAATTTATTTTATGTGTATGGGTGTTTTTTTTTTCCTCATATGTCTGAGTACCACATGCACGCCTGGTGCCAGAAGAGGATGTTGGAGTTACAGATGCCTGTGAATAATCACAAGGGTATTGAGAATCAAATTTGGGTCTTCTGTAAGAGCAACAAATGCTCTTAACTTTTGAGCATAATTTTTGAGCAATCTCTCCAGTCCCATGAACTGTAAGATTTATTAACATAGAATTTCATTTTAGTTTAGTCAGCAAAGGAGAGAGCATTCTAATTTTCTATACTATAAGAGCCAGACTCTACACATCTGTTTAATTGTGCCTAGTTAACATTTGATTGAACTACGTGAAAGTAAAAAGTATCTTCCTCATCTTTGTATCCATCCTCCAAGTTCATCCATGAAGAAGTTAACAAGAACAAAATTAGTAAGACTGTTAAACTTCCTTAAAGTTACTTCACGTAGTTATGCCACACGATGACATAAAGTTGTCTTTAAACCAGTACGGTGTAATGCAGTTAACATGAAATTACTAATTTTCAGGCAGAATTCCAAAAGCCTTGAACTAGAGCTCCAATAGGGCGGAATTATTTAGAACTGGTGGATGCTGACACAAAGCTGAAGTGGCACTTTGCAAAGCAACACACTAGAGGATGGTCCCTTAATGGCTAAGAGTTAAAACACGCCTGTAGCCATTGCATAACATCAATGCCAGAACACTGGCCAGCAGGTATTTCCTTAGGACAGAAAGATCCTCACTCCCAAACAAACCAAGTGCAATTAGACTTGCCCTCAAATACTTCAGAAACCACTTTCAAAACAAAATAGTATGTCACCTGGGCATGGAGGTGCATGCTAGTAGCTCAGGAACTCAGGGTGGAAGCAGGATGATTAGAAGTTCAAGACCACCCTTTGCTATATAGTGACTTTGAGACAGCCTGGAATCTATGAGACTATCTTAAAAAAAAAAAAAAAAAAAAAAAAAAGGATAAAAATCAAAAATTAAGACATATGTAAATAAATGATGTAGGAACAGGAACTTCTTGTACTGTGACAGTCTGAATAAGAATGGCTACCAAGGGTTCATATACTTGAATATTGGTCTCCAGTAGGTGGAACTGCTTGGAAAGATTATGAGGTGTCACTTGTTGAAGGAGGTATCTCTGGGGTGAGCTTTGAGTTTTCAAAAGCCCATACTATTCCTAGTTGGTCCTCTCTCTCTGCCTCATGCTAATGAATAAGATTTAAGTAAGCTCTCAGCTACTTCTCCAATGCCTGCCTGCCTGCCTGTGCCATGACGGTATGGACTCTACGACCCACTGGGACAGTGAGCCCCCAAATTAAATGCTTCCATTTGTTTTGTCATGGCAATAGAAAAATAACTAAGACAGAAAGTAGTATCAGGGAATGTGCTATTGCTGTGGCAAGCCTAACCATGCTGGGTTGTTTTGTTTTGATTTGAGAAATGTGGAAGACTTTGGGACTTTGGACTAGGAAGGCTGTTGAACATTATAAGTGGGGCTTACTGGGCGGGCCATCCTACTAGAAGCTTGGAAGACAGTGCTGCTGAGAGCAATGTAGACTGTGGAGATCCAGCTCAAAGGTTTCAGATGGGAACAATATTAGCAACTGAGTTATAGACCATGCTGTGATATTTTGGCAAAAAAAAAAGTGGTGATTTCTGCCTTTGTCCTGAGAATCTGCCTGAGGCTAAATTGAAGAGGTTTGGACTAATTCTGTCAGTAGGGGAGATTTCAAAAGAGCCTAGTATTTACTGTGTCACGTGGCTATTAATGTTCAATCTTAGATCTGCAATAAAAAGAAGCCAGTCAGTAAGCAGCACGCCTCCATGACCTCTGCATCAGCTCATGCCTTAGGGTTCTTGCCCTATTGTGAGTTCTGCCCTCACTGCTTTTGAAGTTGAGCTGTTACATGGAAGTGTGAGTGAAATAAACCCTTTCCTCCCCAAGTTGCTTGGTTAGGGTGTTTCATCACAGCAAGAGAACCCCTAACTATGACATGTATGATTCTTGGAATTGAAAAATCTGTTATTCCGAAAAGCACGACAAAAACTACACATGCACCTATCTCCAAGTGGAGCAAGAGTTGGGAAAGTACAGCTATGGGCCTGGTACTGCAAAAAAGCTGTTTTCAGTTTGCTTGGTTTTATTTTCAATATTAAAAAACTAGCATTTGAGATTAGAGAGATGGCTCAGTGGCTAAGCACACTGACTGCTCTTCTAGAGGAACTCAGTTCAATTCCCTGCACCCACACAGTTGCTCACAACCACCTGCAACTCCAGTTCTAGGGGAATCTGGTTCATTTTCTGACTTCTGTGGGCACCAGGCACACATGCAGTACTCAAGACAAAATACCCCCACACATAAAAATTTTAAAAATTAAAAAAAGAAACTATCATTTAATTGAAGCCTTAACAGGACAACAAAATTAGTTCAAGAATATACATGATGAATAAGATATGAAAAATTTCAAATCATATAGCATTTGCTTTACTTATCCCACTCTCAAACTATGGTCTTTACTAAGACCAGTGTCCACTGGCAAAACAGGGTTTGGTGGTATCAGGAAATGAATGAGTGTGGATTTTTTTCTACTTCTTTTTTTATGACTTTTAAAAAATTTATTTATTTAAAAATTTTATGTACATTTGGTGTTTGGTGTACATGTATGTCTTTGTGGGGTTGTCAGATCCTCTGGAACTGGAGTTATGGACAGTTGTGATCTGCCATGTGGGTGCTGGGAACTGAACCTGGGTCCTCTGAAAGAGCAGCCAGTGCTCTTAACTGCTGAGCCATCTCTCTAGCCCCCTAATTCTCCTTAATATCTGTGTGTTTTGTGGTTGAAAACTGCATTCTCTTTGTTGTTTAAATTAAGTTTATTCTAAATTTATACTATGGAAATTTTTAAAGATATATAAAATTCTAACGATATACAAAAGAGAAAGTCAACACTCTCATTACCTCACTTTCACAGTTGAGTCACAGCCAACTTTATCTACTTCCTACATGTAGAGATTATTTTTGAAGTAAATTCTGGATAACATAGCCTTGGGCATAAATATATCACAATTAAGTACATTTATAAAAGATAAGGACGTGTTAGACAGGCAGGTATAGATGTTCACAGTTCCTCTGTAATACATAAAGTCACAATTCCTTAATGTTTTATGTCCAATTTGTGTTCAAACTATGATACATCATGGATTTAAGAAAAAATCAGGATCCCAATAAGCCCCATTCTTTTTTGTGTTTTTTTTTTTTTTTTTTTTTTTTTTTTTTTTTTTTTTTTTTTTTTTACATTTATTTGCCTGTGTTGTGTTTATGTGGACGTGTGTGTGTGTGGAGTGTGTGGAGTGGCTACAGACTGTTGGCACCCACGTGTAGATCAGAGAACAACTTAAAGAGCTGTCTCTGTTCTGCCATCATGTGGGCTCCAGGGAATGAACTCAGGTCCCCAGATTTGATAGAAAGCACCTTTACCTTCTTAGCCACAGCTTTTAATAGGTTGCTAACTCTTTAAATTTCTTTAGTCTGAAGACCTACAGAGAAAACTAACCCGGGCCCATGGGGGCTCCCAAAGACTGAACCACCAACCACAGAGCATGCATGGACTGGACCTACATCCCCTACACATATGGAGCAGACGTGCAGCCTGGTCATCATGTGGGTCCCTAACAATGGGAGCAAGGGCTGACTCGGACTCTGCTTCCTGCCTTTGGATCTCCTTCCCCTACCTGGGCGGCCTTGTCTGGCCTCAGTGGGAGAGGTGCTTATCCCTGTTGCAGCTTGATAGCCAGGGTGGATGGTACTCATGGGGGGCCTCCCTTTCCCTGAGAAGAAGGCGAGTGGGGAGGAGGGAGGGAAAGGGGAGAAAGGCATAAGGATGGGACTGGGAGGAGAGGAGGGAGGGGGCGCTTTGATCAGGCTGTAAAGTGATTAAATAAATAAATAAATAAATGGAAAAGTTCTGTTTCATCTGTATTTTCTCAGGTTTCTTTTCTTTTTTTATTAAACAGTTACTGGCCATATGTGTTTCTTCTTGTTTATCTACTTTTATGTGCACTGGTGTTTTGCTGCATGTATGTCTGTGTGAGGTATTGAATCCCCTGGAACTGAGGTTACAGACAGTTGTAATCTGCCATGTGAGTGCTGGGAATTGAACCTGAGTCCTTTGGAAAAGCAAGCAGTGCCCTTAACCACTGAGCCATCTCTCCAGCCCTATTCTCACTTTTCGATTTTCTCTTCCATCTAATTGTTGATGGAAGTCATTTGTCTATTTCTCCACAGTCTATCTTAGAGTTAACACCACCAATATACCTTTCTTTGTGTTTCCTATCAAATGGTAACTAACTCTAAAAAAGTCTGTCTGAATTTGGTTACATTTCAGCACAGGTGCTTCTAAGAGACAATCTCTGTCTTTGATTTGCTGTTTGCTAAAATAGATAGTCAATATTATATTTTGTTTTCCTTTTTATGACTTTTATATTTTTATTAGCATCTATCACTAATAATGAGTTTCATATTGATACTTATAGATAATGTATTTTGATCACAGTCTTTATGATTGCAATTGATGAATAGTTTATGTTTGGGGTTTTTTGTTTGTTTGTTTGTTTGTTTTTTGGATTTTTTCAGACAGGGTTTCTCTGTGTAGCCTTAGCTGTCCTGGACTCACTTGGTAGAGCAGGTTGCCCTCAAATTCACAGAGATCTGCCTGCCTCTGCCTCCCAGGGTGGGGGATTACAGGCATGCACACCATGCCTGGCTTCGAATAGTTTTTATATGTTGAAAAAAAAAGAAAGTATATTATTTATATTATTTACTAAAATGTGCAGATCATCTGAAATTCAGGCTATAATGTTTGTAAAACTTTTTTTTTTTTCCTGGAACACAGCCATTAAATTATATGCTCTCTATGGTTATTTTCAATCTGTAACAACAGAGTTCAGTAACTGCATCAGACAGCATGTGACCCACACAAGGTGAAATGGTTATTATTACCTGGCTCACCCTCTATTCCAACAGTTAAGAAAGACATTTCACAATGAGAAAATATGGATAAGTTAGGAATGCCCCAGTACCCTGAAGGAATCTGTTCTTACACTGACATTTACCACCTGTAAGGTAGTAAGTGCTGCAAAATTTGTTTTTCATAAAACTTCTCAGTGACTAACCAAGGCTGAGATTTGTTGTGGTCATTGTGTAACTCAGGAGGGCTTACCTTTGATCATCTTTTCCCAGCAGTCCCAGTATTCTCAAGAGCTGAATCTGTAACCACGGTGCCGGCACATTGTGGTAACTGAACTCAAATGGGAGCTTTCCTCCCACCACTTGCTTTAAAATTGCTACAAAACTCTCAGTCAGGTCTTTATATCCAGAAGAATTTTCCTACATTAAAAAAAATATTAATAATAATTCTTTTCTTTCTAATATTTTTTTTGAGACAGGGTCTCATATAAACCAGGGGTGACCTCAAATTTGCTGTGTAGCCAATTTATTATCTTATATCCATCCATATATAGAGAGATTTTAGAATTTCATACGTAAGTACTATATTTACATCATTTCCATTCCTCTCTCTTACTCTACCAACTCCTTATATCCCTCCACCTCTCCCTCAAATTCATGACCTCTTTTTAATTATTATCATACATGCACACACACACAGACACATACATACACATAAAAACAATCTGCTGAGTCCATTTAAAGTTGTTCATATATACATATACTTAAGCTGACCACTGGGTATTGGATAGCCTCTCAGGGACTCATCCTGGAGAAGACTGATTCTCCCTCTCTCAGCAGCCGTTAAATGCCTGTAGCTTTTCCTCTGAGGGTGGGGGCTTGTGATGTCACCTGGTGTCATTGTTCAGGTTTTTAGGTGACCATATTGTTGAGATTTCATGAGTGCATCTCCATGCCACATTACAGAAGACACTATCTCACAGCAGATGTCCTAGTCCTCTGGCTCTTAAAATCTTTCCATCCCTCTTCAGGATGTTCCCTGAGCCTGAGGTGTAGGAGTTCCACTGTAGAGATATCTATTGTGGTCGAGTACTTCACGATCAGCTGTCTTCTAAATTTTGACCAGTTGTAGATTTGAACTCCTGATCTTTCTTGCATATAACTCATATTATCAACAACTTACAAAATTTACACTTAATAGTAAATAATAACATAAATATATTTACATGTATGTGGGCATAGTACATATGTGTGGCGTATATGCACATGTGTGTGCATGAATGTGTGCCTATGCACATGCAGAGTCTAGAGGGGGATTCTAGGTGTCCTGTTCTATCACCCTGCCTTACTCCCTTGAGACAAGGTTTCTAGTTGAACCTAGAACAAGACTGTCAGCCAGTATAACCTAGAACCCTTTATCTCTGCCTCCCCTGGCACCAGGGCTACAGCAGACACGGATGGCCACACCCAGCTTTTTACATGAGTGCTAGGATCTGATCTTAGGTCACCCTGCTTATGCAGCAAGCACTCTTATTTACTGGGCCACCTCTCTAGCCTGATAATGGTATAAAATATTAATCATTTTATTGAAATATCTGAGTTTTGTTCTAATTCCATAGTGATATTGTTACAATGGTAACTACTGAGCACATGCTGAAATTGCCAACTTACCTTAATCATCCTAAGGTATATATGCAAAGAGGCAGCCATGACCCCAACATCTCTGTCACAGAGTGCTTTCCGAAATTTAGTATGGATATGCTGTACTTGATTAGGGGCAATGAGGTAAAATTTGTATAATGCCAGAACTGCTTTTCTTCGTATAATCTCCCTAAGAATAAAAAATGAAATTTAAACAAGGCAACCTGGGCCATCAAGTGTCTATTACTAATTATTTTATTCTAATGTAGCAAAGTATAAAAAAGATAAAGTGAGTACTTTATCTTTTTACTTTGTCTTAAAAAAGATATCGTACTTACTTAGCAAGCAGCAAGATGTCAAGACTCCCTCTTCTGGAGGGAGGGAAGACTGTGTGCGCAGATATACTGTTGAGTGTGTACATGTGTGCATGTGGAGGCCAGGCTGATGTCAGTGTCTTTCTCTGTCAAACTCTACCTTCCTTCTGAGACAGGGTCACATACTTAATCCAGGGGTTGCTGATTCAATTTAACTAAACTGGCTGGCTAGGAAGCCTGGGACCCTCCCCTCCTGTCTTCACCTCTCCAGCACTGGTATTACAGGCACATGCTGACACAGCTGGCTTTTATAAAGATGCTAAGGATCCAAACTCAGGTCTTCACAATTATACCCCAAGCACAATGGCAGCTGAGCCCTCTTCTCAGTCTCTTTTAAGTTATTGTTGTTTTATGAGAAAGGCTCTCACTATAGCCCAGGATGGTCTCCAAGTCATGATCTTCCTGCCTCAGACTCCAAAAGGCTACAAATATTCATGTGGACCACTGTTGCCAAAAGAAACTCCAACTGCCTATCAGTCACAAATTTCCCTAATTACAGAGTTTTAAGTAACATGCATAGATTACTTTTATAATCACATAATACACAATAAAAATTTTATAATTCCTTGATTCCATTTTTGTCTTTTTATTAAGATAAAAAAATTGTTTTCTATAGTAGGTAGTATTGTAGGGAAAGGGAATCATAGGAGGCATGTGAATAAAAAAAAAGTTACTTCTCTTCTTCCTGAGACTTGTTTTTAAAGCCCCATGATAATAGTTAAAGTGTAAGCCAGACTCAGACTTCATCTGTTGCAGATTATGTTTAGCAAATCTTTTCAAAAATAAAAAGATGACATCATACATCCTAGCTTTTTATTTCTTTGGATGGTTTTGGTTTCATGTTTTGTTGTTCTGTTTCAGTGCTAGGGACTGACCTCAGAGAACTGTACATACCAGACAAGCAAAAGACCCAAGCTCAAATCCCAGCACCCAAGGTTGGGGGCTCACAACCACCTGTAACTCCAGCTCCAGAGGTATCTGATGCTTCTGGCCTCTGTGAACATTTGCACTCATATGTATATATGCACATAGGACACAACGAATAAACCTAATTATAAATTTAAAAAAGGAAGGGGATAAATATAAATAATATATATTGACGGTTTCACAATATGTCCACTTAGCAAAACAATAGTAAGTTCTTTCATGGGGCCCATGGCTTCCTGAGACAGGAGTTTTTGACCAGGTTTATGGTATCAGGCAGGAATTTCCTATTAGAGCAGGCCCTTTTCAAGACTTACAGAAACCTACAACATTGTAAGCTAATATAAATATATAGTTTAAAAGAGGGTTTAAACTGAGGAGGCTTGCAGCAGTGGGCAACACTTTTCAGAAAACATGGATTATTAGATGAGTTATTAATCAGGAAGGCCCAAAGGCCCCAAACACACAGGCCATTGCCATTGCTTCCGCTTGTCCAGCGTGACGACGTGGCAAAACCTTGCTGATAAGGCACCACAGGTTTTGGCTATGGGAATTTGTTTGTGCTACTGTGTCCGCTTTTTACCTGAGTGCTAGGGGCTGAGCTCAGGTCCTCGTGCTTGCACGTCATGCACTTTACCAACCAAGCCACCTCCTCAGCTCCCAATCCTACACAAGCTTGATAAGACATTTTTTACATATAGGATTGTTAGAAAATTGAGGGTTTGTTTTTTTTAACTCTTATACATCATTTATTTAATCTGTTTTAAAAAGTATATTAACATTCTAAGATAACAATGCACTGTTGTAGTATATTCAAATAGTAAACTATTAATCAAGCTGGAAATGCCAGAGCAACTTTCTCCTTGATGGCCAGCTTCCACTGTTGTTACAGTCGGTCTTGATGTCCACTTGCCACAAACCAGAATCACCTGAATAGAAAGCTTCATCTGAAGAACTGTCCTGATAGCCCTGACTGATGGGGAAAGGCCCACCCAATTCTGGGCTGCACCTTCTGGTAGCAGCCCACATCACAAAGATACAGCAAAACCATGCCTCTTGCTGGCTTGGTCTTCCTCTTGACACAGAACTGATTTGCCCTATTGTTGATGTTTTTGTTGTTGCTGCTGCTGCTGCTGTTGCTGCTGGTTCACCTGCTGACTACAGAACCAGAATTTCCAAACTTTCATCATGAACTAGAGACCAGGGGTAATCCAGGAACCTTGAAGTGCCAGATTGGGACTGCTGAGGCACTTTGCCTTTTAAAGTGAGAGACTACAAGTTATGTTTTCCCTGTTGTGTCCCACTCTCCCATGACAGAGCCACCGTGGGACTATTCTGACTGATAAAGCACCCATCCTCAAGGACTGAGTAATTATGAGGTTCTTAACTCTCAGGTGATTCTGCTGTTGTTACTTTCTAAGGCTGGAGAGAGGCCTCAGAGGTTAAGAGCATGTGCTGCTCTAACTTCTTACTGATGACCCAAGTTCAAGTCCCAGCACCTATGTCAGGCAGATCTGAACTGCCTGTGATTCCAAGCCGTCAGCCTCTGTGAACACCTGCACTCATGCGTACATACCCACACACAGACATATACATAAATAGAGGTAACTAAAGAAAAAGAACTCTTTAAAGTGTGTGTGTGTACACACACAGCCCTGGTTCTGTTCTTCTAGAGAACTTTGACTGGTACACCGGTACTAGAAAGTGTCATGCAGGCTACTGAGGGAGAAGAGTAACCAATGTTCTTGGTGACCACCTACATGCAACAACCCTGACCTGTCAAGCAAGATGTGCCAGTGCAATAGTGGCATGAGTATTAGAGGGGTGACTAACTCTCTAACTGGATATGAGGCCTGCTCCACAGGAAGGCATTCATGCACGCTACTGTGAACTAGCCAAAAGTCTATGTTTGGGGATCAAAGACCCCTATTACTACTATTATTTTGCTAGATGGACACATTGCCAAGCTGTCTTCTAAATATTTATGTTTACACCCATAAATTAGCGCTTTTCTCAACCTTAGTCAGAAAAACTTCTTTTTGCCATGGCGCAGTGGTTAATGCAGAGACTTATAACTAGCCAAAGTGCTGAGAAGAGTACCTGATGAGTGCTTGGCCCTAAGCGGGACATCTATATTACCAGTACCATCCCCTCAAGGCTCGGGGGCCATCTTGGAAAAGGGGAGGAAAGCATGTAAGAGCTGGACGACGGAAAGGAGTACTGAGAAAGACTGTCTTCTGGACATGACATGGTTGTTGCATTATGAATTCACTGCAGCTGTAGCTACCTACATAAAAACTTGCAAAAATGAAGCCAGTTAATATTCCAGCATGCATAGCAGGGAGGCTCAAAAGGTTCTAGCTGTAGCTGAGAAACTACTGGCAGTTGATGGCTGTTGGGGAAATGGGAGTCATTTTTCTCAGGGACATGGCTACTATTAGGTTGCTCACGTTTAGTGGATAGTTCAACTCCCATGAATATACGGGCAGCACTAACTGGACTCAGTAGGTTGTTGTTGTTGTTATTATTATTATTATTATGGAAAAAAGCCATGGAAGTGAAGAGCATGTGTGAGAAAGGGCTAGGGAGTTAGATGTGGATATGATCAAGATACACTATATGGAATTGTGAAAGAATAAATAAAAGATAAGCAAATTTTTGTTTTGAGATAATAGAATATAGACATCTAATGTCAAAATGATTTACTTACTTAGAATGTTGAAGTTTATCTTCTATTAGGGGAAGAACAGCTGGGATCATTTCTCGAGGGAAAATCTGGCTGACAACAGTAAGTGCCATACACACTTCTACCAGATTAGTGCTCTGCAGATCCTGCCAGAAGTAAGCAAAGACAATCTGCACAAACTTAAAGCAAGAGATGACAAACTTGAGACTATAACAATTCTGCTTACAATTTTCCCTTAGCTTCATAATCAGCTTACACAGTCACACCTGCCTCCAAACCTACAGAATACTCCCCACTGGGTTCATTTGCCTTAACAGCGTCAAAGGCAATTGACCTGCTACAGGTCAAAAGAGTCTCCTTTGTTATAGTCTTTAAACTTTCCCAAACTAATAAAATAACTTCGTAAACTTGTCTAGTTAATATAAATGGAGCTTTAGAATTTATACAATAAAAAGTATATGCTCATACATACTTAAATATGTATATGGTCTATAACGTGATCTAACTAACTTTTAAATAAAATGGCTGGTAAGATGGCTCAGCAGGTTAAAAAAAAAAAAACACAAAAAAACCTTTACCAAGCAAACCTGACAATTCAACCTCCAGAGCTCACAGAAGAAGTCAGACAAAAGCATCTATAACACCAGCACTGTGGTAAAATGAGATGCTAACTGGAAATGCCCAGAAGTTCAAAGGCCAGCTCTCCTGAGGTCTGCAGCGTGACAGAACAAGAGACGCTACCTCAGAGAGAACCAACTCTCAAAGGTTGTCGTTTGACCTCCACATGCCACAGCACGCATGGATGTGCACACACGTACATGTACACACCAACAAATCAAATGGCTTTTTAATTAATTAAAATAAATAATGGTTTAATAATAAAAATTAAAAACAGGGAGAGAGTTTGGTAGGTAAGGACTAAGTCTGATTTCCAGCACCCATGCGATGACCCTGCGTGATGACGCACTGCCTGTTACCCCAGTTCTGGGAGGAGGACGCAGGAGAATCCCTGGAGTTCACGGTTAGTCAGCATAGCCAGATTAATGAACTCCACATTCAGTTAAAGATCTTACCTCAGAAAATAAGGGGAGAAGCAAGATGGCTCGGGGTAGAAATACTTGCCGCCAAGCCTGAGGACCTGAGCTCAATCCCCAGGAGACACACACAATAAATAAACATAATCTTAAGGTGACAACATGGTAAGACTTTCACCCTAAATGGCTTTTACATGGGTGCTGGGATCAGACTCGAGACCTCACGCTCGTACTCTACCCGCCAACCATCAACTCAGCTCCTCTTTCCAACTTAAAAAATGTACTAGGGTGTGTATGTGTGTACACCATGATGACCTGAGTTCAAGCCCCATGATACATACACAACAAACAAACAAACAAATTTATTTATTTTTAGGTAAAGTGGAGAGCAATTGAGGATAAAACCTGATATTGACCTATGGTCTCCACATGCATATACATTCATGTATAAACACACACACACACACACACACACACACACACACACACACACATATTTTATATATGTGTATATAGTGTGACTGTAAATTCAGAAAAAAATTACACACATATTCTCACATATTATAAGTCTAAAGATGATGAACAAGAGGACTTGAGGCTTTTAGAAGATGGTGGATGACAGGCATGTCCTGCTAGATTCTCCAAAGACTCAAACAGGGAAAGCATTTAGAAGTGAGCAAGGCTCCAAACTCTCATTTAACAGCAAAGTGAAACAGAAATCTCACAAAACAGAACAAGGAAAAAGTCCAGAGCTGTCCTGGAGGGAGGGACTGGTGGGTTTGGGGAGCTCTCCCCACTGACTGGAAGACAGTGACCAGAACCAGAGGACAGAGAGCCTTGGAAAATCTGTAACACAAACACTTCAAACACCAAGTGTAAAATAAATCTCAGTAACACACACACACACACACACACACACACACACACACACACACACACATTAAAGCAGAGGTAGGGGTGCAGGGAAGGAGACAGGAGACAACAGTTTATGGCGCTGAAGTAGAAGAGAGAGAGAAATGCTGGGGAAACCACACTATCAACAAACTGAGTAAATATTCTAGAACTAGGTGCTAAATCTGGCCAGTAGAACACTTCAAAGCTGCAGAACACTGTATCTGCACAGTGTTCAGCTAGATGGAAACCTGGTCAGAACTAGAGTGCACAGAGGACCTCAGACATGGGTTTCAAGTGTTGGGCTGGACACTGGAAAAGACAGTCCCGAGGTATGGTTAACTATAAAACTGGACCTTTTTTTTTTTTTTAATTGACTCCTTTTTAAAAACTGTGTATATCACATGTGAGGGGAGCACATGTGTGGCACAGTGTGCACAGAGAGGCCAAGGACAACTCTGGGGAGTCAGTTCTCTCCTTCTGTCCTATGTAGGACAGGAGCAGAACTTGGGTCATCAGACTTGCAAGGTAGGCTCTTTACCCACTGAGCCTTCTCACACTGGTCCCCAAATGGACTCTTCAAGTACTGCCCATCGTTGTGACAGGCATCTGGGAGCCCAAGGAGGAACACGGAAAGAGCTGAAACTGGAACCAGCAAGCAGGCAGACTCTATATCTCAACCAGCTCTCTCTATTTATATCTACTCTACCTTTATTTAATGTCCAGTGTCAATTTAGGCAGGCCAAATCTATCTCTATCCTCATTCATTTGTTTCTTTCTGTATTTTTCCCTTTTCACAGGCTTTCTTAAAGAACATAGACTGACAGTGTGTGCCATCTCTGTCTCAGATAACTAAAACCTTGAGTGTTTAAAGTTATCTTACTGCCTTCATTTTTACCTTTCTTTTCATTCAACACTTAGTCAAAACTGCCTCACCTCCCATTCTAATCTTGTTCCTACTGCTTCCCACTTCCATTTATCTTTTCCTCCTTTATTTTTTTCTATCATTCCAATACTAATCTATAACCTTAGTGTTTTTTTTTCCATTCATACTCATAGTAACTACTGAGGTTACAGTACATAGAGTACTCAGCAATATGCATAGTACTCTGTGGTTTTGATTCCTGTGTACTCATAGTGGGCCTACCCACTGTTTTACAAACAGTCACAGTGACTGTTTTTACAGATGACTTCTCCAAGGTTAAAAGCTGAGAACTGATCCTAGTGCAGAGGAAAAATGATACTTGGCTCTAGTATGTAGTCTAGTCTCCTGACTACTGCAAGCACTTCAACAAAATAGGGTGATTTAAGAACAGAATCCAACCACCAACCTGACGCTGTAAAATTCCAGAAACATGAGGAACCAGAACTCTTCCAAAACTTGCAAAGCCCACATTAGTGGCCTTAAAACAGAATGCATCAGAAGAAAACCCAAGCAAAGAATTTAAAAGAATGATTATATTTTGTAAACCTTGAAGAGGGCAAATGTAAACTGTGAATGATTCTCAAGAGAACACAAAGAGCTAAATGAAATAAAGACAATAACACATGATACAAAAGTAGAATTTTGAAAAAATGCAAAATTGAAATACTTCAAATGCAAAATTTAATGACTCAAATAAAAAGTTTCATGAAAAGCTTCACTGATTGAATGAATGGATAAAGGAGAGGACAAAATACCAGGGCCTGAAGATTGACAGGGGAGAGAAATTCAAATATTCAGATTACAACAAATGTAAAATCATACATACAAACAGAAATTCAGTATCTATGAACACTATAGATACTACAAAAAATAAAATTTATACATTATGGCATTAAAAGAAGAATTCCATGTTAAAGTAATAGAAACATATTCAATAAACTATAGCAGAAAAGTCCCCAAGTCTGAGGAAAAGAACTGCCTATCCAAGTATAGGAGGCATTTAGAATACCAAACTGATGAGACCAAAAAAGAGACTCCTGATTTCAGCTCACACCTCAAACACCAAGTATGCAGAAAGTAGCATACTGAGCTCTACAAGAAGCACTGCAGCGGTTTGGGTAACAACGGCTCCCATAGGCTCATATATCTGAATGGCTGGTCCCCACTTGCTGAAACTGTTGGGGAAGAATTAGAAGGTAGGCCTTGTTGGAAGGGGTGTGTCACTGGGCATGGGCTGTGAGGTTTCAAAAGCCTACACCATTCCCAGTGCACTTTCTGCCTCCTGGTTATAGATCAAGATTAAGCGCTCAGCTGTCCCTGCCACCATGCCTTTGCTCTGCCATCATGGACTCTAACCTTTTGAACTATAAGCTCAGTTAAATGTTTTCTTTATACATTGCTTTAGGTATGGTATTTTATCACAGCAATAGAAAAGTGACTGAATCAAACCCCAAGTCAGAGGTGTTTGTCATAGGGCAGGCTTATTAAGTTAACAATAGATTTTCAACAAAAACCTGTAAAGACTGCAGGACTTAAAGTTGTATTTCAAGCTCTGAAAGACAAGTGTCAGGTGACCATGTGCAGCAAGGCTGTCTGTAAACTGAAGGAGAAAAAAAAGCAGCTTTCCTGCAACAGAACAGGCTAATGGTGACTACTCATAACTGGAAACACTGAGAATGAATGACAGTTGAATGCCCAGCCATAAATGAAACATCTACATCATCCCTCCAAGGGTCAGAGAACATCATGAGGAAGTGGCATAAAGAATGTAAGAGCCAGGGAGAAGTCAGGAAGGAGTACGGAAAACTAACTTCCAGCCATAACATGGCTATGTTCTCTTGAGCTCATTGCAGCTGTAATTACCTGCACAGAATCTGCACAAGATTGGGCCACCAACACCCTGTCCTAAGAGAGAAAAGAGCCCATGGGACTCTAGCCCTCCAACAGGATGTATGTGCAGTTGTCTGATGGGGACAGAGTAGACATTGTCTCCTGCAGTGTAGCCACCAGTAAGGTGTCCATGCTCCTGTTCATATGCCTTTACCTACTCTCCTGTAAATAATACTAGTGAAACTTATTGGGTCATACAAGAAAAAGATGAACATAGCAGAGAGACAGCTGGGGGACCAAGAGGACTGGAGGAGTCAGAGGGGCAACAGAGCATCAAAGTGAGTGTGATTGAACTGCATTGTGTACAGAAATAAAGATGCCATAATGAAACCTTCATTATCTATAAATAAAACACACCAATTAAAACAGGCTTTTAGAAAAGGCTGAAGAGATTAAAAACCACTAAGTCATTTCTATAGAAGCTACTTGAAGAAATCCTTCAGACTGAAAAGAAAAATAAACCACACAAAAACATTAGTTAAGTAAATGAAGATCAAGAAAACATCCAACATTATAAAATCAACAAAATGGCAGGAATTAATATATATTTTACAAATAATAACTCTGCATTACTAATTGCCTCAATTTACCAATCAAAAGACAGAGAATGCCATACTGTATTTAAAAACAAAAACAAGCAAAAAAACATCTACCTCACACTCAAAGACAGACTCAGCCTTAGGGTGAAAAGGACAGAAAAGGGTATCCAAGGAAATTGAATTAGGAAACAAGCAGGTGTTCATGTTCTACTAACTGACAAAATAGACCAAAATTGGTCAGAAGAGCTGAAGAAGGGAACAACCTTGTGTAAAAGCATTTGCCTCAGGCGCCTGACTACCTTAGTTCAATTCCTGGAATCCACAGTGGAAGAAAGGAACCAGCTCCCCAAAGTTGTCCTCCAACCTTCACGTGGTACACACACTCTTCGCACACACAATAATAATAATAATAATAATAATAATAATAATAATAATAATAATAATAATAATAA